TCTGCAGTAACATTAACGGCTTACTGGCGGCTTTAAATATAAACTATAACCCAGAAGAATGGAGATTGTTTATAGACAGTTCAACAGTTTAAAGGCAGTGTTATTGCATATTGGAAATATTTTACCATCTCTTCCTGTAGGGTATGCAGTTCACATGAAAGAATCATATGACAATATGAAGTACTATTGACATGCATAAAATACGATGAGCACCATGGCATATTTGTGGCGATTTGAAAGTTGTTGCACTTTTACTTGGGCTGTGCAGCTAGGCTACACAAAGTTTTGCTGTTTTTTGTGTGAATGGGACAGTCGGGCAAAGGCACTTCATTACAACCAGACAAACTGGCCTGTTCGTCAAGTCTAGAGCCAGGTCAAAAAAAAATGTACAGCATATGCATTAGTAGATTCGAAAAAAATTTTATTACCACCACTGCATATCAAGTTGGGCTAATGAAAAACTTTGTCAAGGCATTAGATAGAGATGGGTCAGCTTTCATACATCTGCGTCAGAATTTCCAGACTAGATGGAGTCAAGAGTTTAAAGAATAGTAATTTTGTTGGGCCACAGATTCGAAATATTTTGAAAGGATACACAGGTTTGAAAACACTTACAGGTATTGAAAAAACTTCTTGGAAATGATTTCCGTCTGGGTGGTCACTAATTTCTTGGGAAATAGAGAAGCTGACGACTATAAAAACCGCTTGTCAAAATATGGCTGTCTCATTATCAAAAGATGGGCTGTAAATATGTCTCTTAAGATACATATTCCTACACTCAACATCCTGGACTTTTTTGCCTGAACAATTGCGGAGCGTAGTGATGGAGCACGGCGAACGTTTTCATCAGATATTTCAAACATGAAAAAAGGTACCAGGGAAAGTGGAATCCATTCCATGCTTGGCAGACTACTGTTGGACTCTTGGTAGAGATGCTCCAGAAACGATCCATAAAAGGACAGCAAAAAGACAGAGCGCATATAGTGATTCTTATAAAGTATATGAATCTTGTTACTTTTTTTAATATATCCTTAAAATAAAAAGTTTTTTTCTAAACCGCAATAAAGTGCACTTTTCCCACATGATACAATTAAAAAACTAAAATTGAGCTGGCAATAAAAGCAAAGTTTTTTATTTGAAGAAAATGTGACAAGAAAATAGTAATCCCCCCTTCAATAAATTCTACTATAAAAGTTTGATTAATATACAAATTCACTGTACTATTATTTGTTAACAAGTTTACGATTGAAGGAAAAATGCCTAAAACATGCACAAAAAATGCATTTTTGGACATTAAAGAAATTGATACATTTGTTTTCAGTCATCTCTATAGACGCCACGAAACAATCAGATGAAAGGAGTTGCAGTCACTGTTCTTGCGGGTCAAAGTACCAGTATCCCTATATATATCTCCATCTCTCTCATACATTCACATGCAACCTACCCCTGCGTGTGAACGTTTCTTCGGTAAGCTCAAAGACATACGTCTTTAGTTGTGTGTCTCCGCCTCGAAAACTTTGTCGTTACGTATGAGTGACGACTTACTTGACATCGTGCAATTCAAGTTGTCCTGTTATCAATCTTAATCATTAGAAAATTGTACAATGCCCGAAAATACGATCAATGGCTAACGCCGACAGCTCGTGCTAAAGTTATTAGAGTATTTCCAGGAAGAGAATGAAAAACAGCGGTCCCCTGTCACCCACTTCATGCGTACTGGAGAGAGTAGCAGATGCGCTGAAGATTTGTCTGCGCAGTGTTCCGCCCATGGTACGAAGACTTGACTTGTTTACTTATTTCATATGGCGTTGATGACGTAACCGCCAAGAACGGTGACTACGACTACATTAAAAAATACTCCTCCAAACAAGATGTTGAAAAAAGGAATGAGTGACGTTAAGGGCTAATCAAAACTCAAAGCTTAGGGATGGACCAAACAAAATCAATGTTTTGTTTACTTAACATCATTGTGTCCTACAATATTTTTGTCCAAGGATTTAGAGCTAATAAAAGTTCAAGTATGAGCTAAAGAAGTAGGGCCTATTAAATTTATTGAAAGTTGTGTTGGACTCCCATTGCAGCTGCAACCATCAAATACGATGAAAAACAATTGTAAAAATGTTTGCTGTTAATTTTTTGGTTTCAGAACTGTTATACAGAAGCACCCGGAAAATTGTGCCTACTATAACGAATTTCGAGAGATTCTATAATCTTGGCACAAACGATAAGTCGTGCCGCCAGTTTTTGAACATGAAGCTCGACCAAGTCAAAATGTGAAGCGTCACCTATATACGGGGCTGTCCAATAAGTACCACAACAAACTTAAGGAGAAGGTAGGCTTTGAACTGATCTCCCAAATAACAAAAATTTACCTATATAAAGTGTCTCCGTTTATGAGATATCAGAAGGTTATAAATCCCAAAACAGTCCTTATTTTACGAGGGATGTCTTTTAAGTTTTGCATATAGAAACATAGTAGGCCGCGCGGATCGAACGTCAGTACTGAATCTTAACGTCACTCTTTAGTAAACTTAAATTCAAGTTTCACAACAATGTGTTCTCACTACAGTGAATTTTTAAGTGACACTAAGTCATTAGAAAAATGGAACTCAACCGAGAACATTTTCGCGCCATAATTTATTACAACTTGGAGAGACAATTATCGCAACAAGAATGCCTTGCTGAGTTACTGACTGTTTTCGGCAACGAAGCGCCACATCAGTCGACAATTTCCCGTTGGTATGGAGAATTCAAAGTGGACGGGTGAGTCTTAGCGACGATCCCAGGGTGGGTGCACCAAAATCGGCAGTCACCCAGGAAAACGTCGATGCTGTACGCAAACTCATCATTGAAGATAGACATGTGACATATCGCGAGATTGAGGCGTCCTTGAAGATCTCAAAGACCTCAATTCAAAAAATGTTACATGAAGAATTAGGAGTAAGAAAATTAGTTTCTCGTTGGATACCCCACCTGTTGACTGCAGAGCAGAAAGCCGCCAGGGTTAATTGGTGTCAAAAAACGGTTGACCGTTTCAATTCCGGAAACTCAAAAAATGTGTACATCATTGTTAGTGGTGATGAATCGTGGATTTACTGTTATGAACCAGAAAATAAACGACAGTCGGCTGTTTGGGTGTTCCAAGGTGAAGAAAAGCCAACAAAAGTCATCCGTTCTCGAAGTGTTTCGAAAAAGATGGTCGTGACATTTGTGTTAAAAGCGGGTCATATTGCAACAATTTAATCAACTGTCTCCGGAATCTGCGAAAAAGATGCAAATCGAGAAAATCGAACTCAATGAAGCGAAATTCCGGTGGATGCTCAACGAGGACGCGATGGCTTCAGACTTCTTCTGGAATATGGAACTTTGCTGCTGATTCTTTGAAGTTGGAGAATATGCTTAAGTCTCTGCTGAAGTTGTACATGTGAAGTGTGATTCGTGTAATTCGAAAAAGAAATGCATTTGTTATGTCTAGGTTTCTTTATACAATTTGTGGAGGTTTTATAAATTTGTTATGTATCATATACAGGGTGTCCCAGAAGTCGTCGTCAAGACGAAACCGGGTGATAGGCAAAGTCATAACAGCTATCAGAAAAATATTTAAAAAATTTCATGTATGCGTTTTGAAAATTATAGGTCTTTGAAAAAAATATAGAAATTTCACATCCTACGGCAGTCTGTCAACTCCTGTTACTACACATATTAATTTTTTTTGTATTTTATTTTACAATGTAATGATGAATAATGTATCTTCAAACTGGTATCTCAACCTTACTGCCAACTTTTCTCGTTCAGGAAAAATTGCCACTTATTTCCCAACCAAGTATTCAAAGTAAAACTTTGCTCAACTTTAACTGGCTGTATTGGAAAAAATGTACTACGAGAGTTTGGCAAGTAACCTTAAAAGTTGGCGCATTTAATAACAATTCCAAAATGGTATAACACTTAGAAGATTACTCGTTAACTTATGCACAATTTTTATTTGGAAAAAAACTGATGAAAATTTTTCAAAATTTCCTAATTAAACAGCGATTATGAAAACGCACAAGGACCCTTAAGGATAACTGTTTGCACAACAGTGGGCGTCAAAATGCTGCTGATGATGATTTACCTTTACAGCAAATGCTCAAACTGTTTTCCTTCAGCCGCAATACACGCTCGACATCTTCTTAAAAAAGATCGAGTTATTAAACGAGCGAATCCACGGTTATTAACAAACTCAGCTGCTTCCAATAGTCTTTGCCGTAGCTCAGCTACATTTTGAATCGGCTTGAAATACACTTTTTCTTTTACAGTCCCCCAGTAAAAAAAAATCTAACGGATTCAATCTGGTGACCGGGCTGGCCACGGTATTGTACCAGACGGCCCTATCCATCTGCCTGGAAAGTTTTGATCGAGATACTCTCTCACTGAGAGTGCATAGTGCGCTGGGCAGCCATCATGCTGAAACCACATGTCCCTGTAAATACTCAGTGGCACGTCCTCCAATAAATTTTCTAAATGATTTGGCACACCTGTTTTTAGTTCTATTGCACTCACTGAAGTACTCGGGTTTTCTTCGACAGCTCCTAGCACCACGTCTTCGTAAGGAAGGAAAGATCTTCCCTCACCGCGTGATTGGTTTGGTAGTTGGCCCTCTGAGAACAGTAAGCGGTGCACATTTGTGAACACTCGATGATCTGGATGACAAGCTGCATTCGGGTACCTCTCACAGTAAAGTCTCGCTGCAGCACTAGCGTTGCATCTGCATTCCCCATAAATGAGGTGCATGTTAGCATATTCGTGTACGGTGTACAAGGACATAGCGGCACTGCACAATCACACTATCAAAGATAGTCTAAGGAAAGCAAATGTTGTTTTGAAGAGCAATTAAACAGTCCAAATCCAAATCACAAGCGATCAACAGTCCAGTTCACGAATCCAAAATTAGTAACAGTACGAAATCAACAAGCACGAACATGTAAAGATGCGCAGTAAACGAAGGAGTACTGATCGGTATCAAAGTGTGCAATAGCAAGTAAGTGATGTGTTTCATCCATACCACATACAGCGTGTTCAACCTCTCCTGCCCCGGGATTATGAGCCGCGAGTTGATTTTTGTCGCACAATGTTAGAAAGACACAGGAAAAATCCACAGTTTTTGGAAAAATTTTATGGTCGGATGAGACCACATTTAACAAAGATGGGTACATGAACCTGCATAACTTACACGAGTGGCACGTAGCAAACCCACATTTGATGAGAGAAGATAAATCTCAATATCGCTTCAAGATAAACCATTGGACAGGAATTTTAAATGGTAAAATAATCGGTCCGTTTGAGTTCACAGAGACTTTGACTGCTGAAGTTTATTTGGATTTTTTGAAAAATCATGTACAAAATTTATTGGTGGACGTGCCACTGAGTATTTACAGGGACATGTGGTTTCAGCATGATGGCTGCTCAGCGCACTATGCACTCTCAGTGAGAGAGTATCTCGATCAAAACTTTCCAGGCAGATGGATAAGACGGTCTCGTACAATACCGTGGCCAGCCCGATCACCTGATTTGAATCCTTTAGATTTTTTTACTGGGGAACTGTAAAAGAAAACGTGTATTTCAAGCCGATTCAAAATGTAGCTGAGCTACGGCAAAGACTATTGGAAGCAGCTGAGTTTGTTAATAACCGTGGATTCGCTCGTTTAATAACCCGATCTTTTTTAAGAAGATGTCGAGCGTGTATTGCGGCTGAAGGAAAACAGTTTGAGCATTTGCTGTAAACGTAAATCATCATCAGCAGCATTTTGACGCCCACTGTTGTGCAAACAGTTATCCTTAAGGGTCCTTGTGCGTTTTCATAATCGCTGTTTAATTAGGAAATTTTGAAAAATTTTCATCAGTTTTTTTCAATAAAAATTGTACATAAGTTAACGAGTAATCTTCTAAGTGTTATACCATTTTGGAATCGTTATTAAATGCGCCAACTTTTAAGGTTACTTGCCAAACTCTCGTAGTACATTTTTTTCCAGTACAGCCAGTTAAAGTTGAGCAAAGTTTTACTTTGGAATACTTGGTTGGGAAATAAGTGGCAATTTTTCCTGAACAAGAAAAGTTGGCAGTAGGTTGAGACACCAGTTAAAAGATGCAATATTCATCATTAAATTGTAAAATAAAATCCAAAAAAAAGTTAATATTGTAGTAACAGGAGTTGACAGACTGCCGTAGGGTGTGAAATTTCTATATCTTTTTCAAACACCTATAATTTTCAAAACACATACATAAAATTTTTTTAAATATTTTTCTGATAGCTGTTATGACTGTGCCTATCACCCGGTTTCGGCTTGACGTCGACTTCTGGACACCCTGTATGTGAAAATAAATATTTTATCTGTCATACCACCAGTTTTTTGTCCATATTGGTGTCTTAATGAGCAAAGAACTGTTACTGAGGATTAGTATACCACCATTTGTTTCCCAAAAGTTATCACCGAGCTTCGAAAAATCAACCACGAAAGAAGAATCATCCTCCACCAAGACAATGCAAGCTCGCACACAGCCCAAAAAACAAGGCAGTATTTAACGGAAGAAAACGTGGAATTATTGGACCATCCTGCATATAGTCCCGATCTAAGTCCTAAAGATTTCTTTACTTTCCCGAAAATTAAAAACAGACTGCGTGGTCAAAGGTTCCAGTCACCAGAAGAAGCAGTTGACGCATTCAAAAATTCCGTTTTGGATCTGCCAGCAAACGAGTGGAATAAGTGCTTCGAAAATTGGTTCGAGCGCATGCAGATGTGTATAAATCTTCGTGGAGAATACTTTGAAAGACAATAAAGTCATTTAAAACTACCTACCGTGTTGTTTTATTTCCATATGCAAAACTTAAAAGACATCCCTCGTATTATGGCACAATCCATATCTCCACTACTACTATTCGTCATTATTCGTCAGAGCGGTCCGGTGGACCTTTGCTCTTAGTTAAAAGTCTCGTCGGTCTGTTAGTCTGTCAGGTCTGGCTACCTAGATACCAAACATGTTTAAGGAGAAAAGGGAAATAAGGAAAGAAACGAAGGAAGAAATAGAGTAAAGAAAAGAAGTAAATCATTTGAAATAGCTTAAGCATTATTGCTTTGACTCGTACTCGAATTATTTTGTAACTCCAAAAAATGATTTTGATCAGTTTTGCATACTGAAATAATTTTGGCTGGTCTGAATTTACAATTTAATTTTGATCACAGTGCGACGCGCGGCCTGGAATGTTTGCGAACTTGCTCGACTGTGTAGTCTACTGAATCAGGCAACAGAGGGTGGTTTTACGTAATCCCTTAGATATGGGATATCACGATCTCTGTGAATAGTCTCATTTGACACGTACCAAGGGGCGTTAGTAATTGTGCGTAGGGTTCTGTTTTGCAGGACTTGCAGTCTCTGCATGTGCGTCTTGGCAAGAAAATACCAAGCCGCGCATGCGTAGGTGATTGCGGGTCTTATGAGCATTTTATACAACCGAATCTTGTTGATCAAACTCAATTTTGAATTTCTGCACAACAAAGAATAAAGCTGCCAAGAGGTAATTTGGAATTTTGTTTTCCAAATATCAGTATGTTTCTGCCAGGTCAACCCCTTGTCAATGATGACTCCAAGATACCTGACAGATTGCTCCCATGGTATACGAGTTCCATTCACTGATATCTCTGAGGGGGCACCGCGACGTTTTTAGTACAATAGATTGCCTGCGTTTTCGAAGTATTAATTTTGATCAACCACCGATCCGCCCACACCAATACTTCCTCCACCGCACTCTGCAGCCTGTCGTGAACCAGGTTACCAGAACATGACTGGGCTAGAAATGCAGTGTCATCAGCATAGAGACAGACTTCACAGTTGCTGGAGCAAGGGACGTCATGTATATAAAGTGAATAAAGGATTGGTCCTAAGACCGAACCCTGAGGAACACCGGCTCTTACGTGTTGTTGACAAAACGTTGTTAATTTTGATCGGAAACTTCCTTCCTTCTAGAAAAGATTTCAACAGTTTTAGTAGCCAAAATGGAAAACCCTTTTGGATGAGCTTATACAAGAGGCCCATGTGCCACACCTTGTCAAATGCCTTTGACACATCTAAAAGCAAGATACCAGTACTCTTGTTCAGGGTGAACTCCCTGGTTACATGCTCCACCAGTCTAACCGCCTGTAGTTCCGTACTATGGTCAGACCGAAATCCGAATTGCACGTCAGCCATATCTCCACTTGATGAGTCATAAACGACAACGCCAATTAAGGAAGTGTCACCAATCAATCAGATTGCCCTGCACTGCAACACGTGAGCATGAGAATGCTAAAATAGGTCATACTCGAAACAAATGTCATTACAAATTTTCCCTGAATGACATTGGTGGGCAAATGGCGCAATCCATCTCTCCCCGGACGATCCGTCATAATCGGCATCAGCAACGTCGACGAAGCCGTCGCGGCACTCGCTTCGCCTCATCTGCTATCAATTTCGAATGTAATTGGATTTGTCGAACGTCCCTTTCCCATTCCACTTCCCGTCCATATCGCGAAATGAGAAAATATGAGATATATGCGCGATTGTGATTTACGCTGACGAACGTCACATCCTCGACGTAATTTTCATTGGAAAAAATGGCGTCAAGTAGGTTGACTCTGTACTTCCCACGCAACGCCGTTATCAGTACATAAAGGAATATGTTCAGCGCAAACTAGACCCCCTGAGAAAAAAAATCAGTCAAGCAGGTCCATACAATTAGTCCATGTGCATGCTTTACCTGTACTACAGCTTCTGGAAACGTCGCCTCTCCCTGATACTAGGGCAGACGTGGCACCGGGGCAGCGCGGTTAGAGCATAGAAAACACTATGCTGTTACGCGGCAGAAATACGTGTGATTCCATATTAGAACTCTCATCGCGGTCGGCACACGACGTCAGCCGCAGCCGATCCGACTCATACGAATATTTTCCAAGTTTGCAGGGCTAATGTATAGAGAAATCTATGATGTGTGAAATATGTTTAATAGGTGCGTAGAATTCCCAGCGTGAAAATGTACCCCTCACAACCCCCGCCCAGGGTTGTTATGTTTTAATCAAAATATTTAAAACAAGTGTTTTAAACACTGTTTAAAACAATGAAGGTGTTTTAAACCAATTTGTTTTAAACTGTTTAAAACGTTTTAAACGCAGTTTTTTTGTCGTTCGTGAATTATTATAATAAGTTTTTTTTTTAATATTTTTTTAGTATGATTAAAATTGATTTTATTTTGAAAAACGAAGTAAAAAGGGCCATGGGAAAAATATACTTTATTTTTTATTAATTAATCAAACCTGAAACTAGGGAACTAATACTAGTGGAAAAAATCTGTTTCTTAACAAACCAGTGAAATAAACTGCATTGAACTCTAATACTGGTACACTACAAGCAGCAGAATAATCATATAATATGACTATTATTTACTTGTATAATAACATTAAATAAGTTACTTAATAAATTTCTATAAAAGTATACAACAAGCAAGTATACAAAAAATCAAAAAATACATACATTTTTAGTTTTCACTACTTTTTACGGAACTCCAAGTAAAAAAATGTCCCTTTTTCACAATTCTCCAAGCTACTTAACCTTGCGGAAATAGGTTCGGTAGAAACATCATCATTGTCGGTATCAGAAATGTCTGATATACAGGGTGTTTCAGTTTATTGTTGCATAACTTTAAGATTCGATAGAACTTTTAAAATTAATGCATTAAGTCTATATAAACATGGGTCAAAAAATGCGTGGCTTTCGAAATACAGGGTGTTTAAACTTACTTTCTAAAATACTTTTTTTTAAATATTTCGAACCATATTTGATGTATAACAGTGAAAATTGGTATACAAGGGTTTTTTGGTACGACAAAACGAACCATGGGCGTATTTTTACTGTAGCCGCTAGAGGGCGCTCTCTGCTGTACATGTAGTGTATTAAAATGACCGAAAAATGTTTCTTAGTGCAATTTTTTGCTTTTTGAATAAAAAAAATGATTCTTCGCACTTTTCAACATGAAAAAGCTCTCTTGTGACTTTTCGTTATAGTTAGCCGTTTTTGAGATATTTCGATTTTTAAGGTTCGATGCATTTTTAATTATTTATGGGAAAATAATATTTTTTTTTACATTTTCGATTTGGGCATTACAAGTAATCAAGATGATCGTTTAGATTCAGCAATAATTCCTAACTCCAAATAAACACAAAAAACAGAATATTAATTTGTTTAATTTTCCAATATTATTTTTAACAAATTAAATTAATTATTTACAACTAAAATGCTATTGGATAGTTAGGACAAACATACAAAATCTAAAGTAGTTGCTCGAAATGTAAACCCAATTGTTCAATACACAATTCACATCTACGAATGATCGAACCTGGTATAGCATTATTCAAATAAGGCCTTATTTCATCACATGCATTCCTGATTCGGTCTATTAGCATATCTCTTGTGGTTACGGGAATCTGGTACACTTTTTCTTTTAGAAATCCCCACACAAAGAAATCTAATGGATTTAGGTCAGGGGATCGTGGAGGCCAAGCGACTGGTCCTCCACGGCCGATCCATCTTTCTGGATAATTTTCGTCCAGCCAGTTTCTAACTATTCTCGAATAATGAGTTGGACAACCATCAAACTGAAACCAGGCGAATCTTCTTAAATCTAGCATAACATCATCCCACATATTTGCATGTTCAGCCTTTAAAAATTCCAAGAAGGTCGCAGCATTTAACCAGGCAAAAGGTTGGGTCTAAATAGTCGATTACGGTAGATACCAATCCACACGTTCACACTAAATTCATGTTGAAAATTTCTTTCCCGAACTGCATGCGGATTTTCATGCGACCAAATATGTTGATTTTTATAAAACTTACAAAAAAAAACAGGTAAAAGAAACTAAATTTCGAGCATTCACAATTGCAAAAAAACGTTTCAGGTTTCATCAGACAACAAAACTAACTGTCAACTAATTGACGTTTAACCTTATTCTGCTTTCAATTTCAAAAATATTTGCAGACACAGCCTACTTCTAAAAATTATCGAGATACTGACTTTTTAACGTTATTTTATCATAAATAATTAAAAATGCATCAAACCTTAAAAATCGAAATATCTCAAAAACGGTTAACTATAACGAGAATTCACAAGAGAGCTTTTTATGTTGAAAAGTGCGAAGAATCAGTTTTTTTATTCAAAAAGCAAAAAATTGCACTAAGAAAAATTTTTCGGTCATTTTAATACACTACAGGTACAGTAGAGAGCGCCCTCTAGCGGCTACAGTAAAACTATGCCCATGGTTCGTTTTGTCGTAGCAAAAAACCCTTGTATACCAATTTTCACTGTTATACATCAAATATTGTTCGAAATATTTAAAAAAAACTATTTTAGAAAGTAAATTTAAACACCCTGTATTTCGGAAGCCACGCATTTTTCGACCCATGTTTATATAGACTTTATGCATTAATTTTAAAAGTTCTATCTAATCTTAAAGTTATGCAACAATAAACTGAAACACCCTGTATAATAATAATAATAATAATATGAATATTTTGTTTTTCTAACAAACTTCCTTGTTTAAGTTGTTCACAAATTTTAATATGGTTGCGCATTCTAGCCACCAGAGGCACTATATCCATATTGCGGGTCAAACATTTTGCTCGTTTAGTTATTTTCGACCCAACTTTGGCATCAGTCTCCTTAAAATATATCCACACGGCAGGGGCGGCTGGCCCTTAAGTTCTGCAGAGCAGCAGAACTGCCAAAACTTTTGTCTTAACAGAAAAAAGCAGTAGTAATTTGATCATTATTTATTTTCCATGTTATCACACAAATAGAAACAATACTGGCCTGCCCCCGCAAGACACGGCACGGCGTCTAGTCTGTTTTGTACTGAGAAAGCATTATAATCGACCAATTGTGTACTTGTCATTTTCGTCGCGACCGCAGCGTAACATTATTCATGAGCCACTTGAAAAGGGGCCGTGCACTACTTCGACACAAGCCGCAAGCGCTTGCTTTTGTCTCTCTCTACAGAATCAAATGCGGAATTTAAGCATAAGCATGTGCTACAATTTATACAGATCCGTACAGATCTAATGCGAAGTACGATATCTGATTGGTCGGTCGGTGCTCGGTCCTCGGCATTGGCATATAGGTCTTGTCGCGTGACGTGGCTAAAAATTTGAATGCGAACAATTTTTTATTTAGGTATTTTGGGTCTTACGGTGAGTGACTAGTGACTCGCTGACTGACTGTGGCTGTGTAGAAGGGTAGTGCAAGACAATGGATGTGGTTTACAGCCTTATCAGAGTGAAACGATTCTGGAAACACACATTTGAAGAAAAATTGAGCTGAAGGTGTCAGGTCGACCGCTGCTGGACATATTTATAGAAACACAGGGCGTTAGTCTAGGCAAGGGCTATACGCGGTATTTCATCAGCGAGATTTACACGAGAAATGACTGGATTGGTGGGTGCAACAGGAAGAATGGCCTTTTCTGCTTTCCTTGCATACTTTTCGGCGGTGACAAAGCTTGGACGGAGGTAGGTGTTACAGATTTAGTGCACCCGAGTGAAAAAATTAAGAAGCATGAAACTCTAAAACACATCATAATTCGATGGAACTGGCTTTATTGGGGACTGTTAACATCAGAGCTCAGTTAGATTCAGCATATTGGAGAAATATATAACAGCATAATGATACCGTTACAATAAACAGGTACGTTCTATCAAAAATAATCGATGGTATAAAATTTTGCGGAGCATTTGAATTGGCGCTACGGGGCCATGACGAAACCGAGAGATCCCAAAGCCCGGGAATATTTCGTGGACTGATTAATTTTTCTGCTGTGCTTGATACAACCTCAAGCGAACACATAAAAAATGCTTCAATATTTAAAGGAACTTCGAAAGAAATACAAAACGATCTACTGGATTGTTTTCTTGAAGTTTGTCTTGAAGAAATAATAAAACAGATTAACAGAGCCTCGTATTTGGCGATAATAGCATATGAAACAACGGACATTTAGGGGAAAACCCAACTGGTAACAATTTTCCGATACGTATTTAACGGCGAACCAGTAGAACGTTTTTGGAATTATATGAATCCCGAAAAATGTGATGCTGATACTCTCACAAGACATATTTTGAGCGTCGTAGATCCATTAATAGGAAATTTCCCTAACAAACTGATTTCACAAAGCTATGATGGAGCCGCAGTAATGACCGGACATAATGCTGAAGTTCAGGCAAAAATTAAACAAAGATATCCCATTTGGGTGTTCTTTGGGGATTTGAAAGATATTCCGGGATTTTTTAATAATTCTCCTCAACGCGTAGAGGTACTGAACAGAATTGTGGGGAAAAAATTCCCCAAGGAGCAACAACTCCTTGGAATTTTAATATACGAACAATAAATGTAGTGTTTATGAACAGAGAATCACTCATTGAAGAAATAGAAGAAAATTTCGCTAATGAAACCGTTTGCAAGGCAGCTTGTGGTATTCGCCGTATGTTAAACGATTCGTTTTCGTGTTTTGGTTGACATTTTTTCATCATGTCATGCCTCACGTCGACATCTTGTTCAACCTGTTGCAAAAGAGAAAAACCGAGCCAGCGCAAGTTAAAACGATAATTTTGAAAAATGTATTGTCGATGTGAGAAATAAAATTCATGACATAATAAATGAAGCCAAAAGTATTTGCACTGAACCCCAAGGCAACAAAAGGAGACGATGTAATAATAGCAGTCACGATCACCGAGTTGCCGCATTAGAAGTATGCGACAATATAGTGAATTCCGCAAATGACAGATTTCAATTCAAAGATCATTTGGTAGCCGCATCCTTTTTTTTCCCCGAACATTTTGGAGAATACTGTGGTAAGTTTCCTGATGACAAGTTGGAAACTACCTGCTTGGCTTATCCCGAATTAGAAAAAAGTCGTTTAAAGACAGAGTTGTCTGTTATTTATGCACGGAATGATTGCCGAGATTTACATGGAACTCTGTCTCTTTTGAAATTTTTGATACAAAATAGTTTGGAGGAAACACTAAAAAAACGAAAAAGCTATTAGAAATTATTGTTACAGCTCCTATGTCAACATCAGAGGCTGAGCGAAATTTCTCAACATTGAAAAGAATCAAGACTTTTCTTCGTAATAGTATGACCCAGGATCGCCTTACAGCGTTGTCGATGCTGTCCATTGAAAAGGAATTTATTTCGACCATGGAAAATTTCAACGGGAAGGTGATCGACAAATTTGCTGCCAAGAAGGAGCGCAGGATCGAACTGACATATAAAAAATAGGTAAGTTCGGATTTGCAGAACACCTGTTTTATTTTGCCACGAGCCGCCGCTGCCGCACGGGATCCTTTCTCCTCCCTGTCATTACCTTTATTTTTTTGCCGATCTTTGATGCACAAAAAACAAAACACACAACTACGCTACGACTTCGCACATTTGACTGCTGGAGATCGCAACGTAAAAAATTACCCAAAGGCAAACGGTACTTCCCCGACCCCTTTCTACAAGATCAAGATGGGTGTTCCACAAGAAACCGTCTTAGCAGGGTCATTTGTAGACTACACAAAATCAGTTCATCAGTTTGAAGTTTGCTTGCTATCAATCTTGAATGTATGTAATTGGATTTGTTGAACGACCCTTTTCCATTCCACTTCCCATCCATAACCTTAAATAAGAAAATATGGGATATATGCGCGATCATAATGTTCGCTGATGAACGTTACATCCTCAACGTAATTTTCTTTAGAACAAGGGCCTAGGTGTTCCACAAGGAACCATCTTATCAAGGTCACCTTTCCAGCCCACAAAAAAAAACAGTTCATAATTGTGGATATTGCATCTAGCAATTTTGAATGTAATTGGATTTATCGCACGTCCCCTTCCCAACCATATCCTGAAATGAGAAAAAATGGGCTACTACGCTGACCAACATCTCCTGCTCAACATAATTTTCATTAGAAAATGGCATTCATGAAATATTATATTAATTCTTTTATTAATTTCCCTGAAACGCCAACACAGGACATCAATAAATCAAAAATTTATTTATCTTACATGCAAAAATTTACAATACATAGTGGCTCAAGGCTGTCTGCATGATGACCAGATGCTTCTTTCCTAAGTCAGTTTTCATTTGGCTCTCCGAAAGAGAGTGGATAATATTAAGTAATTTATCACATATGTCTGGAGTAATCTTGTCAAGATTGAAATTTAGAAAAATGAAATGAAAAGTACAGTTTATCTTACCAGACACCGGTATTTCGACAGAATTTATGCTATTAGGATAGACATTATACCTCCAATAAAGGAGACTTGATCTAGTCTTTTGCCTCCATGAAATACTTGCACTAATAAAACTTTATAACCCTTTTCAAAAAAGGTTGCTAACTATTCTGGCTGCTCAAAACTGGCTGCTTTATTTTGGTTTGTCAATCATATGATGACCTTGGGTTATTGTAATTCTTTCAGAATTTTAAAAACTAGGTCACAATGTGTCAGTGTATTACCAGTTGCATTAAAAATAAATTTAATTTGTTTTTGGATTTTAGAGGACTGAAGACATCAAGTCACTATCAACATTACATCTGGCCAGGGTCATCTTAAGCTATGTAGGTGCCCCTGGGCACACACGAAGCTTAGCTCTTTAGTTAAAGCCAGTCCAGAGTGAAATCTGGAACCCTGGTTTTGGTAGGGGGGGATAATTGAAGAGGATGGAATTTGCTCAGAAGTTTTTTTTGTAGATTTTGGGCATTTGGGAATCATTCATCAAGCCAGTGCACTGGGCATAGGCCCTGTGTGCCCATAGAGGAGAGAAGGAATTCATTTTACCTGACCCTCAACCAACTACTCTCAATTGAAGAGACTTAATGTCTCCCTACATATTATGATATTTGGATACTAAAGAAAATGATGAGGTAATGATCAAAAAATTGTGAATGCTATCAAAATCAAAGTATAGACACACACATCAGTACACAACACATACAAAACATCCAAAATTGTAAATATAGCAATAATGTAGTCAAGATTTAATTATATATTCTGAATGCCAGTACTGGAATGTCAACTACTGGCAAATGTGAATACAAAAATGTAAACAGCAATCGACTACCAAATAGATACACACATACTGACGTATGTCTCAAACTTTACTAAAAAACAAAATAGAAAAATAAATGAATAAACACTGAACTGTCACACAGCCGCCTACGAATGACAATTATGAAATCAATAATACCTTTTAATTTACGCATGATACATTGAATTACAGTTAGATTAGCCAAATTATTGAGCAGACACCTAAAATTTCTATTTCCTGGCAATGAAATTCCGCAAACTTTATATATTTATAGTTGAATTTGACACAACCCTTGAATCCTCAACATAACCTCAATCGGACCTGAATGTTACCAAATAACATTGCAGCCACAATGTTGCTTCATATTGGGCATTCATCAAAGTAATAATTACCTGTTTCGTAGAAAATCATACTGAGTGTGGGACAAAACTCTCAAAAAGATCGCTGCCGAACTGAACAGAATTCAAGGTCTTGCGATATAAAACATCCAAAGTGTCAGCGGAAAGTACGCGGGTACACACGAGCACAACGCGGTTTTCAAACCGGGAAATCGGTACACAACACTCGCGCTAACGGAGTTTTCGTATTTCCACGTCAAACACGTAAAAATTATCGATAAACACCAGACGTCTGATAAAATATTTTCAATATGGCCGCCTGAAAATTCTGCTGTTTACAAGGATTTGTTGACCCTGGTTCCATGATGAATCTTATTGGACGGGAGAACGCGGCTCAAAATCCTATTGGCCGAATTCAAGGTTATGGACAAAATCCAGGCATGCACCTGTCATCTAGGATTTTCTATTTTTCGTCATTTGTTTCTGTACATTGACAGTTGTATCGAAATTTGCCAATATGCTACATTTGGCAGTTTTGTGAATTTAACTTCCAACCTACCCCAAAACTTTTTAGGTTAAGATCATAATTATGATAAGTGAAAGTGAATTTGAAATCGAAATCGATATACACGCGCCATCTATCAAAATATAAGGAACTACTTGTGTGTCGTGTCGATCATGCAGCACATAGTGATGAGTTGTTTTGAATATTGGCTTTCGGAAAGTATTCAATTCAACCATCAAACTGAAATTATTTGGGACAGTTTATAATAGTTTTTAGCGCAACAATCATGATTTCACAGCACTTACGCAAATGAAAAAAATCACTTTGCCGTCGTATTTATGTTCCACTGCGCCATCTATATCTTAGAACAATATCAAATGGACATGGACACCGACATTTAGCACTTCCAGTGTTGCAGTTTTGTAAATGTCCTAATTGAGATTCAGCTAAATGTCATATGTTCAATATTTATTACGATCCATACAGTTAGTATTTACGGATCATTCCCTTAGGCCCGTATCGTCAGTCGTCCCTACAATTGTAGGGCGCCTTTATGGCCTCCTTGATTGTCATGGTTTCCAGTTCTCCGCTCTATTTTGAGGTTATGTCACAAACATCTATTTGCATTAAATTGTGCTTGCTTTTGAGTTTTATCATGCTTTATCAGCCTGAAATTTCCTACAATTTAAAAGGAAAACATATCTTAACAATAGGAGAGCACTGACGCTGACGGGACGAGTGTAATCTAGAAATTTTTGAAGGAGAGAAAAGAGTATGACAATCAAGGAGGCCATAAACGCGCCCTACAATTGTAGGGACGACTGACGATACGGATACGGGCCTTAGTGTCAGTAGATTTTCACGTAACCTTATGCATCAGTAATAACCGGCAATCTGACTTCACGGTCAATAAACATGAAATTCCATGATGAGTCCTGATGGATCAAATTACTAAATACTGACCGTGTGAGATTTGCCTACGATTATCTCTATACAAACACTACTACACCCATCTCTACTGGCAATATCATCACGTGGGCTAGAACTTTTGGCGGCAAACTTAAAATGCAAATACGTCGTATGAGATATGAACGAGATACACCTATAATATTATTCGTTACCAAACTGATATATTAACAATGGTAATACCCACCTTTCTAACTGCCCGTTCCTCTCCTTTCCCGTGAGAAGTAGAAAAGTCGCATTGATTTGATCCATAGAAGCTATTTTTGGGTGTTATCCAACGTACCCGGGTCGAGCCGGCAGAAATGTTCTCAAATACACGTATTAAAACATTGTCACCTATTAAATAACATCGCTACGTACCGCAGACTCTCGTACGTAGGTAATATGATACCGAATCAATGCAAATATGCTCGAAAAAGTCCACAATTTTTCGTTCTCCTATGCAACAATACGACCGTAGACTGTACTTGCCGAGAAGGAGGTTCCTAAATCTTATGCGCTCCGACGCCTGACAACAATGTTGCTAGGCAACCAATGATACCTGGCGAATGGCACCATCCCGTTTTCCCTGCTCTCACAGCTCCCAGCTAGGTAGTATTCAGGAACTCCCAGCTAGGTAGTATTCAGGAACGTGAATTTTCCAAAGGACTGTCCCTCTGTTATCTGTTCATACTCTTGCATTTTCTGTTCAATCAAGACGCAAGACTGAAGTTCATGTCATACTTGATCAATGCAAAAGACGTATGAAATTATCAGGTTGAATCTTACTTTTTTTCACAACTCAAGGGGCCCAGCTTGTGTGTCATCAAACGAATAATTATAAAATAATTTTTTTGTTCGACGGAATATCGATATTTGACTACAAAAAATGTATTTATGAAGGTTTTGACAATTTCTACGAACTGCAAAACATTACAAAGATTAGAAAAAGTAAATTTTAATGGCAAAGCTGCGACGTAATGAGTTCTAGATGGGATCCCACTTCCGCCTTCGAGTAGTTGCTCTGACTGAAAATTGTAGAGCGGGGGGGATCAATTTATCAAGTAGGCTGGGATGAAGATTTTCCGGTTGTAAAAATAATGGCATACTGTAATGCCACATAACAAACTGTAATTAAAACAGCGTAAGTTGGTAATAATCGGTTATGTAGGAGAGTGAACAAACTGAATATTTTCTTAAAGGTCTATCGTTACGTGTCTGATTGATTAGAGTATTGTTTAGTCTTGTGTCGTATGATGCATTTTGATTGATGAATCAACTCACCTGACCTCACGCAACGAAGTCAATCGCTGTAAAGGACCTATACACGCGAAATTACAGCTTTGATTTTCTTGTAGTTACGCGGTTTGAGTCATTGTTGATAAACCAGTATTGCAGTATCGCCAGCGAAATAATATCAGAATTTACAAGTAGTAAACAATCTTCAATATTAATATTCGAAAACGGATAAAGCAGCAAGAATTATTATACAGGGTGACTTCGAAGTTGAGCCATTTATTTTAAGAGTGAGTAGATCTGATCAAAAGAAATGTTTTTTTCCTTTACCATTTTTCTGGTAAAATTAAGTAACAAAGTTATAGCCCTTTGGAAGTTTGAGTACCGCCCTGTCTTAATAATAATATGTACTCGTGTTTGGCGACAACGGATATAATCCGCTGTATCGGTTCATCGCATCGGAAACAAAAAAGCGAAAGAATTTGGAACGATGTTTTTACATTTCATTCATTTGTATACAGTCAGTGTCAGTGAATAGTGGTATCTGTTGCGTGGCTCAAACGAAATAAAAAATGGCACATGTTTATGCGGATCGGTTTCCCAATTGAGTGCAACCAACCCCTCGTGCCTTTGTTAATGTAGTACAACGGGCTCGTGAATCAGGTGACTTAAGACCTCACAGGGGACCTCACGATCAAATACAGGTCCGCACTGAAATACTTGTCGGGAGAATACCTTATAAAACAAGGTAAAATTTTTTTTAATTTTTTTTTATTTTTACACACATATTTTGGTTTATCTTCCTTCTACAATCATTATCTGAAAATTAATGACTCAACTTCAAAGTCACCCTGTATGGCCAACAAGCAGAAGCTTTACATGAAATGCTCACATCCACTATTCACGTAAGTTTTTTTTTCATAATTAATATTTAACTCGGAGGGAAATGCAACTTTTCCTTTCAGGAATGAGATAAATAATGATTTACTTAAGTTAGTTGCCCGACTCTTTCAGCGTGAAATAGAGAGGATCTGATTTTCTTTCAACGTACGAATTTCAAATACATTTTTTATAGCATACGCGAGAAAAAAACAATTATAAAGTGCATCATTCTTGTAAAGTATGTAATAATCTATTTCAGATTGAAGATACAAAACAAAATTCTCTCGATATCAAAATTTATTTTGTGTATTAAAGTAGCAATACATTGCAACACAAGAAGGAAAAAGAAGCCTGCAAATTGTAGCAAGTAGCAATCTGAAAATTAAAAAACTGTATAAATACAAATGTCTCAAAATACTATCAAATTTCAATATAGTAACATTGACTAACGTATTCCACCTAAAGATAGCCATTCCGACGTTCTCATAGAATTTTCACCATGACAGCGATGTTGACAAATGGGATCAGAGCAATTTTTTTAGTTACAAAAATATACTTCATTTTCATTTGAAAAATAATTATTCTTAAACATGACACTAAGCAGTCAAGAATCAGTCCTTCACACGTCTCCCATAATTGTATTCTTAGCGACGGAAAATGATCTTAGCGAAAACGACGACGTTTGGAAAGTAATATCAAAATACACCCATACTTGAAAACAATTTACCTATAAACCTATAAAAATTTATCAAAAATATGTTTGGAAACAGTTAGGTTTGACAGCTGACGTTGCCGTCATCACTTCCCTTGTCTAACATTTTTATCATGGAGTCTATATAGCTATAACTTGACGCTTGGAGTACCAGTATTGCTTTGACAGGGTGGCCATGTTGGAGGATTTTTCACCAAATTTAGGGGATTTTTACTTATTTTTTTTTTATATAATGCTCTGGGGAAAATCAGACGTCTCGCGGATAGAAAGCATCCCCCCGATCATTGAACCAGACCTACCCCTTTCCATTAATTAACTTTGATTAGGGGATTTTTTTTAAAATAGCATTTCTGGGGGATGTTTGTAGTTGTTCTGGACACATTCTGGCAACGCTGTACGTTGACAGATTCGCCATATGGACACTTTACTTGGTTAAGATCCGGCAACCCTGCTGTAATCTGTTGTACTATTATTTATCATTAATAAAAATTAAGTTTTATAAAAAAAAAACAGATACCTGCAGATTCATGCGGACATGCATGCGCAATAGCTGCGCCCTCAGTCAGGCGTCAAGTTTTATGGGTGTTTTTTTCATATACATTTTTATTCGTAGACTCAAGGAAGGAAGAAGGAGTTCAAGGTCAAAGGAAGAAGATTATAATAATACGAGAGTAATGTTTTAGCAAGTTGGCACTGTTATGTTTAGCGAAGAAATTCAGACTAGGTAGAAGGAACAATCCTAGGATTTATTTTGTTTGTCTCCAAATATCCGTCTGTAGTAAGGCTGAATGTGGACTTGACATAAGTTAAATTTTTGACGGACGTCAATAAATTCGTATTATTATTGTTACTTTCTGAAAGTGTGGGTGTTTGCAGATAATTGAGGATAATTTCAGGACATGATATTTCACGCATAATTTGCAAAGAGCAGCACAAGTCTAATGAAGGTAGAACTTTCCGCCAGTATTATTATGCTAATACAACGTTATCACTGATAATCCATGGCAGACAAATTAGCCAAAGTATTTACTTAAACTACCCAATTTTGACGACAAACAATGCAATGTAAATAGAGGCTTGGCTCTCCCTTATTCGAATTTGTTGTGTTCAACAGAGAGAATTACTGGCAAAACGACAACACTACCTTGTTGGAATGGAGCAGAACAGCACACACAGCCCTCTATTGGTTAACGTTAATCAATAATACTACCAAACTCATCATTTGACGTACTATTCCAGTACATTCCTTCAATAACTGATTACCGAAACTAACAACAGATTCTTGTGATAAAGAAGTGTAATAGAACTAACAATTGAATACTTTGGTGCAAAAAGGTGTTGACTCAATTTATTCGGAATTTAAGATGTCGTGCAAAAAGGTGTTAAAATGGTGCTTTTTTGGTAGTACATCTATCTGGCCAAAGATGGCTCTCAGTTGTTAGATACAGAGATTCATAAAAGTGTTAACTATATCAAAAACTAAATAAATAATAAATTTAAAAAGGTGTTAACTCTTTTATTATAGGTAAAAAGGTGTTAACTCAAGAGTTAATTCAGTTTTCGTTTCAAATGTAAAAATGTTACACACAAAAAACGCTTCTCTTGCCGAAAATTTCTACAGGTAAACCCTTATATTTACGACAAGTATGGCTCTACAATCTAGGAATACATTTGATATCAACACAGCAACCAAATGGTTAAGGTTTTTTCCACGTCTGGACCAAAGCAGCTCACTTATGGCCTTTTTGGAAAATATCAAGGACCAAGGCATGGCTTCCGTCATCTGATTCCATGGAGTGATTCGGCAGGTAAAAATATAAATGTTTATACTGTCTGTCTATGGCACTACCTAATAATCTCTGGAGTGTTCAAAAAGTTCCCTGAAGTAGGACATACCTTCTTAGACTCTGATAGATAGAGATTTTGCAGCGGTAGAAAAGTCTATCAGAAAGCACCAACTAATTTATATGGTGGATCAATATGTTTCAAACATGGCAGAAGCCAGGAAAAGACCCCTTTTAATATTAAAAGAATGGCGGACAAATTTGATCATATTAAAGAACTTCCAAGAAAACTTGAACTGGTCGATAGAAAAAAAAAACAACTAATGAGAAATTTTCATTCAGAGATGTAAGATGGATCCAGATTGAAGAATTTCGTGTAACCAAGTACAGATACTTCTTTAATAAAACGGAAAATTAAACTATTGTTGGTATAAGAAAAACAGCGAAATCTCGATAGAAGAGTAGAAAATGAACCATTATTATTGAATGTCGATAGAAACCGACCTATTAGAGCCAAAAGTTTGATAATATTCAGGAACAAATTTACCAGCAAATTTTAGAGGCTTTTATCAAAATTTAAGAAGAGGCGATTAATTACAGTGAGCGGATTATTTTTTATTACTTTTGTGAGTTCATAATAAGAAAAAAGAACAATTTTTACTTTTAATAAATAACAGCTTTCTGCTACTTTCATTTTCCGGATCAAGCAAAGAACAGTTTGTTAAAAAGGTGTTAGTCAAATTTTCAACAACCTTTTTCAAATTTCTGATAATAAAACGCAATTTCTTTTAACAAAACTGTCTATTCGAGATACTTTTATAAGTGTCTAAAATAACCTTCAACAATAAAGCAGCCCTAACACTATTCAATAAAAAATATCAGGATTTAAACTTTGAGGCCAATTATCTCCAAACTATAAAATCTGAGTTAACACTTTTTGCGCCAAAGCCTTCAATTGAGATATGGATAGCGATAAACTTTATAAAATTACCAAGTCCCAACAAAAAACACACTTCACTCAATCCTATGAGACCTTAACGTCTTCAAAATTCCAGTGAGCGTTTCAATCGACTCTAAATGCAGCGGATTATCCTTGTCCAACTGCTGGTGCAAACTCATGACACTCGCCGTGAACATCTTGAATTCCGCAGTACCACCTTGCAACCACACTCTAGGCAGAACCAGACTGATTAACCTCACTTTTTGCACAGCATCCACCAGTTGACAATACTTGATAGCCATGAGCAAGTAACGGTTGAGCAAAGAAGTCAACGCCAAGTCTTTGAGCGTGTTGTCGTTCAAAATGCCTTGCCAGCTAGTGATGTTTTTCAAGAGTTTCAAACCACCGGCGAATTGTCTTTGGAAGAACGGAGATTTGCTTTCAGACAGTTTGGGAGTGATAGGAATGAAAACGTCATGTTCCAGGGATATTTTGATTTTGTGCAAAACGGCGTTGAATAGGTTGTTCAAAGATTTGCTGGCGGGACCTAAGTGGGGAATCGACGAATATATCTGTTCACCGTTCCAACTAGTCTCAAGGTCTGGGAGCTGGACAGTGGATCCCAACACCTGGAAAAGAGAAAACAGTTGAAGTATGATGCTGTGTCAGCTTTTGAAAGAAGTTACAGAAAATTTCTATTAGATGAATTGTACTTTATATTGTTCCTTTCCATTTTATATTTTAAATGTTTTTTTTTTGTTAAATCTGCCTAAATTGATTTGACCTTTTTCGTTAAATTATATTTGAAATTATATTTTTATATAATTTCTTTATACAGGGTGTTTCAGTTTATTGTTGCATAGCTTTAAGATTCGATAGAACTTTTAAAATTAATGCATAAAGTCTATATAAACATGTTTCGAAAAATGCGTTGCTTCCGAAATACAGGGTGTTTAAATTTACTTTCTAAAATAGTTTTTTTTAAATAATTCGAACAATATTTGATGTATAACAGTGAAAATTGGTATACAAGGGTTGTTTGGTACGACAAAACGAACCATGGACATAGTTTTACTGTAGCCGCTAGAGGGCGCTCTCTACTGTACCTGTAGTGTATTAAAATGACCGAAATTTTTTACTTAGTGACATTTTTTGCTTTTTGAATAAAAAAACTGATTCTTCGCACTTTTCAACATAAAAAAGCTCTCTTGTGAATTTTTGTTATAGTTAGCCGTTTTTGAGATATTTCGATTTTAAGGTTCGATGCATTTTTAATTATTTATGATAAAATAACGTTAAAAGTCAGTATCTCGATAATTTTTAGAAGTAGGCTGTGCCTGCAAATATTTTTGAAATTGAAGGCAGAATAAGGTTAAACGTCAATTCGTTGACAGTTAGTTTTGTTGTCTGTTGAAACCTGAAACGTTTTCTGCAATTGTGAATGCACGAAATTTAGTTTCTTTTACCTGTTTTTTTTTTTAAGTTTTAAAAAAATGCAATTTTTATTCTCCAATCACGAGTTAGCGGATATTCATTTTGTGTAGGGCTTTGTAAATGGAAACGCAGCAGAAGCAGCCGGAGAATACGCACGAAGATTTCCAAACAGACGACATCCAACTCGCTCAGTATTTGTAAGAGTGCATCGCCAAATAATTGAAAATGGTTTTGGAAATCTCCAATGGGATCAAAACATAATTGTCGTCAGCGCAGATTTACCCCGTATGATTCTGCGTGAGTTTGATATTGATCCGACCACAAGTGTTAGGAGAGTTTCCGGTGCATTGGAATTTCAGCAAGCCATGTTCACCGTGTTCTTAGAAATGACCATAGACGTCCTTACCGTTTGCAACCTGTGCAAGGACTACAGCCAGGGGACGGAGAACAAAGAATCACATTTTGTCAGTGGATTCTTGATAGAACTGATAATAATAGGGAGTTTTTAAGTAACGTTTTATGGACCGATGAGTCATGCTTCACTAGACGTGGAGTGGTAAATTTTCATAATCAACATATTTGGTCGCATGAAAATCCGCATGCAGTTCGGGAAAGAAATTTTCAGCATGAATTTAGTGTGAACGTGTGGATTGGTATCTACCGTAATCGACTATTTGGACCCTACCTTTTGCCTGCAAGGTTAAATGCTGCGACCTTCTTGGAATTTTTAAAGGCTGAACATGCAAATATGTGGGATGATGTTATGTTAGATAAGAAGATTGGCCTGGTTCCAGCTTGATGGTTGTCCAGCTCATTATTCGCGAATAGTTCGAAACTGGCTGGACGAAAATTATCCAGAAAGATGGATCGGCCGTGGAGGACCAGTCGCCTGGCTTCCACAATCCCCTGACCTAAATCCATTAGATTTCTTTGTGTGGGGATTGCTAAAAGAAAAAGTGTACCAGACTCCCGTAACCACAAGAGATATGCTAATAGACAGAATCAGGAATGCATGTGATGAAATAAGGCCTTATTTGAATAATGCTATACCACGTTCGATCATTCGTAGATGTGAATTGTGTATTGAACAATTGGGTTTACATTTCGAGCAACTACTTTAGATTTTGTATGTTTGTCCTAACTATCCAATAGCATTTAGTTGTAAATAATTAATTTAATTTGTTAAAAATGATATTGGAAAATTAAATAAATTAATATTGTTTTTTGTGTTTATTTGGAGTTAGGAATTATTGCTGTGTTTAAAAACACATCTAAACGATCATCTTAATTACTTGTAATGCCCAAATCGAAAATGTAAAAAAATATTATTTTCCCATAAATAATTAAAAATGCTTCGAACCTTAAAAATCGAAATATCTCAAAAACGGCTAACTATAACGAAAACTCACAAGAGAGCTTTTTTATGTTGAAAAGTGCGAAGAATCAGTTTCTTTATTCAAAAAGCAAAAAATTGCACTAAGAAAAATTTTCGGTCATTTTAATACACTACAGGTACAGTAGCGGCTACAGTAAAACTATGCCCATGGTTCGTTTTTTCGTACCAAAAAACCCTTGTATACCAATTTTCAACGTTATACATCAAATATTGTTCGAAATATTTGAAAAAAAACTATTTTAGAAAGTAAATTTAAACACCCTGTATTTCGGAAGCCACGCATTTTTCGACCCATGCTTATATAGACTTTATGCATTAATTTTAAAAGTTCTATCGAATCTCAAAGTTATGCAACAATAAACTAAAACACCCTGTATACATATTTTTTTGACGTTTATAATTATTTATTATTAATATTAATTTGGTTAAGAACTCCTCTGTTGTAATTTTGTTTGTTGGGCTAGTACTTTGATCAGCTTGTCTGTTTACTAGTCCCTTTTGCAGGGAATTCATATTGTTTCTTTATTTTTAATTTTTCTTTCTCTTTGTATTTTTTTGCTCTGCAAATAAACGATATTATTATTATTAATATTATGAAAAAGGATTTATTTTTAAACCATAGCTAGTCATGATCACTAGCATGTGTACCGATGATATACCAAAATCTTTCAACTGATTTATGCAAAACTCATATAAAAGCACTGGCAACGCAAGAAAGTAGGAAGCTATGTCTGTCACTTGTCAATACGGGATATTTTGGCTGTCACTAAGTGATCAGCTGTTATTTATTATCACGTTTTGGTGACCTGCAGTAACTAAAACGAATTAATGTTCTTACCTATCTACAAGGTGTGTAAGTTTTGGTATAATGACTTTTTCCACGATTGTAGGCAACAACGTTATATCTGGATCTTTTGCAAGACTTTCTTCCGTTTCATCATCATGAAGTCCATATAAAGCCAGTGTTCTGTACCAGTCCAACTTTTCTAGGTCCATCTAACGATAACACATGTTTCAGATTTCAAAACAGAAAAATTAAGGACAAAATTTACCGTTTCATTGAGTGGATCCCAAAACACCAAATTCATTCTAACCAAAGGGCTGATAACTTTAGGCAAACACAACGTGGCGTACGCTTCAGTGTAAGCTGTTAGATCATTCGTCCTCCATTCCTCAAATCTAATAAGTATGTTGGTCGCTGATGAATATTCTTCTACTACATCATCAAATACTTCCTTTAGCTCAGCTTCAATTTGTTCGCGATCTTTATGAAGTTCATCGCATCTTGTTGAGAAATTTCGTCGTCACTGGACATCCCTACAAAATTATTTTGTAATAAATGAACATGGATTCCAAATATTTAAATTAGTATGAACAGCAGCACTGCGGCTTGGATTCAAAATATTTAAAACTCTTATTGTTTACGATGGATATTGTACAAAAACGCTCAACTTTGGTTGCTTGCCAGATCGCTAATTTGAACGATAGTGATTATATATTCTAATGAGCTTCAAAATGAGGTTGCACACAATCCTTCATTCCATTTAAAAATGTTTCAAATGGAATCTAATCACCACCTTGGAATTTTCAATTGCACGCTAAAACATACATGCATCAATTTTTACCACGAATTTCAACTTCATATTTTGACCTTTTTGGAAAGCACTATTAATTTTTTGATTTTATTCAATTCGTTGGAATGTTTGTCTACCTTCCACATGTTTTGGCTGTCCTGAACCTTCCCTGGCTCTCCTTCTTCGAGTTCTTCGGCCTTCTCTTTCAGCTGCTCTCCTTTGTTTTTCTTCATCTTCAGGACCTTTCCTCAGTAGACCTCCCTTATTTGCAGCCTCTTCAGTCTGATCCCTATAAATAACAAAAAACAAAAAATCAAATTTATTAACTTTGACAGTGCCGCCTAAAACTTACATATCTGCCGTGGTTTTGTGTACCGTATCTAAGATTTGACTACCCTGAAATTTTTGGGTACTGATACATAATCATAATATACAAGCAGTCTCCTCTTGAAAATATCTAATCTCACTCCCCTAAGGCAAATTACCCGGCCGCGCATGTCTGTTCACGATAGATGTATCTTCTTTTTTCGTTCTTATAAATAACAAACATACGGGGAAATCTATGTCGGAAATATGTATGATAGGTGGGTAAAATTGTTTGAGTGGTTACAAGAGCATAAATGCCAAAAAAAGTAGGAGTCAAAAACCGAAGATTGAGCGATTTTTGTTGTCTGTTTTTACCCATAGCTCTGCCGCCAGTGAAGAGGTTTTCAAAAACTACAAGACACCTCCTTGCCATGAAAGTAAGCTTGTAACAAATTTTTATCAAAGGTACCTTCCAAGTTATAGAGAGTCCAAGGATCAGTGGACAGACAGACATACGGACAGAAATGAGTTGCTTTATGACGTATGTATTTTTTTTTATACTCCAACTACCACGAAGGCCTAAGGCCTAAACACCCATTGGGTACCGTGGGGCTATAGGGGGATACAGGGGAAAGGGGAACGCCACACGGACTCTGGCGAGGGAACACGTGTGCATGCGACATGCACGCATTCTGGCTCCGCCTACGAGATCCGCCGGGTGGTACCCTCCACGTTCGACAGTCAGAGACCGTCTACCACCTACGGACAATCACAACATCCATAGCCAAGAGAAAAATTTCTCCTGGGACGGGACTCGAACCCGCACAGCGCACGGCGACTGATCAGGAGACCGAAGAGTCTACTACTGCGGCCACCGCTGCTGCCTATCACCGCTGCTGCCTGGGCTGTTATGTATCGGGTTTTCTAATAGGAACTTCTCGGCGATTACCGAACTGTCACTGTCAAAACACTCAGTAAAGAAAACATTTTCATCATGGTGAAGTACACGAACGAACAATGCTTACAAATACAAAAAAGGTACTACTAAAATTCCGAGTAGACAAGCAATTCATAGTCTAGTAAAAAAAATTGAGATCATGTATTCGCTGCTGGTTGTTCCCGTGCCAGTGAGAAAACGGGTTACCGAAAATATTGCTGCCGTTCAAGCTTCCGTCACAGTCGAACAGAACACGTCGATTCCACGGCGTTCTCAAGAATTGGGTATCGCTCAGATAACACTATGGCGAATTTTGCGAAGAGATCCTGTCCTGCACCTCTATAAGATCAAGTTAACTCAAGAACTAAAGCCGTTCGATCATATGAACCGACGTACGTTCTCGAATTGGGCTCTAGAAATGTTGCAAGAAAATGACCAATTTCATCGCAAAATCATCTTCAGTGATGAGGCGCATTTTGGCTTCGTCAACAAACAGAATAAGAGTTATTGGTCAGGTAAAAACCTTCATGTGCTTCAAGAAACAACACTTCATCCACAATAAAATAACTGGTGTGGTTTTCATGCCGTGGAGTCATTGGGCAGTTTTTTTTTCGTTGATGAAAATGACCGTCACGTTACAGTCAACGGAGATAGCTACAGAGACATGTTGCAACGTTATTTTTTGGTCAATTGGATGGGCTAGATATTAATGATATGTGGTTTCAACAGGACGGTGCCACAAGCCACACAGCGGGTGAAATAATCGACATATTGAAATCAAAATTCGGTGAACGTGTTACATCGAGAGATGGTCCTGTCGAAAGGCCGCTTAGATCGTGTGATTTAACACCTCAAGACTTTTTTTTGTGAGGCTACATTAAATCATTGGCAACAAGCCGTTTCTGTCGAAATATGTGGCCGAGTCATTAAAAACTGGGTTCAACGAATCGATCGCTGCGAACGTGCCCGTGGTCGACATATGAACGAGATCGAATTCCATATATAAATGTTTTGAGTATACTTGAATCCAATAATAAAACTTTCGAGACATCTCAAATGGTTTGCGTTTTATTTAAAACGAAAGTTGTCCAGTGCCCAATGGAAAACCCTTAATCCAAAAAAACATTTTATTATTACAATACTTCCTCGCCAATTGGTGAACTCGCCTAATGGTAAAGACTTTTTGTTATTCGCTGGAGAAAAAGTATGGCGTACGATAGAGAGTTTAAAAAACGATTCCTCTCGGAACCATAATATTTTTGTAGAAAGAGTAGATCGCCTGTGATGTTAAATTTGTCTGGTTGTTTGTATGCGACTATTCTCGACAAGATTATCGTTTACCCAAATTGCGTTTAATGATTGTCTGATGGTTATCAGTTATTACCCCTTATTTTATGTGCGTTGTCAACGTTACATCGGTTTGATTATTATTATTCCTCTAACGTATACACTGCGATGATTACAACAGGGCAAAAATGTATAAGTAACAGATAATCATAAAGTTATATTATATTAGTTTTTACATTAGGTACTCGCGAGTAGAACAACCGCCTATAATATTGTGAGTTTTACTCGAGAACACAGGCTACCTTACGCCATGTTGAAGATGGAATCGAAAGCGCTAGTGTAGACATCCGTTGAAAAGGTAGAAAGGAAAATGCAAATCCATCAAATTAAAAAGCTTAAGTTAAATACAGAAATATTTGTTAATGATGGTTACCTCACCTCACGTCTTGCCGTCTTCTTTCTATAAGCCATTCGGACTTCCGTGCCATCAGGTCCAAGGCTCTCTGTTCAAGGCTTGCAATAATACCCACTTTTTCATCAAAACATTCCACAAGATCAGTAATATATCCTGTAAATTGACATTAGTAACACCATATACAAATACATATTAGTACACAGACGATTGTTGTAGACAAAATAAATACATTGCTGAATGGCACGGGAAAATGATATTAAACCGTCAATTCAAATCCAATCTTGACGTTGAATTCAAAGCACACATTTCTTCCAAGCCCATTGATCTTTTTTTTTTGGCATTGGAAGTTATCTATTTGCCACAGATGTGTGTTGGCGAAGGCGAGATTCGAACTCGCGGCCCGGCCGGCCGGCTGATCAGTAGCACGACACTCTGACCAACGCGGCCAACCGCGGCCCCAAACCCATTAATCTGTTAGAGGTGTTTGAAAAGATACATTTTTCATTATGCTCAAGGGCGAATTCAGCGACTAAGCTCACTATATTAATAATAAATAATATTTGTGATGTATACAGGATGTCCTCAGAGTTGGGACTTTCCTTTTACGCAACAACCAAGTTAGAAATAATCAAGCTGAGTGCAGTAAAACAGCAGCGGAAACGTAAAAAAAGATATTTCATATATTTTATTCCCCAACTTGCTGTTCCATTTAAAAACACAAGTTCGTTAATTTATTCCTAAATTTGCAAGATTCGGGGCTGTCTAAGTCTTGTCTGTGTTCACCTCGACGGCCAGTGCGACAAAACGAAGAACTGGAGTCCCTCGGCGTTCTACGCATATTTTTCAGGATGATCATATCCATCATTTCAAGATGGCACTTATGCAGGAACTTTCTGAACATGATTTCAATGGATGAACGTGTGCAAGCGTCTCCTCGAAGACGTTCCTGAGGATACCATTGTTTTTTTTTTCAACGATGATGCCCATTTTCTTTTGTGTATCTGTCAACAAACAAAAATGCGCTACTGGGCTGACATCAATCCTCGAGAATGGCATCTAAAGCCTTTGCATTCACCTAAAGTCACAATGTGACGCGCAATTTCTTGGTTCTTTGAGGAAAATGAAGTTGCAGTGAGAGTGAATTCAGACCATTATGTAAGCATGTTAAAGGAATTTTTTCCATGGTTAGATAAGTTGGATTTAGAGGGCATTCGGTTCCAACAATACCGTGCAGCGGCAAACATTTCAATAGCATAAATGGCTGATTTGAGCTATCCCGATTTGGCCACTAGTGGTTTTTTCTATTTTTTAAAATCCCGTGTTTATGTGAACAGTCCAATGACCCTACAAGATTTGAAGGTCAACATCAAGGAAGAAATTGTCAACAGACCACCTGCTATGATGGCAAGAGTCATGACAAACGCCAGAAATCTTCAAAACTATGTGAAACAAAGCTTTAGGCTCCTACATCATAAAAAAACAATAAAAATATTCTGATTCATACCATGGATTTTATTAAGTTTTAAAAAAAGAAAGTTATGCTGCCACACTTGATATATGTACAATTGAATCATAGGTTCAAACTTTGGATGCCTTTTTCTCGATTTCATGCCAAGTGCAGATACCCTATCTGCGCTGATCACGGTAGCACACTCTGTAAAGGAAAGTCCCAACTTTTAGGGCACGCTGTATGTAGAGTATATCGATATTTTTTGGCTGTTGACTGCTTTGCCCTGTCAAACTGCTCTAACACAGCTACCTCACCTCTGAGCTCCTGATAAAACTGGAACCTCCCAGCAGCCTCCGGCGCTTTTACCTTCGTATCTTCTAGCTCTATCTTCAGCCGCTCTACCTCCACCGCCACTTCATCCAACCTTCTTTGATGCTCATCTCTACGCTGCATGGCCGCCTCCAGGTGTTCACGCAGGGAGGCGGCGATTGCCTGAGGGGTGCGTGCCACTACTGGTGCACCAGTAGCAGCTGATAGAACAGGAGCACTGATACGGGGGGCAGGTGGGCATTCTGGGGGGTAGAGGAGTTCACGGGCCGCTTCCATTGCCGCACCTGCATTAACAAAATTGTAATGCCTAAAAGTCAGATGAGGCAGTTGATTGATCACGTTTTCTACATGGTTGACGAGTTTTTGAATTTATAAAAAGATAATTTTTTTACTGCGTTAATTTTCGACATTCAGGCCCGATTTTACTAGCAGGAGATCAAAATTCTTGATCCGGATGTGGTAGCAGTTCTGTGACTGGAGAGCTGAAGTGATGAAAGGCAGTGGTTTCAATATAATAAAAGATTTTCGTGTTCTTTCTTTTTCCCCCAAAAACTGGCATACGTATATTTATACATACTGAAATATTTTTCTTAAAAATATAATTGCCAATATTTGCATATGTATCGCGAACAGAGGATGAGTCTGACAAACAGTGGTTAATATATCTACACATTACAGCATTAGCCGGCAATTTAATCGTGAATCGACACGTTGATGCATTTTAAAAACATATTATTTCTAAAATTATCTCTCTCAGGTAAGTAACTACGCATTACAGCAGATTCGATCTACGATTCAGGCAGGGGTTGAAAGTTCCTCTCACTGGATATGTTTTCGATGCAGATTTACCGAAACGCTTTTTGATTGGTCATTGTTGATGCGGATCATAGGTTTTGATGTCCGGATCAAGAGGAAAAATATGTATTTATAGCTAAACCATGTAGTTTATTAAGAATTTTTGATGTAATATGTGTACTAAGAGGCCGTTCTTTCACAAGTCGTATATTTTTTCGCTAGTTCGATACGTGTTTTAGAAGAAATCGACTATATTTATTTGATCCATTTCTACGAAGATGTCTTCTCATTGGTCTATTATGATCAGGATCAAAATTTTAGATCCCACGGATCAATAGCAAATAGGGTTACAAATACGATAAACATACATCAGAATAAATGCTAAAATAAAAGAGATACCAAAAAGGGGTAGTTCACCACAGGGTGCTCTTTCACTCACCCTAGAGATAAAATCGCACAATCTAAATTAAAACTTGAGTTATGGGTGATATGAATATGTGTAATAAGTTACATTTTTCCTATTAAATATAAAAGCTGAGCTCCCGACCCCAAATTATCTGCCTCTCCCCAAGCAAATAATTCTCACCAGAATCTTAATCTCAAAAAAAATATTTTTTGAAATTCACTATATTTTAAAAATTAATAACATAAAATTAATTTTTTGCCCCCAATGATTTTTATACTAACAAAATAAATTTAAATTTTAGTTACTAATTTATCCCTCGAAAGATTTAGTTATATAATAGAAATAGGGTTTTGTAATGTCTGTTTCTGCTACGTATCTGGTACTAAATTATCCAATATAAAATGAGATATCCTGCTGTCATGTACAAAAACTTGACAGCTACGTTTCTCCCCCCTGCAATAATTAGAAATCTATTTTGTAAAGGTTTGTGTCTTATAGATGATGATGTTAGCTATGGTGCTATCTGTGAAACACTAAACTTCTCAAGGTAGATTTCTAATAATTGCAGGTAAAAGAAACATAGCTGAGACATATTCTCTTAGATGATGCCAGGATAACCCATTTTTTGGATGCCAAAACACAGTAGAGAGTAGGTAGAATATGTTAACCAATGACCTAACATAGTCTATGGAAAATAAACATATGTCTATCTATCTACCAGTCTACATATGGTGGGAAATGTTTTATGACATCCCCAGCAACAATTAATGTATGTCTGAGTAAAGGATCATCCCAATTCTGCTTTTGAAGTTGAGACACATATTGATACATGGGTAATGAAACAATAACTAGAGAGAATTGCTAATATGTTTGCAAGTTTGCATACACTTGATTAATCCAAATAAGAAAATGTTTCCTGGCAATTTTCCTAACCATCCAAGCAACATTTTGTTGTTTTTTAGCCTGATAATGGTGAATTTTTTCAAGATTCTCAACCCATCTGATAAATAGAACAATGTGTATGTACCTGTAACTGCTTTCCTGATTTGCTGATCTTCCCATTCATCTAGCTCTTGTTCTGATTCTTGAGCTGCCAAAAACTGTTCCCTTCTTCTTTCCTGGTCTCTCAAAGCTAAATTAACCTCCATGTCTATTCTCTCATCATCACTTCCTTCATTATCATCTTCTCTAAAATTATAGATTGAAATTTATCACAATCCTGATTCTTCTCTCGATTCATTTAGGAACAAAGAAAAGTGGTTATAGAAAGTACATTTCAACATGTTGAATAATATTTGAATTTCATATTAACCAGCTATTTTTTCCTCATAATAATAAGTGATGTTTGTAATAATAAGTGTTAAATCAATTTCATAGATTACATATTTTAGTCAATTCTTATAATCAGTGTCATCTGTGCATCAGATGAATTAACTAGAAGTTCAGGGTCTTCCATTTGAAATTTTGGAAAAAAGGATGTTATTTATCCATCTGTAGAAAGTTATGAATACCTATTGTCAAAAAAAAGTTCAACTGGAAATAAAACGAGGACGAAATTACTTCTTCTAAAATCGATTTTTCACAAATGCATTTATAATAAAAAATTGAATTTTATGTGAGCATTTTTTACTCAGTCATAACCTTATTTGACATAAAGGTCCTCAATATCTTGAATCAGTAAGTATGGATTTCAAAGTAAAAAGGCTATCACATGAGATATTTTCAGAAGATTGTGTCGCTTGGTTTCTGAAAGACAACATAGCCTCTTTCAATATATACTTACCTGATGATATGCTGAATTCATAGAATGTGGAAAATGATTCTGTAATAATGAATGGAGATGAGAAACTGAAAGTGTGTGAGGCAGTAGCTGAACAGTGTGACAATGCAATGATTACCTAAAACTCATGCAAGGTTTTGATTTCTAATGTTTTTACCTTAATAATCGTCCCTTATCCTCAGGTTGTTGGTCATCTTCTTCTGTAGGTATAAAATCTCCCAATTCTCTAGCCCTTTGTCTTCTCTTTCTTGCTGCATGAATCATAGCAGCATCAGGAATAGCACCTGACTCGAGCACCTTTTTAAAGTTGTCTGGTTTAGAAAAACGGTGAGATGGTTCCTCATCCTCATCTGATGATAAATCATCTTTGCCTGCACACAAAGCATCTCTCCCACTCAAAATTGTGGGAGGAGTGTTCGGTTTTTTGTGATTCTCGTTCACCACAAGCACCAAGTCATCAGTGACAATCTCTGTTTTGTCTTTAGCTTTTGGTTCCTCCTTCTCTTCCTTCTTGGCTTCTTTCTTCTTCTTTTCTTTCTCGAACATACGTAACACTTTTTTACTGTGGGAAGACTTCTTCACTTGGAAGACTTCACCTTCTTCTTCAGCATCGAAGCTGAGCAAAGTTTGTTTAGGCTTCGATTTATCTTTGTCTTTCTCTTTTTTCTTAGGTTTCCTTTCAGGTTGCACCGTCTCCTGAAAGTCCATGGATTCGTCATCGTCATCCTCGTTTTCAGTAAATACCCTGCGCTGCACTATGTTTCTTTTCGGCTTTTTGAAAAGCGACATTGATGGAAATGTTTATTTTTTCCGAAACGGAAGTGGATCACACATCACAAAAATGCTCTCGGTTTGAGGTTACGCATATGTTAAAAAACTTTGCGGGCATGCGCTGTTGAAAATTCAGCCGTTCTATGATAGTGATGAGAGCACCTGAAGTTTGTTATTCGGATCGGTAAAGTTCATTACCAAAACTGTTGACAGCAATGGAATGCAGGGAATATTGCTTTTCTTTCTTTGAAGAGAGACCGCCACAGTGGCGCTACAATTTCCACTTCGGAAAGAGTTAGTAGAAATTGCCTTAACATTTCAGATTTTCGTGATTCGAAGACGCTCAATCCTCCATCGACGGGTAGACTATCCATTGCGTGGTGATCCATCTTTTGTAGTCCGTGAATTTTCAACAGTTTCCAAATCATTTCCGTTTCGTTATCCACGCGGGTAGAAAACTTGTACGTCGGCAAAATATGTGTGACGATGTTGCCGCGTCTTGGGGTGCCACATATTTTAAAATTTGTACTATTGTTTGAACTTCACATCCAGCGATAGGAAGCCATAAAACGATAAAATCAGTAATGTTTCTTTTTAAATCACACTGTTGCCATTATTGTGCGCGTCTAACGACAGTACCGCGCTAAAGCCTGACTTTTTATAGATATTGCTTGAAAAATACGTCAAGTCATAAAGCAGCTTCAACGCTGTACTGTCGCTAGACGCACACATTATTATTATTTCATTATCTATGCCAATTAATTTTGACACTTGTAGTCGATTGCTATGTTGGGTATTTCTATAATCCTCGCACACATTTGCCTATCAACTTATACCAACAAAAGTCGTTTACCAAAAATTGTATATACCACCTAACTTACTTCACTTTATATCCAGTCTAATCATATTAGCAAATTTCCCCGAAATAATTGTAAAGTCTGGTTTTATTAACCCACCTCCAGTCGCGCAGTTAGAGAAAATCTAACAAATTTTATCTCACTATACACTTTTGTTTCTTTTTTTTTATACTCCAACTACCACGAAGGCCTAAGGCCTATGCACCCATTGGGTACCGTGGGGCTATAGGGGGATACATGGGAAAGGGGGAACGCCACACGGACTCTGGCGAGGGAACACGTGTGCATGCAACATGCACACATTTTGGCTCCGCCTACGAGATCCGCCGGGTGGTACCTCCGCGTTCGACAGTTAGAGACCGTCTACCACCTACGGACAATCACAACATCCATAGCCAAGAGAAAAATTTCTCCTGGGACGGGACTCAAACCCGCACAGCGCCTCATCAGGAGACCAAAAGTCTACTACTGCGGCCACCGCTGCTGCCTGCCAAATAATTGATTCTTAAAGACGAAACAAGGAAAACAAGTAAAAACACAATTTGCACAATTTGTTTATGGTTCCTACTGGCCGTAAAGCATCATCCACCCGAGTATCGTTTGGTGTGGGTAAACGAATTTTCTTATATGTAATTTGAATTGTTAGAATTAATCTAACATGCGACCGATCACGTTGTTTCATTTTAGCTCCGCTATTAGAAAAAATCTATCGACGCGACTGATAGCATTAGTAAAATTTTGTGTAATATCTCGGTAAGTTGTTTTTAGATAATGTCTATAACTAAGTTAGTTCTTATATAACGTTAAAAATATGGTTTTAGAACTCTTAATTTTCAGTTTTGTGGCAATCTTAACATTGTAATATCTTTGCACTTGCGAAAAAGAATAATATTCATAATTCGACTTGAATTTTGAGTATTATTACAAATTTTTTTATTCCAGAATATTATGGCGTCTCCGAGAACTGAAGCCAAGTGGCTAAAATGGTATGAGGAGATTGATTCAGATACAAATTCTTATTCAGATATTGACGAAGCTGCTTCCGAACATAGTATTTATAACACAGATACGGAGCTGTCTTCTCACGAAGAAGAAATAATTGAGCCGATCTCGCAACCTGAAAGATTATCAAAAGTACCTTTATTTTTGGAAAGAATGTACGAAATGGTTAAAACATAAAGCTAATGAACCGTCACGTAAAACACGAAGCCAGAATATAATCACTAAACTACCAGTTTTTTAGTGACTGCATTCGCACTTGAGCGAGGAAAACCCCTAGAACACCTCAATTGTCACTGCTAATTTTAATTGTATCAGGTGAAGAAAATTTAAGTCATTCCACAATTCTGGCTTCATTTGTAAAATTGAAAATTGTCAGCACGCCACAGTTATTAACCTAAAAAAAAGTAGCATTGAAGTAACGGTTTATACGAGAGTCATTTTTTAAATAAGAACCGTTTTGTAATCCAGTCAGAGAAATTTTATTTATGAATGTAAACTGTATCACAAACTAAAATCTGAATCTTTTTTCAACATAGCTACCATAAACATTCAAACACAAATCAAGTCGTGGCACCAATCTTTGTGTTAATGTAACATCTGAAACTTATCATGTGGTTTTCATGGCGACGACTATTTCTCTTTTCTTAATTTCTACCAACCACAAACGCGCAATTTTGATTTCTCTAGACGTCTCTGACCTGTTAGCATTTTTTTCCAGTTTACCCGCAGCAAAACTTGACAGCTGCTGTCACCAACAATTATGTATTTAGGTGAATGATCTTGAAGTGCGCGTTTCTGGAAGAAGGCTCCTCAACATAGCAAATTAGGTAAGTAACTTTACATCTTTGACATCACTACCATCATATAGATACATACGAGTATGTATATTTTGGTTAATAGTATGAATTTTTAACTAATGTCTAGATAATTAATTACAGTAGCAATCGACGTTACTTCAACAACTTGATTCAGTCATCTCTCATCTCAACCAGACTTGCAAGAGAAAATGTTTGAAGATTTTCACATCCGTCTCTGTCATGCCTCCGGTTCTCTGTTTTATAGCCGTTTTATGACTATCGGCAAAAAATGTAAACGAATACAATATCGTTGTCGTATAGTTGGTAGTAGACCTAATTTCCACTTTGAATACACTTGACACCCACGCCACAGCACTAAAGCACCAGTAAGACACAGTCGAGAACCCTAAAGTGAACACCACTAATAAAAAAAGTAGCTAAACCGAATCGGCACGGAGCTGTGATCGCGTAGACACTCCGCACTGCCGGCGCCGACAGTTGCCAAGAGACTGACGCGTGTGAGTGCTGTACCTCGCTGCGGCGTTACGGTACGGCCGGGTAGTACAGCCACGCCACTTTCCAGCTCCTACTCCGCGCGTCTGCTCCCGGTGAACGTAAACATCGAGTCGCTTCGTGATACTGTCAGATAAGAAAACGAAGACGCGCGGAGTGAGAGCTGCAAAGGGGCGTGGCTGTAGTACCCGGCCGTACTGTATCGCCGCAGCACTCACACGCTCAGTCTGTCGGCAACCGTCGGCGCAGCGGAATGTGCACGCGTTCACAGCTACGTGATTCGTTTTCAAACCTGGAATCTCAGCACCGTGTTTAGGAAACTCAAATGTCTTACCTCGGTTGTTGGAGGATATGTGGGCACCAAATGTCCAACAAGAGTAGGGATGTGATGCGTCTGCCTGTAATTCCACATGATCGACGAGTTATCAAGCTGTAAATTTTAAGCGTCCTCAAAATGAATGCCTATCTCTCCGTATAAGACGGATACTAATAAATAGAAGAGTAAAATGAAAATCGTACTTGTGGTATTAATAATCATGTAATTTTATATCAAATAGTTAATAAACATATTTATATAATAAACCATTGTTTTTTTTTCAATTGCTGGAAGAAATCCCGTATTCAAAAAGTATTTTATCCTATAAAACTGGACATTTAAAAAAGTTCAGAGACCTTAACATTCCGCCGCATAGACGCCATGCGACTCAAAATGCAAATAACAGCTTTTGTTTAGTTTTTTGGCAAACATTGTTACGCCTCAAATTTTATATATCTCGATTGGTATTCCTCAATATTCTATTCAAAACTTATTTTATTATAACATTCTATCAAAATAGCAGAGGTAGCAAGAATGATGAGGTCAACTGCCAACACGTATGACTATCCCGAGGTAACGACGGAGTCATTTAGAACAGTGCTGTCCAAAATACGACCCGCATGCGGCCCGCTTTACGGGTCATGTATACATCACATGTATAAATTACTCTCAAATACCGAATATGCACAATTCTTACATTAACGATAAAGTACAATAACAACACAAGATTTTATAAAGCGGCCCTCCAAACTGCATTTTTTTTGAAGTGGCCCTCGGGCCACATTAAGTTGGACAGCCCTGATATAGAAGTTTAGAACATCAAAGCGGCAATTTCCAATTTTCATTTTTTTACGTGTTGTGCAACGATTTCGGCAAAAATCTCGCTACGGATAGTCTTCTAGAGTCTAGAATACATTTCAACAGTTGTCTTGCGTGGCCATGTTATCTTTACTCGGACCGATTCTATATCTTTATCTGAATTTCTGATTGCAAAAATATCAAATATGGCGTTTTTAATATCGACAGTTCCTCCAGATCTCCAGGAAGTAGGCGGCGCAATCCGACAGAACGTCAACGGTGTTGCCATTGTTTAACGTGCAGCTCCCACTTCTTCAGTCTTGTGTTTTGTGCTGCGCTTGTACTCGTAGGAAAGCATCGTGCTGCTTCGAAATGGCTTTCAGCTGCAGTGATAATTTGTATTGCGCAACGTTATTTGTAACAATAACTCAGGATGTATTACCAGCGCAGGAAATCAAAGATACTTCTAAAAGAAATCAAAACACCAGGTTGCATCAACATCGAAATAATTCTAATCATAATGAAAACAAAATATTAAATAAAATGGTCGAACAGACCTTCTAGGTGATAACCTTCGCTCTTCAGCCGGCTTCTATCTCTTTCTACCATGTGTTGACACACGCTTCTTTCTCGTACAAATTAAACTCAAGCCTCACACAAATTTGGTTTTCCCTGTACAGGCTCCATGAAAAAGTGGTGATGGGTCGTCAAGTAAAAATGACAATGATTCACGAACTTGCCTCTTAGAAATATGTTCATAGATTATTCGAATTTAACCGTCCACAAAAGAAGAGTTAAAAGAGCGGAATTGTATGCCTTGAAGCTGAATGAATCTGTTTTAACTATTCTTTTTCTTGTTTAAAAGGTGACTTTAACGCTTTTTTGTAGACATAAAACAATTATTAGACATTTGAAGGAGTTTTCAAAAAAATTAAAGAGTAATTTTACTATATAACCTTTAATGACTGTAAAGATACACAAGCTATTTCCAGATACAAAACATTGTTCCAGAGAACAATACACAACTTAAAAAATATATAACTAATACCGTCATTTAAAAAATAACCTAAAATTTAACGATCGAACAGGCTGATAAAATGAGTTTTTTTTAACAGCATGCATAAATATAAATTAACAGGAGAAGTCTAAGATCTCATAATGGAAATTATTTAAAACCAAGAGAATGTTCTGGAAATAGTGCCCCCGGAAATAAGAGTCCCAGGGATATTTATTAGACTGTATTATAAAATACAGAGAATTTTCATATATGTAAGATCGATTTCCTTCCTCTACAATTCGATTCGCGATTGCATCCATTTTTAAATGGATTGTTTATATTAAGTATATCACATTTCGCATAAATATAGCATTCTATTACAGTTACTTCATATAGGTAGAGGAAGGAAACCTTACAATACTACAACCTAACTGACTGCCAAAATTAGGCACGCACCGGACACCTGAGCTCACCATAACAAGCTGACTTTAAAATGCAATATAGCCACATTTCTTATCCAATATTTCCATAACAAACACATTTCAACCTGCCCTATTCTGATTCCACGAAGTTAAAAAATAAAAACTCTTATTTGAGCAACTTCAAATTAACCAAATAGCTTAAGTAAGCTTAAGAAATGCAATGTTCTAACTTAGGCCTGCATCATTCATAGTCGACCCTGAGGGCCGTATCGTAGGTCGTTCCTACAAGTGAAGGACGTCCCTTGATTTTCATAGACTTTCCTGTCCTTTAGAGAGGCAGGGGTATTCCAGATTTCTACTGTTTCGTGTAAGTGCTATATTTTGAGGGTATATTTTCTTTTTGATTTCTAGGATATTTCAGGCTGATGAAACTTGATTTCTATTTCTATCATCTGTTTTAGCAGCCTGAAATTTCTCAAGATTCAAAAAGAAAGAATAACCCCACAATAGGAGGGCGCTGACGCGAAACAGAAATCTAAAAAAATCCCTTCTGAAGGAGAGAAAATACTAGGAAAATTAAGGAACCCTCTTACAACAACTGTAGGAACGATTGACGATACGGCCCTTAGTGTAGATTCCACACTTGCATTTCTCAGTGGGTTGTCGCAGTTGTCACCATAGACTTTGAAAGTCAACATTTGGAGGATTTCAAAGATTTTCAAAATCTTGAAAATATTCAAGTATTCGAAAATGTAGGAAATTTCAGAAATTTTGAAAACCTATCATGACAATTGTCACAGTCTACTGTAAAATTCAGATGTTAATCTGCGCTCTCTGCTATGGATCATTTGAAATCCAAGGGTTGATCAAACCTAACGGGCACTCATCGACGATCGAGTATAAATGCGGGCCTTAACTAAAATGTAATTAGATTATTCGAATTAACCAATTTGGATGGAAATTCTCAAAAAACGGTTTTTTTGAATCCATCATAAATATATCAATCAAATAATGTTATATTAAAAACTGTCAACTGTTAAATTAACATGAGTCAATACGCAAGTGAAACCTACTTTGGAAAAGAATCTGAATCCAATATCCATATTTTACCTAAAGAAAATGTGTCCTGCACTAAATAGAACCTTGTATTTTGCCCCTTTCTCACTCACACCCCACCATTTCTAAGCAGCAGCACAGAATCCGCAAGAAAGAATTCATTTCCATCCCGCTTCTGAAATAAATCTATGTAGCTATATCGCATACAAAAATCTCAAAAAACCTCAGTTATCCATGCACCCGCTTAGCTTTGCCAGCCATTTCATCATTCAACTCAAATTTCTCACTGCCCTCGACCGAAGAACTTATATGAAGCATTCCCTTGCTGATCACGACTGATAGTATTAGCATATTTTGGATCACAAAAAGAGTCTAGATAGTTGTGCTAATGTACACGGAGAAGAAACAAAAAAAAAGAATACAACGACGTAACGGAACGTTCGCCTTCGCCGTTCTGACCTAGACGAATCCGAAGTTTTTGGTCTTGATGGCTAGTAACAGCTTCTGGCGCAGGACGGTGCGGCTGCTGTAAAGGGGGATGTACAGTCTGGAGATGCAAGTGTTGGCGGTGGGGAGATGGGCGTCGTCTGCGGGCCGGATCGTTACCGAAGGCATCGGCTGGAAACCGTCCTCGCTCGCTGGCAACGCTGGGGAGCCCGTCCAGAAGTACACCTGGAAACGACATATTCGAATTATTCATTACCTGAGCTACGAGGGTTGTCCGAAAAATACGTATAAAAAATTTGGGGCGCCGTGTCAAGGCGTTGTGGAGGGGTGGTGGACCGGTGGTTCTCTCTCTATGCAATCGCCTCTATGCTCAGCTCGAGCCGGAGCGCTCTGCGAGTAAGTAGGATTTCGCGTGCTTGTTCAAAGTAACCTTTTTTACCTGTCGACAGCAGGGTAAGTTTCTTGCAAAGCTAATCAAGAATGGTCGTGAGATTTTTGAGTGTTTGGAACAAGTTTATGGAGGCAATTCTCTGCTAAGGAACCAACCGTCAACAAGTGATTAAAAACGTTTCGGGAAGGCAAAGAAGATGTGAAAGATGATCGACGCTCAGGCCACCCCTCCACATCGAGCTCTGAGGGAAATGTTGAACAAATTCGGGGCTGTGTTCTAAAAGATCATCGATCGACAGTTAGAATGATAGGTGACTAACTGTCAATCCACGAAATTCTGACAAAACTTGAAATGAAAAAATTGTGCGAGAAAATCGTTCCGAAGCTCTTGACTCCAGAACAGAAAGCAAGGAACATTGGTTAGAAGCAGATGAAAGGGGGGACTTTCTCAACCGGGACTAGAGACGTGTCTTGGTTCTACGAATTTGATGTGCAGCTGGGATCTGAAAGCATGGAGTGGAAGCAAGCGGGGACACCGAGAACAAAAAAGTCGAAAAAAATCAAGGTCCAATATGAAAACAATGTTGATTGTTTTCTTTGATTCTCGAGGAATTGTTCACCAGGAATTTGTCCCTCCCGGCCTGACAGTGAACGGAAATTTCTACATTGAAGTTTTGCGACATTTCAGAGCTCGTGTGGACCGAGTTCGACCGGATATGGCACAAGGGGGCAGGTGGATCCTTCATCACGACAACGCGCCTGCTCACACGTTTGAAGGAGACCATATTGAAATACTTGAACAATTTTAAAATAAAGTTATTATTCCTCTTGTATACGTATTTTCCGGATAAACCTCGTGTATGGCTTTTCACCAGTTTCAGTTCAACAATGAGACTTGTGCACGATATTTTTGTCTCATGAAACAGAAATCTTATGAAAAGTATTATTTCATTATGGAAACAGACGTGAAATACGTGCGATAATCTCGTGAAATAATGTCTCATGAGAGTTTAATCTCTTTCAACGTTAAACATGATATATAGCGAATCTCACATGAGACATTTATTTCACTTGCTGCAAGTGAGTTACGTTGCTATACCGTAAGATAAAACTCGTGTTCACGGAAATGAGTGAACCACAAGTGAAAAGAGAGCTTTGAAAAGGAAAAAGTCTAGTTTCACTTGGACTAGAGCCGTGATAGAGTTGATATAGTTATATCACTCTTATACCAATTTGTGGGATTGTTTTGTCTGAAAGCTATAAAAATAGAAATCTGAGAGAATCAGCTATAGACGAAAACCGCTTAACTGCTGGAATTGCGTTTAGCATATGTGTGTCTTGTTTTTCTACTGAAAATTTCAATTTGTTCAGCAAATACAGAAAATCGGACATTTGAAGAAAGTTTTTATAACATTCGAGATCCTCCCATTCTAGTTGTTCTAATAATGTTTCCGGCATATTGCTATATTCTCTTTTCTTAATCCAAGCTCTCACCCAACATTTGTGAAACCTTTTGTTCACAGTACGGGAGTTAACAGCAAGATAATAACAAGCAGCGGCTTTTCTTCTATGCTTTTTGTTGGAATTTTTAACCCGCAATCATTTGATAATGATCAATAATTTTTTTTGTTTCTCCGACGTTATCTCATGTAGGTACTATGTGGTGAGCTCAGACACGCACTGTCTCAAGTGAAAGCAAAAATTGCAAGTAGCATAACTCGAGCGTTTCCCACACCCGAATTACTCAAGGACAAATCGACAGCCAACCAACAACTTACCAAATCCTGTCGTTCTAGATGCGTCATCTTCTCAACGATCGACCACAGCCACCGCTTGAACTTGACCAATCGTTCGCCGCTCTCGCCCGATTCGTCATTGAACGACGTATACGAAATGAGCACGGCGACGTTTATGTCGCCGACGCCGTTCAACAGCAGCCGTAGGTCCTCGGCGGTCAGCCCGTCCAGGGAACCTTCGGGAAGGACGTCGAACACTCCAGTACGGATACTCTGCAAAAATAATTATAGGCTTATATGTGCGGAGATGACAGGAGCTGTCAAGTAATTACAACTTCACTATTCGTCGTTTGCCTGTCTGGGCCGGTCCGATAGTCGTTAGGCAGATCTCTCAGTCCTGGTTGTCCAGGTACAACTAGACAATGTCAAGGAAAAAAGGAGAAAGAAGACAGACGTGTGTGGTTCCAACAGGGTGGGGCGACCGCCCACACAGTCAGATGAACGTCATTGCCCTCTCTTCCGTGGTCGCCTTATTTCCAGGTTTATTGGGGCTCGTGTATACGAGTACAAGCCCCGAACTCTGGACAAGTTGAAGGAGGCAATTCGCGTGGAAGTCACCCAAGTTGAGAGAACGATGTTGGAGAGAGTCTACGCGAACTTTCAAGAACGTCTCCAGCAACGCATCGACAAATGCTATTTCATTGTGAACCCGTATCCGTATATAAATTTGCTTTTGAATACAAATTACCTATTTTGAGATTTTTTAAAAACCGTCCGACCTTTGTGCCGAACCCTGTACCATTTATTTACTTGAAATCCACATAACATGTGTTTAGTTTCAAGTCAGCTTTGTCATTAAGAATAATTGTATTCTTTAGACAATAAAAATTACTCCTATTCTTATTAATTCCTCAAAAGTATTAATATTTTCGAACTCTCCAATAATACCAATATTCAAAATATTAAGAATACATAGTATTTGAAAGTACAAAACATTTAAAAGAACAGTCTAGCTACAATAAATAAAGAAGTAAATTAGTGCTTACCTCGATTGCCTTCTCCTGTACTTTCACCATTCTGTATTTGGCATATTCCTAACATAATCGTAAACGTTTGATGCTGTAACTTCAATGTCTTTACCACCAGGCATCAGCTCAACCGTTCCACTTCCTTCTTGAGGGCAAAGATCAATCCTGGAACAAAATAATCTATATTTTAATAAATCATATTACAAACGAAGGACGAACAAGATGTAATGGATAAAAAGGTTAACTAATTGCACAAATTAAAAAAACGGCTTACGTGAAGTTTAGACCAAGGGCCGAAAACAAGCTATTGCCATCTTTACTTTCTGCATCCACGACTAGTTGCCTCAACGATTCGTAAACGACAGGATCAAAGAAAGCTAGATCGTGGAATTTGATTGGCCTGCCTAGGATGGACTTTAGTACATGCCTGGTCAGAAATATCGGACATAGTTCATTTTGCAACAAACATAGACCTAATAACCTGGAACAAAAAAACAAATGGTCAGTTGGGAAAAACTGTGACATTTTGCAGTTTGGTTGTTTTTTTTTACACCGAAGCAGCCATGCAGGCAGAAGCCTAAATGACAGTACACTGCGGCTGCTATGAGGATCCCAAAGAAATTTTGTTAATCCGATGTATTGATTTCGATTATTTACCTTCCAACGTTCCTAAAAGCATTCAACCTTTCGTAAGTCGCTTTGCCTTGCCTAGGCGCATAGAAACCTCTCTTTCCGGGACAGTAGAACAGAGGTGCATTGTCATCTTCTTCTTGGTTTTGCAGCTGAGCTGCATCCTCAGGATTGTCACCGCCTGATCGCGCGCTTCCCGATTTCCTAGCACCTCGGTCGTTCAGCGAAAATACGTCTAATTCTATAAATAAGAATTATGTTGATCAAATTACGATACTTAACTTTATCTTCACTTGTTCAACTGTACATCATACAAATGAAATCCAACAAAGCAAAATTATCAAAATGATAAAGTTCTAATAGAAAGATTGTTATAGAAGAAATTATTGTATTGAAAATTGAAACGGATATTCAGCTCAAGTTTAATCCTCATTGAGTAGTAATGATTCTTACCTAATAAAGCTTCTGATGTCAACTCTGACTGAGAATGTGAATGTGCTAGGATCATTTCTACAGCTTCTTCCACTTTCGCCCTAAGAGAGTCCTCCGAGGCCAATAGCAGTAAAAGTTGGGCAGGTGATAATTCCAATAACATTCCCGTTATCCTTCCGGCAAACGTCGGGTGCAAATTGTATACCTACAACAAAATGTACATCTAATTTCATTCTTGCAATGGGATAATTTCCCAAATTCCAGAAAGCGCATCCTAGATGTTTTTTGAAATTTGCCCACAAAAATGATGTAGTAAGTTCTAGCGTAACGAAGAATTTATTATTATTTATCATTTTACATTGAGAACATTTTCGCGCCATAATTTATTACAACTTTCAGAGACAATTATCGCAACAAGAATGCCTTGCTGAGTTACTGTCTGTTTTCGGCAACGAAGCGCCACATCAGTCGACAATTTCCCATTGGTATGGAGAATTCAAACGTGGACTGGTGAGTTTTAGCGACGATCCCAGGGTGGGTGCACCAAAAACGGCCGTCACCCAGGAAAACATCAATGCTGTGCGCAAACTCATCATTGAAGATAGACATGAGACATATCGCGAGATTGAGGCGTCCTTGAAGATCTCAAAGACCTCAATTCAAACAATTTTACATGAAGAATTAGGAGTAAGAAAATTAGTTTCTCGTTGGATACCCCACCTGTTGACTGAAGAGCAGAAAGCAGCCAGGGTTAATTGGTGTCAAGAAACACTTGACCGTTTCAATTCCAGAAATGTGCACAGCATTGTTACTAGTGATGAATCGTGGATTTACTGTTATGAACCAGAAAATAAACGACAGTTGGCTGTTTGGGTGTTCCAAGGTGAAGAAAAGCCAACAAAAGTCGATTTGTGAAAAACTACGCGAGGATTCTGTTTACAAAACTTGAGCATCCTGACTGGTCGTGTTGGAAAGGGGCACTTCGTTGGATAAAACTGCGATAAAAACGTATTCCAATCTTCAAAATCAAAATTTTTACTCATATCTCTATCACACTCGAGATATGAATGCCCCCTGATCGGGAATATTACTTTCATAGTAGTAAAACGATTTTTCTTGGTAATCAAGTAATGCAAAAACCGAATAACTGTAAAGTTTTCATTTTGCCCTGCACAGTAGTCACATAAAATGGCAAGTTCTTTTACTTCCATAGGCAGAATGTTATAAAAAAGTTTTACAGCATATAACAGACATCATCAGCTCATTTTTTAGCAATAGATTCATCGTAGGTATAAAAGATAGAATTTGAGTTTGACAGAATGTGGATGTTAAAACTGATCAAATTTAGTTGCCGCTTATAGTAAATATCATTTGTCGTGATATTTGGACAGGACAAGTTTTTTTGGTAATCCATCGTGATACTTTTGATAGCGGGGAACTTCGAGGCATGTTTGCGGTAAGTTCTCTTTAGACTGTAAAAGCGCTCACTCCTTTTTACATGTAGTCTTTTCTCAAGTATCTTTTTCTCCAAATTATTACTTGCTGACTGTCTAGTTTGTTCCGTGTGGGAATTTAAGGTAGCGGTAAGTGAAGATATATCAGCTTTTAAGGAATCACGTACTACTAGTATCTTTTCGTGAATAACCGAACGATATATTGAAGTTGTTTCCAAAGATTTCTCGGAAGGATTGATAGGAAATCTTGTTTTCAACATTGCCAATAGAATACATTTTGTGTAATTTTGCGATATTTAGATTTTCAGGTAGCTAAACTTTTTGCGAACCCGCCAAAGAATAATGAGATTTGCGGCATTTGAGGCTCTTAATAAAGTCGGTCACGTTCTGTTTTGTGTTTTCTGAAAGTTTGTGTGTTGTGTTTTCCACACATGTCGATAGGCGATTTCCCAGTTGCAACTAATGAGTCTCTTATGTACCGAACTCGACGAACTGTAATTCCGTGTAAAGATAAAAAAGCCCTAAGACAATCTGGAACATCACGTATAATTCCATTTTCAACCAATCCGACACGATAACTAAATGAAGCATTATTAAGCCTTGACTCTGCTTCATTTTTTCGAGGGCGTCTACGCATGTCAAAGCCCGTATTATAAACTAAATTAGCGAATATAGTCAATATTCAAAATATCAGCGTATACAACACACGTGGACTCTAATAGTAAACCAATGGCTGATGCAATAACGAAGCGCCCAAACGGTACGGCCGATGCAACGCCGCCTTTCCATATGGACTAATGCCATTTTCCCCAGTAACCTTCAAATTTGAACGATAAATAAATTTCAGTAGCTCTTTTTTGCGACTTTTCCAAAGCTTTTGACTGCGTCAACCATGATAAACAATTAGAGAAATTAACAAATACGATTGTACTGGAACTTCAAACATATTTAAATCATCGCTCCCAAATTGTAAAATTGTTAAGGGCTGTATCGCCAGTCCATCCTACAATTGCAGGACGCGTTTATGGCCTCCTCGATTTTCATAGTATTTTCTCTCCTTCAGAATGACTGAGACAATTCTAGATGTATACTGCTCAGTGTCATCGTCAGCGCCTATTGTGAGTTTATGTCTATGATACAAAACAAAAGCATGAACAATTTGATGCAAATAGATATTAACATAACCTAAAAATAGAGCGTTGACACGGAACAGTAGACATCTAGAAATAGCCTTGCCTTTCCGAAGGACAGGAAAAACTATGAAAATCAAGGAGGCCATAAAGGTGTCTTACAATTGCAGGAACGACAAGCTGTAGAGAGTTTTTGGATGACACTGTTTAATCTCAAATAATATTTCCATTTCCTTCTATAATTATGTTTATCATTATTTCCTGTGTATTATCTGTGTTCATATTGTAGGACGTTTAACTTATTTTTTGAAATTTATAATTATGTACTATTTAACACAATATATTTATCATTTGTACCTATTTATTTTACTTTTGACGTGCCAATGTACACATTTGTATCTAACCGGTTAAAATCAACATATTTACATCTATCTATACTCACCCTAGGATACAGCCTATCTCCGAGCTGTTGCTGTTGCACCGTAAGATGTTCATTCCTCTGCACCGGTGCCCCGCTGTTAAGTCCTCCCGTTCCCGCGCCACCGGTACCGCCCGGCGCCGCCGAGATGTCCGGCATCGACGGAGCGCTGCCTGCGCCGGCCACGCTGCCGCCTTCTAGCAACAGCAGCTGCTGCGCCTGCGCATTGGCGGGCGCGTCTTGCGCCGGCTGAAACGGCCGCGCGTCCACGCTCAACGTGCGCCGGTGCTGCTGGTCACGTGACTTGCTCGAACCGGTGCGCGACGGAGCGGAGCGTCGCAGCACGTCGCGATCTCGACGCAGCCTGAAAATTTTGCTAATCACACATACAGATATATACGGTTCTACAGAACAAGGTGTTGGTGAAGGCGAAGAGGAAATATACCAAGAGAGGACACCGAAGTTTGCGGGTTGCCATCATTGACTATGTCCCTATAAATTGTTTCCTATGTATCTCGCCAAATAACAACACGTGGTTAAACGTCATTTTGGTTCCTTTAAATTGTTTTGGCCCATCTATCTCTTTTTAATGTTATTCGCCCTGTCCGTCTTCTCTTGGTATAATACCTCATATGTGCCTCTATTAGAACTATGTTATTCTCAGATTGTGTTACATCCGCGACATACAAGCGAAATTGATGCGCTGCAAAAAAAAAACACTCGTTGTAACGGAAGGCAACTTGCGTTTTGTTTATCACAGCCCCTTCGCAATACGATTCGCAACAAAACGAGTGTCGATATTTTTTATAATTAACCCACCACACAGGCCAAATACTCAGAAATACTCTGGGGCTATGAGGGGATAGGGAAAAAGCGGACAGACTCTAGCGATGAAACAAGTAAGCATGTGACATGTACATATTCTGTCCCCGCTTTAGACATCCGCCGGGTGGTACCTTGACGTTCGACAGTCTACCACCAACGGACAGTCCCAACATCCATAGCCAAGAGAAAAATTCTTATGAAATGGAATTCCAAGCTCACGGAGGCTGATTAGTAGTAGACACTAGCGTCTCTCACAAGCGTGCCCTGTACAATATTTATCAATGTAAGGCTGAAAGCGCGTTATCTTGCAGTGCATTATAGTATACCCGTGTGCCCAGGAACATGGATAGAAATAAAAATTACATCAATTATTAGGTGAAAAATATTACTACAGGTACCATCAGTAATAAATAAAAAAGGCTACTTACACGAGAGCACCTACTCCAAGGTCCGGTTTTTCAATTGCAGAATAACTATTTTACTGCTAACCAGATATTAACCCTCAAAACGCGTTTTTCGGTGTCAGGTTTGATCTAAACCGATAGTTTACCTTAACCAGTTGACCAGGTAAGGGTTTAGTACAAAGTCGTAGTTAACCCAGATACTACTACCGTCCTTTATAAAGGCATTGCGATTCAAGGAGTTTCAGTAATTTGACAGAAGGTAAGAGTGCTTATTCTAGATATGATGGACTCAATCACCTTGTAGTTTATCAAGAGAACCTGCAATGTTGTGGCAAATGCCATAAAAAAGTTCAGTTTCGCTGCAGAAAATGTAGTGTTCCACTACATCCTAAAACGTGTTTCGAACAGTATCACACCGAATAGTTATTTGTTTTATGTCTTGCAATGTGTTTTTGAAATAAAATTTGTGCTATCAGCAGGTCATTTTATTACCGTCCTTTTTAAAGAACACCTCGTAACGGTTAGTTAGGGATAAAAAAGTTCATAAACTGGTTTTGGTTGTTGAAATAGAGTTAATTTACTGTACTCTCACTAAGAAATCCGCAAATATTGGGAATAAAAAGTTTCAGTAATATCTGGGTTAAAGCGCAATGCTTGACAGTGAAACGTAAAAGAAGCGTTGTCAGATCAACAATTACGGGTTAGTTAACCAGAAAACTAAAACTTGTAAGTGTTAGTAACCAGAACTAAAAGTTAACCAGCGACTGAAAAACCGAACCTAAGTTGATAAACAAACGTACCTCTGAAGAACGCTGTACTGCGAATATTTGCTGTCGACTTGCGCCGGCTCCAAATTGGGCAAACTCTCGTTGGACAGTATGGCCTGCGCGACCGCCGTGTAGAAACTGCGAGCGACACCACTGCCCTCTCCCGGCTCATCCTTGAACGTCACCTTCACCCGACTGACTGCAAGCGGAGGCGATGCCGATGAGGAGGCGCGTCGATTGTAGCTGTTATACTGGGTGTTCAGCTCTTTGAAAGTCTGGACTAGCAGCTGTGTACGGTCTCGCTCAATCTAAAACAAAAACTTAATGTTTTCATCCAGATCACAGATTAGAAAAATAAAACACTGCATGGATGATCCGAAGAACCTTTGCCCATTAGTCTTTGTCTTGTTGTTGATGGCACTGCCGTCGCTAGTCGGTTTGGATTTGCCCACTAGTTATTATATAAATTAATATCTGGGTGTCCTTGTAACAGTTCAGCTAACCTTCTAGTTGTATTATAAGAAACCAGTGACAATCCGAATAAGATACTTGTTCTTCGCGTTTTGTGAGTTCTTTGTGGCAGTAGAGTTGAGAATCTGGCTGTACAAAAGCCAGACAATGTCAAGGTCAAAGAAAAGATAGCGCCACGTAGGTTGACTCTGCACATCCTGTGCAATGCTGACATCAGTATATCAAAAATGAGGCAAGTTAAATCCGCTGAGAAAAAAGTTACGAACACGTACAACAGAGAAATCAAACAACTTTCCCTTCCCTGCCCTACCTGTAGTCCATCTGGCAACGTCGCCTTTCCCAGATACCTAACGGCACAACGCGGCAGTAAGGCCAGAACACTTACCAAGATCGTCACGCTCGCCGGTGACCCCAGCAGAAGCATTGACGCGTATCGAATGCATTTGTTTATCTTTCAGTTTCAAGGGTAAATGTACGGGAAATATTTGATGAGTGAAATATGTCTAACAGATGCGTAGAACTACAGAGATTGAGTGCGTATAAACATACTAAAATTAAAAAAATCTAGATAACACACCTTACAACCCTCCAACCTACCAAAATGAAAAAAAAAAAGAAAGTTTGAGCGATTTTTAATTTCTTTGTTTTGGACCTTTTCTCCGGCGCCACTGAACCGATTTTCAAAAGCTACAGAGCTTTTTCGTCGTTGGCATAGTAGTAACCTTGTGTGAAAATTGCATCAATATTCGACCGGTACTTTCCAAATTGAAGATATGAATCATTAAGGTCCATTAAAAATAAACTTTAATCAAGGTATTGTTACACCGCGTTGAAACATGTTGTTAGATTCCTGCTGCAAGAGAAAACAAAAACAACAAAATTATGCTAGCTTGGAAAGATGATCACACAAAGGTCAGGTAGAACTGGTTGATTCTAGTGAATACACTTACCTTTGATAGTGTCAAATCTCTCTGCTGGTTATTTCTCAGCTTTTCCATATCTCTCCTAAACTTAGCTTCTTTAACAGGAAACCCACCAAGCTCAGAAACGATCGATCCAGGCTCTAAACCTACGTCTTCCATGAACACTCTGCCAAACAAGTCCAGAGAAAGTCTCCACCTGCAAAAAAACAAGTCAATGTCAAAAAGAGAAATTGTGGTATAAAAGCATTCTTAAAGAGTGCGCTTAACTGCGCCACTCATTCTTGGCTCAGCAGCCGTCTGATATGGAGGTCACTATTGTTGATCCCGTCAAGTGTGAGTCAATCCGTAATTTGCTTTTTGCACGTCAAATTAGATTAGGTATTTTCTGGTGGAATATGTTAATCAATACTATAACTAAGAAGTGGATCTTTCTTACCTTCCCAGAAGTAGATCATGCGATACAGATTGTCCAACAGTAGGTCTTTGTATTTCTGGGGGTACACTTGGAGTAGTTATTACAGTTACATTGGCAGAGATCTCTTGATTTTCGAGAGTTTCTGGTTGTGGAATCTCCGCCGAGGATAAAATCTCGGATTCCGGTGCTTTATGGCTCTGCAAAGTACAAAAAAATCATCATAAAATATGGACTCTACAGAGAGCTATTGTAGTAGTTTTTGCAGTTCCTTAAATGAAATTGTTAGGTGTTTGCCCCGTATCTGTCCATAATCTAATACTTCATCCAACCATGGTCATCAGAAAGCAATAATGTTCTAGGAAGTAAAGTGATGTACAAATTATATATCGATGCGTTTGCACACGTATGAGACTTCCATACATTCAATACAAATAATGTTCCACCAATATAATATAAAAATTGGAAAGTATGAAAAAATCACCACTCACTATTTTAATATGTATGTAAATGGAGGTCATAGGAGCTATACAAATATATGAAAGTTAAGTATGAACTTACATTAGAAGATCCAGCTCTCACAATAACACTTTTAGCAGGACTCCTAGAAGAACTTGTAGACGGCGTAGAACAACTAGAAATAGTACTTATACTCGTACTTTGGCTACTCATATCTTGTGACGAGTCATTTGTGCCTAACACATGAGACGAGGTCTGGGACATCTGAAACCATAACATCAATTAAACCACGGCTCAATTTTAAGAGTTGCACGACATTACCTGTTCGTTTTGGCTAGCTATTTCCCAAACATTTTCAGATTTCCTGGCTGAAACAATTATTTGTGGACGTGATATGGTTTGACTATCATTGTTGGCATATAGTTCTTCTTGATTATCCCTGCTTTTAGAAAGATCCTGGGGTCTGTCATTTGAAACTTCCACTGAAAAAAATAACATAAGATTATTAGAAATAGAAAAAGTGAAATAAAATTAGAAGATCTAGCTCCAACAATAACACTTTTAGCAAGACTGGACTGGTATATTAACTTACTGTTACTTTCACTATCCGCTCTATTTCTTCTCGTCTCTCCATTCATTGCATCATCAGTTTGTTGTTGTGCTTCTCTTGTGTAATCGTCAGGTCGATACGTCTGTGGGTATACCAAAGGATTGGGTCCCATTACATTCAGTGACCTAGATATAGGCTGATTCGCCCTGGCAGGCTGGCTCATGGCATAATCGGAGGTACGGGTGGACAGACTGAGTTTGGTTGGCAGTGATTCTAAAGGATTGCCAGAGTTGACACCTGGAAAAACAAATTCTAAAGGTTATATTTTCATTATCATTTGTTGACTACATTATATACAATGTACATGTGAGGTGATGCAACCTTTTTATATCAAGTCACAGCATCAACTTACCTGTATTTACCAACTGAATAGAATCGGTGGTTAAGTAATGTTTTTACCAACTTTTGAGAAGCAGCGATTAGATATATTTTCAAAATTATGTTCTTCATTCGTATTGACGAAAAATTATATAAATGAACATGGATCTATTACTTTTAGTAATATTCAGTCGCAAGTATGCATTATCTAGCTGGTTAAATAAATTGAAGATATGATCTCAGGATAGAAGTTTGACTAAGGAATAAAGAATTACCTGATGATGTCAAGGTGACAGATTGCTTAGGTATACCAAAAAGGTCCTCCCTCCTAGCATTAGGTTGCAGCAGATGAGGCTGATCAGCCAATGGCAACGCTTCAGCCATAGGCGTATCAAAGGGATCCGGGGGTGGGCATCCAAGACAAAGGGTTGACTCTGATCTCTGTGAATATAAAACAATTTAGATTCTACCTTCTTGAAAGCGGAATAGAGACAGTTTTACAAAGTTTGTTAAATAGTTTACAAAAACATGATCCAAAACAAATGGATGTTCAGACAATGTGATATTATCCACATATATTGTATTTTTAATAGCAGAAATAGATGTTATACATTCAGTTTTCAAGAATATGTAGTTTATTTTTTTTTGCTCGCGTATTGGAAAAAAGATATATTTGGAATTTGTGCCTTGAAAAGGAACTCGGCCAATAGGATTCACTTTTTTACCAGTAGAACATGATCTTACAGTTTAAGTCAACATCGGAGAATAAGGGTTATTTCCCTAACATTTGTGGCAAGCCTGACCCCATAGTAGAAGACTTTTCGGAAGTTTTGCAAGCCATTTTTTGCTAATACTTTTAAAACCATGGCTTCTACAAAAAACTAACAACTTGAGTGTTGAAGAATTGTTCGCATTTTGCTATCATCCATTGAAAACAAAATTTGATGAGGACCCCCTGAATAGAGTGAGGAATAGATACATTATTTAAAGTAAGAAATACATTATATTGTCACGTCACACAAACCCAGAAGCTATCGCACAAGCTCTCAGACTGTAATTCATAATATATACAGCTACCCTTACCCAAACGAGGGTGTGAAGTTAGAAATAGGCTAGTTGCCACTTTTTTTAAGTATGTCTTAAATAGTTAATATTTGTAATATTGAACAAAAAAATACTATATATTTTCAGTCCTAAAAGACTGTAAAACTTGAATTTCAAAATACACTTTTGCCATGTATGACCCATATTAATGTGTTCTGACGTCACATAATTTGTAAACAGCAGCTGCCAGAAGTATAACCTCTCAAACTTTTAAACATATAAGCATGACATACTAGTTTACACGAAAAATATAGTAATTATGTATGGTTATTCTATCGTCCAAGACTGTAAAAACACATAGGGATCTCAAGAAAGCTGTGGATTAGAGTGCAACACTGTGTATTGTTTGGAGCATACCTTATGTTCGGAAAATATTTTACATTTTACTGTGGAGATTTTATCGACTTGTTAAGTTGGACGTAACCTACGGCATCTTCACCGTACGATTTCCTTGAAGATGTGTAAGGATAAATACAATGTAATTTAGGTTTTTCGGGCTGTTGAGCCGTGGTCGGGTTGGATTTGGTCCAGAGCAAATACAATATTAGATAAAATTATTCAGAGGTTATGACGCGTGAGCTTAATTTTTAATGACTTCTGAAAAGAAAGATTATGTAAGTGCATTACTTGTTCTTTCTTTTTATATCTATCATTATATCAGATGCACTGTAGTTACATAGAAGTGTTGAAGTTCCACAATTCAGTAGAGCAGAAATCTGGGTTGAAGGCAAAAAAATGACCAAACCAACAATGTGTCAATTTTCAAAAAAATTGTTTTCTGATTTTTTTAATCCAACGTCCATGATTGCTTTTTTCAATAAAACGAGAAAACGATAATTTTTTACGCTGATTAGGAGTTTATAAATAATTAAAGAAGACAACTTTAGTCCACGAGTGACAAAACGAAAAATATGCTTTTTTAAATTGGACCTATGTTGTATATCCATCTTGCACTTTTAAACATTGAAATCGATATACATATTTCGATTTGCTAAGACAAATACTGTATGAAATACTTATTTAGTCTACGAAATTAGATCAGTCAAGTAGCCTATTGAGATTTCAGTTTGCGTAATAGCTCGTGAGTTCCTGTGTCGTAAAAACGATTTTCCGTTTCAACATTCACCGCATACATTCCAAATTCCGATTCAAAATAGCATACAGAGATTTTTTTTATCATAAATGCCATTTGCGATTTCTTAATAGAAAAAATATTTAGCTTTTCCTAATCGGCAAAAATGATATCAATTGCCTGGCCGATGAAATCGAATTCAACGTACCTGGAAGAAGGTGTGCTTCCTCCCCTTCCCGCTATTACTGGCCAACGAAGTACTCAAATTACTGCTGATATTCGCCGCCAAATTAGACACATCCTGATCGTCTAGCGACTCTGTGTCCATCGCCACTGGGATATCCTCCTCGGCCTCTTCGTTCTCGTTTTCGTCCTGATCGGCCCAGGAGGCGGGCAGAAGCACGCCGTCGTGCCGTCCATCGGCCGCTACTCTCACTCCGCCCCCGATTGCACTGGCCCCGCCCACACCGACGCTGTCCGCGTTGCCCGAGCGCATGAAGTAGATCAGCGCGTCGAACACGTAAGCGACGTGCTTTAAGGCGGAGACGTCGAGGACGGGGAGCGAGTCGAGGTGTTCGCTGTTGTGGGCGCGCATCAGGGATAGGCAGTAGGAGAGGAATTCACGACGGGCTGCGTGCTGGGAGTCGCCTAAAAGAAGGAAAAACGGCATTTAATTATTGTCAAAAAATGTTAAACTTTCCTTAAAAAGAGTGTCCCAATAGGTATCTTGGAATATAACATTCAACGACTCCGTTAAATTCACAAATATTGTCAAGCAGCTCACCATCGTTACCAAGATCGTCAGCAGACTCAATTGAACGCCCAACTAGCAAAGTAGTGCTATAAGCGTTTGGTAAAAGAACCGTTCAGTCATAAAAGCTCTCTATTATTGTTGCCTGAACACCAAAATGCTTGCTTAATGTTGTGTGGAATGCAAATTTGCTTTCTGCAACATATTTGCTCTAAAATGAGGTGTTTAAAATATTCTTATACCATAGTTATACAACACCTTATAGGTCAAATTTTTAACTGTTGCATAAACGTTTATACAACTATTTTATATGGCATATTTGCATGTTAGTCAAAATGGTTGTGTTGTGGCATCCATGGTAACGTTTATAAAACAAACCCGAGCCTTGTTTTGCTGTGCAAATTTACTACTTTAGCCAACAAATTGCTCCCAACGGAAGCACTTATACAACTGTTGTTTAGTAACTATTAAAGGCTGTACATATGCAACAATATTACAACTTTTGTAGTACAAAATTGCTGTGCTCGGCATACATTTGTTGTATACAACTTCATCATAACCTAACTTTCTGCTGTCATATTTTTGTTAAAATGCCATAACCAATGATTTAAGACAAACATCGCATGCATATTGGTTCAAAAGGTTTTATCAACTGTTCAAACAGGAGATATAGATCTGGTACAAATTCTGGGTAAATCATTCGACTCTGTCGGTATTTCATTTCAGACATTTGTCAAATTGTTGTATAACACCTGCAGGCAACACCAAAATGTTCTAATAAACTAAAGACAACATGGACGATGCCATGATTATACACAAACACCCGCCATATTGGGCAAACATTTATTCCTCTATTTAATATTAAATAATTATGTTTCAGTTCGAAATTACAGATATAAAGTGATAAACATTAGTGTAATTGTGTCTAAATATAGGATTTGTGGAAGATTTAACGCAGATAAGTTCAGTTTTCCATCTTAAAAATATAGACATACTTTTGATCATTATCAAAATATGAATCAAATACGAAGCCCGTAACTAATTTGCACGATAATCACAATAAAATTTGCTGCGCAAGTAATTCAACAGCCCTATATCAATGTGTAGAAGTTTATCATATACCTGTGTATGAAATTCACAATGGCCGATATGTAAGTAAACAAGATGACTGTAATGTGTTAGTTATATATTCTTCACTTCGTCTATACAATACATAAGAAATAGTTTGGTTGCAATAAAGTAGAATCACGTAACAGAATAGTTGTATAGTTGACAAAAACTGAATATTGCACTGACGCAAATGTCCTATAGCGGCTGCAAGAGCCTTACACTTTTGTTTTATAACTGTTACCTGCAGCCCTTATACAACCCCTTAAATGACTGAGGTGTCCTATTAGGTGTGCCCGCTTGTATAGCTGTTCTAAGAGGGTTTTGCCAATGTTCTTACAGTATACAATGCTATGTAGGGAATACTGTATAATCATTCTTGCAACTCTAATAGGAGTGATAATTGTTAGTTGGGAGTTGCCTGTTTCACCAACCATGCATACAGCAAAGTACGACTCCAATGGCCGATTTTACTATTGTCCGGCGGGAATCAAAATCTGCGCCTTTGGCACAAGTTGGACCAATGAGAAGGCGTCTTCGATGTAATGGATATTTTTTACACTGAATCAATGAATTTGGTCGATTTCTTGTTAAATGTCTCTCAAATTAGAGAAAAATTATAAGATTTCTGTAAGAAGTGTTGATCCTTTTTCAATACCACTGACACTGACGGAAATATGTATTAGGAAATACTGAAGATACAGACGACAGTAAAAACTGATCATGTGATATTCGCCTATGGAAAGTTCACTCACATTTTTGACGAAAACGAAAAAATATAATGTGGTTGAATATAAAAAATATCATATCATATTTGGTTTTTATTTTTATATTTAAAATAAAAAATCATCTTTTACCAGAACATTTAGAACACTACATAGAATTGAATAATCATTACCACAATTATTATACAAGATTTTCATTTATAAAATTGCAATAGTAATATAACTAGCAAACCAATATTTCAGAAAGGACTACTTGAATTTAATAAACTAAATAATGAAATAAAGTCTACTTGTAATTTAAAGATATTTAAAACAAAATTTAAGGAATATTTCATGGACAATGAAAATTCTTAGAGATGCAAATTTTGTTTTTTTTTCTGAATGTCTATATGTTATGTAATTGTTTAGTTTTTTAGAAGAATGTAATTGTAGCAATCATGCTAAATAAATCTTAAACAACAACAACATATACTCCTTGACATTTCTAAAAATCCTTAGATATTTATAAATTTCAACATAAATCAGTATATCCAATGACAACAATACCTTATGCAGATAATTTTTCATTTTTTCATATAAATAAGTAATAACATAACTCACTTTCTCTTTCAGCTCTAGATCTTCCTCCTTCAACATTCGTCGAAAAACCAACAATTCTATTTCCAAACGAGCTGGTTGTGTTAGACACGGGTAGTCTGTTACTTTGCCTTGAAGTACTTGTGCCGCTTGTAGATGCTAGAATATACAAATTTTGACCACATACAGTTTATGTCATTAAACAATGTCAAATAACATACAGTGCTTTTCAGAAGAATCCCCTAATATCCTTATTTTTGAACGGGTCTAGTTGGCAATATGGAATATAAATACAAAAATAGCAGATGAAAATTTCAAGATAACGACTAGATGCCATCTTATAACATTTTTTCAATTAGAACTGGAATGGGGGTCATGAGATACCTATTTTGAAGCTACTTATAAGACTTTTTAAAACTCTAGAATATAAAATGGCAGGTTTTCAAAGCTGGGAGTTTTTGTAAATTACACTGAAACATAACAGAACTAATCATCAAAACATTATAGTATGTAATATCAATCTTTTTTTTGAATGTTCAAATGGCTTACTCAACACATCTCTTAAATCAGTATATTCATTTTACCCTATTACTTATAGAACTTTAATTCCTAAGAGCACAGACTTAAAGCCCATCCAGTGAGATAATTGATGATGAAGCTTAGGTAGATGTCTGCATAGACACAAACCCTTAGAAAAGTTGAAGAAGAAGAGGTTATGAAGTGCTCATAAAGACCGAGAGAAGCTTTTTGAAAGCAGTGTACATTTTCAAAACTGTTGATTCAATTCAGTCTTATAAATGTCGAACAATTGAAATAAATAAATAACTTAATAATTTTTAACAGAACTTCAACAATGTTAATTTTTTGCTTAAAATATATCTATATATAAATTTTGTAGTTCGGAAAAAGAATGCTTTCGTACTTACCAGTGTATTGTTGTGTTCCAACACTGGGATCTAAAGAGTTCGTCAACGAAGCACCAAACTTCAGTTGAGCTTCGGTAGCGTCCATCACAGTTAACAGCCAGTCCCAAGTCGATTTCAGGCGGAACTCCAAATAAATTTGCACATTATAAATGTCGTCTTGATACACTTCCATTACATTTGCATTTGAAGACGTTATTTGGTTTATATCTGGCATCAAAGCAAGCAAGTCGGCAATTTCCCTTATCACAATTCCTGAAAAAAAATAGCTGAGTTAATAAAACCTTAGTCAGCAGACAAAGTTGACGCAAAACATAAAAAGAATTAGTACGATGAACATTTCATGTAAACATTAAAAGCAACAGAAAATAGACGTATAAAAATAGAATCCTACTGGGATGTTGAGAAGTACTTACCAAATGCTCTGGCAAGACAACTCGCGGTAGTCGCCATTGTTATGGGTTCTTGACCAGCTGCTACAGCAGCTGCCGCAGCTGCTCCACTGCTACCTCCTGCTGTAGTCGTCGATCTAAGATGCAAGAAATGATATGAAATTACTAATCTTTAACTGCAAAGCACCAGCTTGAATTTAAAATGTATGTCTTTTGTGGCCAAATCGAGAGTAGACTTTTAGGGAACTGTCAAGATTGACAACTAACAAGATAAAATCTCAATTACCTTCTCAATGAACTTGGATCAATGAAGACAAGATTGGATCCATTGGGCAAACGTACGCCTTGACCAGGTCTTCCACTACCGCTTCCATTGGCAGCTTCCCTGGCTGACCTAATGGCCCACTGCATGTTTTGGGGAGCCAAATTTGAACGGTGACTGCTACCTGCTGCATTGGAACTTCCTCCATGGCCCCCGGCACTGGATTAAAAATAAATAGTCAAAATATGTAAATCTACTTAAAAACCATTCTGTACATTTGTAGATTATAGCATCACCTCCAAATAGACAAATACCTCCTCTAATCATTGAAAAATATAATAATACATATTGAAATTGATAGTGGCCCTAATACTGAGCCCTGGGGAGCTCGAAATGTATTTTTCAATACAATTTCTGTCTGTTCTCATTGCTATTCCATATCAGTAATTTAATAAGGAATATTTGACGGTATCAAAATAAAGTCTATTACTGACCTTCTTCTCTCCAGTTGGTCTTCTGTAAGGGTATAATCCTCGGTGTCCTGTTCGTCCGTCTCGCCAGCTTCACTTTCTTCTTCTTCCTGTTGGCTAGAATCGCCGCTCTCATCTTCAGGGAAGAGCAGCATACCACCTGATAAGTTAGGTTACTTTGCAATTCAGCGCTTACGCGCATTGGAGGAGTGTGCGATTTTAACAGAAAGACAATGCATTTGTCGTAACAATAATTTCAATTGTACTGATTTATTGACTTCATTTAATTACGAATATTGTGAGCAACAGTATATCGATTAAAGGTTGGGGTTGGAAAAATTTTACGAACAAAGATCATGCATTTTTATGATGGCATTCTGGAAACAACTCCTTACACAGTTTATGCGGTTTCAAAAAGAGCAACTGATAATGACCTTCCTTCCTACCCTTATCTTTTAAATTCAACTTGAGAGATTAAATATTGCGTCCGAAAATTTCGTTCGAGGCATATATATTCACGGAAAACAATGTAAATTAAATGTTAAACATCGTAAAACATGGGTCACTTCAGTGGTTTATTCTATCTACCACGAGTCAGCTTCAGTGTCGTCACAAGATGTCTGGGATAATAGTCAACTGTTGTGGCAGCTGAGAAAGATGTCTGGTGATTAGCTGATCGCTATACTTGACACGTGTTTTTTTGTATAGAACACAGCTTTCTGTGGCAAATTATAAGTATATTGTGATTGCCAAAAACCTGACAACATTCCATTAGATGTTGCGGCTCCTGCTCAGAATCTTCTGTTCTAGTATGTATGTCTCTTCGACTACAAAAGTGTGTTAAAGCATAGATACTAAAATCTGACATTGTTATAGTTGTACGTCCCACATCTTGTGAGAACTTAAAACAGCATTTAGTTGAAATAGTATCCAGTTTTTTATATATTTTGGAGTATTCTACATGGAATTGTTTAGAACGAAAGCAAATATTACATCTACCCCCTATTTGACCGTAAAGGGACATTAAGGTCACAACGTCAATATTAATTATTTAAATGCAAAGTGCCGCGAGCACTATCACAAAAAAAAACCTGATTAACTCACCAGTATCACTCCCCGCTGTCGCCCCAGTCTGTACGGACCTCTGTGCCGACTGCGCGTCCTGATTGCTGTGATTATCATCGCTGTCAGACTCTGTCTCGGCCAACAAATCCAACTCGGGATCGCTGTCGGCAGCATCGCCGCCCGCCCCCGCGTCACGCGCTTCCTCCGATTCGGTAGCTGGGGCTGTCGGAGAGTCGCGACGGGATGATGGATCGCCGCCCCCGACTGACCCGGTACCCGAGGAGGCGGGGAGAGGAGCGTCACCTCCGACGCCGGTTCCGTTCGATGGGTCGCCTTCGTGATCGCTGGCCGCGTCGTCGTCTTGATCGATCGCCATACCTGGAAAATATTAGATTCGTTTTACGATTACAAAAATTGTCTATTCATGTATCAAACATTCTGTATATGTGTGAAGGAAATAAAAGTGATACTGGTAGTTTTTCGTATCCTATCACAATCGATGAAGGAAATAGACGTCAAATTTACTCGATACGACTGAACGTACGATGCGAGAGTCTTTAATAAACATACAGGTTTGCAGTTAACGGTCAACTTTTTTTATAAAAACACACCAAGAAATTACTCCCTTATATATCTAATAAGTTTTTCAGACTGAAGAAAGCAAATTAAATATCGCTGAGAAGATCCGATACTCACTTTCTCCGTCATTAATTTCATTCAAGAGATCTCTAGCTCGAACAGCTCTTCTTACTGCTTCCGCCAAGAAAGGGAATTGAGAGGATGGCGGGTCTGGGATAGATCTGCTTCCGGCAGCAGATGAAGGCGCCAATGGATCTACCAGGAACAGTTCTTCTGACCCCTGTAAAAAATCATTTAGATGAAAATCAACTTGTCACAGACATGGATGTCAAAGCATAAAAACATGAGTATCTGGTAGTTGTCTATGTCCGTATAAAGTATAAATATGAAGCTGCCATAATACAAGGAAGTAAAACGGTTAAATCAAATGGACAATAGTATGATAAAACAAAATAGATAATACTGACAAATATCTTTATTAATGTAGCATCTGAAACTTATCCTGTGGCTTTCATGTCGATAGTCTCCCATGTTTGTTTGAAATATTTGTGGTTTCATTGGCCACACAAACATGGGAAAAAACATCTGTATCAATTTTTTTTTAACTCACGTTTAGGATTTCATTTGGTGAGGTGGCCAATGGAAACGGAGCTGTCGGTCTGGCCACGCCCAGTCTCACAGGAGCAATAAGCGAATCAGCAGTTTCGCAAAGCTCTTCGATGGATATTTTCGACAGAGACTGGAATACCCTCTTACACTTCGTGAGTAACAAATTTTGGTTCGTGAACCGTTGTCTTTTGAGGCAATTCGGTACCATCTCTATGCTGAATATGACGAAGATCCTCACCACAGACCTGGAAAGTAACAATTGTCGTCTTTATTTACAAGATCAATTAAACATTGTATCACAGCTACCCCACATAATATCATCAGTTATGTTTCAAGGTAGACAATTAGAAAAACAACACCTGTGTTGTTTTCAGATATAAGGAGAGGGAAGGAAAGGAATAAAATGGGTGGGAGGCATTAGACGAGGAAGTGCATTGTTTGGAGGGACGGCACTTACCTGACAAATCTTCTTGCAACCACAGCCGCCATTTCTCTCCTCTCCAGCTCTTTACTCTTCATCTCCGCAACAATTGTTTCCAGCAGAGCATCCGTGGCGGTTTGGCATTTGACAAACAAACAGTGCGTGAACTTATCCAACAGTGTCGTGCCCGTCTGTCCGACCACGTATGGTCTATCTCCGTCATCCGGTTCTGCTGAATCGGTTGTAGATTCCGTTGGTACCCCGGACATGATGGTACTTTTCACGGCCTTCCAGTCGCCTAGCAGACACTCTAGAGCGCGACGGCTGAAGCGAGGCGGTTCCAAGTCGTGATCGGGCATGTCAGATTCGACTAGAAACGGATCGATTTAGAAAGCTGAATTTCTGGATGATGAAATTAATGCATGAATTCTAATTTCAGAGTAAAAGTGGTAGTTGGAAACTGCAAAACACGGTTGGGCGACATATTTCTATAAAATGGGGTCATGTGATACCTCATGTTAAAGCTAATTGTAGCCCTAAAGTATGCATTATATTATCTTTCAAAATGGAGAGCTGCTGAGCATTGAGTTTATAACACAACAAACAACTACCAAAAAACTATAGTATGAGTATACTGGTATACTGATACTGGAAAAGAACGTTGGATGGATCTATCCGAATATGTGATAAAATATGGAACATCCCATTTTGAAAAAATGTCAAAATCTATAAGTTCATTCAAATAGACCCTTCCAAAAGAAGACTTATATAACAGACTGTTATACTTCAGTGTACAAAAACGCTCAACTTTGATAGGCCGCCAGTTCGAGATTTTGAAGATGTATAGCCTAAGGTTGTAGAATATTGATAATTAGCTTCAAAATGAGGGACTAAATTACTTCCATTCACCATTTGGAAATTTTCAATTATCAAATTTACGTTAAAATATACATGCATCCATTTTATCATCCTGAATTTAATATCAACTTGATCCAATGGTAACCCTCCAGAACAGATTATACCACTTTGACATACAGGGTGTTTCAGTTTATTGTTGCATAACTTTAAGATTCGATAGAACTTTTAAAATTAATGCATAAAGTCTATATAAACATGGGTCGAAAAATGCGTGGCTTCCGAAATACAGGGCGTTTAAATTTACTTTCCAAAATAGTTTTTTTTTAAATATTTCGAACAATATTTGATGTATAACAGTGAAAATTGGTATACAAGGTTTTTTTTGGTACGACAAAACGAACCATGGGTATAGTTTTACTGTAGCCGCTAGAGGGTGCTCTCTACTGTACCTGTAGTGTATTAAAATGACCGAAATTTTTTCTTAGTGCAATTTTTTGCGTTTGAATAAAAAAACTGATTCTTCGCACTTTTCAACATAAAAAAGCTCTCCTGTGAGTTTTCGTTATAGTTAGCCGTTTTTGAGATATTTCGATTTTTAAGGTTCAATGCATTTTTAATTATTTATGATAAAATAACGTTCAAAAGTCAGTATCTCGATAATTTTTAGAAGTAGGCTGCGCCTGCAAATATTTTTGAAATTGTAAGCAGAATAAGGTTAAACGTCAATTAGTTGACAGTTAGTTTTGTTGTAGTTTTTTTTGCAATTGTGAATGCACGAAATTTAGTTTCTTTTACCTGTTTTTTTTTGTAAGTTTTATAAAAATATTTTAGAAAGTAAATTTAAACACCCTGTATTTCGGAAGCCACGCATTTTTCGACCCATGTTTATATAGACTTTATGCATTAATTTTAAAAGTTCTATCCAATCTTAAAGTTATGCAAAAATAAACTGAAACACCCTGTATAATTAGGAATTCAGAAAGGCTAAGACAGCCTATCTAAGACTTTGACGAGTAAAAGTGAAACGGAAAAATTGCGTACTTTTTTTAAACCCCTGAAAAATATGCTACAGAGGCTTTTAAAATGATGTATCATCAAGGTTCTGAGAGGATAAAAGTAGAACTAACAAGATTTAATTAAATCTACAATATTATAAAAATATTTCTACTTACTATCTGATGATGGTGTCTTATTTCTTGAATTAGACGATGCTGTTCTGGGTCTGGAATTCCTAAATTGCCTCTGTTCCTGATTCTGCCGGCCAACAGTCTGAACCAAAAACAAAAGTATACTCTCACCCCTGCAAACAATACTATCAGAATACCGTACTTCTAAATTTCCTAGACATAAAATATTGATGATACAGATTTTGTTACATTCAGTGAAAAATGCTTTCATACAGCCTAAATCAACATATTACTGAAACTTCAACCGACCATATTTTCAATGAGAAAGGACACTTATTTTAATACCTCACTGTTAGAGCGAATTAAAATTTGAGATCTGGAACTGATGCGCTGGAAAATATAAGGTCAAGATATTGTGGTCAATAGCGAGAAAAGTTATTTTTCACTATCAAGCTTTGGAGAAAAATATCTGACTAGCCAAAAAGTATGAATAACATCAATTTCTAAGTGGGAGGATCGGAAAAGGGTGTATAGGAAGAAGATATAAATTCCCCTATCATTTCTTTTTCTTTTGGATGTTCAGGCTGCATGAACATTTTTACCACTATCTGCATCTGCATCATCTCCATCAATTACCTAGAGTTGGGTAACGTGACAAGATCAGTCTCCTTGATAAGCCTGGTCAACAGAGCATATCTAACATGTTGACTGCCCATTATCAACGCTTTGCATTTGCACTTTTCCCAACAGTCGCAGTACGCTGTAGGGCTGGTGCGTTTCAGCTTGCAATCGTGCCCTTTGTGACACACCCTGGCACATTCTGTACAGCAACATAGGGTTCCCGTCAGCCCGCATGTGCGGCACTCGAAGATATCCTGAAACCAACCGTTCTTAGAAAAAAGTCGAATGTCACAGGTATAGTTTGTGGTTTATTCTATTTGTACAGGTCTGTATTGTATTGTAAATAAGGTTGTAGATATCTGGGTATTACAAAACATTCACCTGGAAAAACTTACCTGGTTAATGTGTTCTGCTCCAGTCCACGTGAAACTGCAAGTATCATTGCAGCAAATAACATGTAGTGGGGAGTGATCTGGGTTGGATCCTTTAGGGAAGATCATTTCGTTCCTGTCTTCTGGTGTTCCTACTTCATGATTCTTTCAAACAATTCTAGCGCAGCTGGGTAGCTACGAGATGATACTGCCAACATAAATGGTGTTTGGCCTTGGGCATCCCTTAAAAAAATATTGTATGATAACTTTTAGCCATGGTTAAAATGACGCGTAATAATAATGGCAGCAATGCCCATTTTGCTGCCACTAGGTGATGGTGTAGTTGAAGGTTAAACTGACAAGAGTAGATGGGGAAAGACAGATTTGATAAAAAGACAAGCATTTTCATGAAACTTAATCACGTTTTGACCTCTATTGACGTAAATGGCTTATCAGCAATTGAAATCTTTGTATTTATATAACCTTAGATGTGACTCCCAACCACAAAGGCTAGAAGTAGAAGGTTAGGCTCACGGAGCCGAAAGCCAAAAGTTCTCTCTCATATGTACATGCTCAGGGTAATTAATTTCAGGTTCTGTGCATATAGCATCTCCCTCATATCTAAATATCTCTGTTGCTGTCATCATGAACGTAAGCAACTCCGATTTTGACAGTTCATACCAGTTGCAAGCAGAAATGTTGCTTAATATTAATAAACCCACAAAGCATGGCAAAACTTAAGTGAAATGAAAAAAACTTGAGAATCAGGATTTTGCGATGTATGTGATAATTTTTATAATGGCATATTATAACTTGATGTTATAATATGCAGTTCTCTGTTTGCGGTAATTTTGTAAGTCGAATTTGAAAAATTGGCTGAGACTGCTCTTCCTCATTGTCCTTGGCAAGATCTTATAAAAGATCAGCAACTGAGCACGAGCATTTGGTTATGAAAGATATTATAGGAACAAATACGTGATTATTGCGATGAGATTGGAAGGAAATGAGAAATTACCAGAATTACCAAATATAATTGAGAATTTGAAAAAACAGAAAATTTGATTGTAATGTACTTAGGAAAAATCAGTCAATGTCTGTTTCCATTAATTGCAGATGATGTAGGTAAACAGGAAAAGAAAAAACTAAAAAATTCGGCAGGCATGATTGTTGACATTTTTCACCCTGTATAAATACGCGCACTAGATTTCCGACAGCCACACCTTCCTTACCGACAGCATGGCGTCATACGAATACGTGTTTTAGGCAGTTCGCCCTCCTATTACCGACCTTGTTGGAGAGCCCGCTATCTCTAGCCTTCATGCCCCCAGTTTAACTAGCGCCATCTACTTCTAGCTTTCCAGATTACGCCCCATGTTCCTCTGATAGATTAAATATTGAAAACAAAGAGCAGAAAACCTGAAAATTTTCAAACAAAAATATTTTTTCCAAATAACTCACTTAGCACACAGCAGTTCAACAAGATGCGCCTCGACCGCAGCGGAATCATACAGCAACGTTCGGAGGATCTGCAGTGCATTCGCTCTTCTTTCAGCCGGATCCAACGGGGGAGGACCAACCCCCGCAGTGGTACCATTTCCGCCGCAGTTAGTTCCTGCGTTCGCACCCCCAACAGCTCCACCACTCCCCTTGTTTAGGCTCATCAGGCTGTCTTCATCGCCAGATGCTACCTCGAATTCTGGCGGCCAGTTGCCTGTAGGCATCGGGTCGTCTTGGCTGAATGATTGTTGGGTTTCTGAAAATATAAAAATAATGCGGTCAAGTAGATTAAAGCTCTGTTCGTACAGCAGTTGTCGACCTGTCAGTGACCGTGCCCAAGATCCCGTCACACAAATTCCGTTCATTCTGCTACGCTATATGAATAGACGGAATTCATACGAACAAACCTTAATATAGTGTAACCCAATTCTGACCAACAATTAATTTCTGACTATCAAGGACTTTCAGATACAGACATCCAAACAATTTAATGACATCATGTAGCCTCTTTACATTCTGGACTGATTTGGTCTGGAGTAAATGACTAATCTGGACTGCAAGAAATTCATTGCTAGAAAGAACTGGACAACACCAATATACATTATATGTTAAAGTTTCCTCAATGCCTCCCTCCCTCCCTCAATGCAATATTTATTTTTTCGTTTTTTGCCCCTAGCTCCAATGTCACAGGACCAATTTTTGAAAACTAAAATCTTTTCCCTACTTGTGTGAAAATTTCATCAAAATCGTATTTTCCAAGTTATAGAAGGAGAAAGAATTAGCGACAGACATGCCGACGTGATGTACAATCTGCGAAAATCAAAAGTTCGCCAATTTGGGCCTAACAAACAAGGTTAAACATCTCTTTAAAATAAAATAAACCTAAAACACTCTTCCTGACAGGGAAAGGTTCGAACCATCATTTCGAAACTTTTCAGGCTCAAAAATGGCTCAACTTTAGAAAAAAGTGTTGCTAAGAACCTTTTTGTTTAATATAATCCAAAAACTTCAAAATAATTGTCAGGACAAAACCTTTTTTAACTGTAAGGATGTTTTTAAAGTGCAATTTAATATTTTTTTGCTCCGGAGAAGTTTTTTTCAGGTTTTTCGGATCATTATGAACAAACAAGATCTCTAGTATCTTTCTCTATGATTAACGGTTTTCGAATTTTAAACGATTCAATGTTTGCAAAAGCATAAACAATGATCATTTTCAATGCTTTAAAACACGGTTGAAAATTATTATTTTTGACCTTGCCTTGTCTAAAATAAAGTACAAGCTTTCCAAGACCACAAAAGAGTATTTCAGACAGTTTATTTTAAAGCAAGTTTATAATTTTGTTCGGTGAGCTAAAATTGGCGAACTTTTGATTATCGCAGACTGTAACATCGACAAAACATAATATCCCATTTTCGAGATTACAGTACTTGTCGCCAGTGGGGCGGGAAGTAAAAAATTCGCAGACTTTGGCAGTTTTTACTTCCCTACATATTCGGTCAGATCCTTTAAAGTGAAGCACATTTATATATCATACTATTTGTAGCATTCTGATGAATGCTCAACTTTAGACATGCTGCCAATTTGTTAGTTTGGAAGATAAGAAAAAAATTACTCATAAGGAGGAGCGGTACAGTGCGGTATTAATTGACCTTCTATTCCATTAAAAAGTGTTTCGAGAAGAAGCGTCCAGAATTTCACATTGCTACCTTAACCTGTTCAATAAATAAGTGGGGGGGGGGGGGGGGGGGTAACAAAAAGGAAGTAACTAACTACCTAATAAAGAAGATATATTCTTGGAAAAAGTAGCACCGAAATACGTGGTTTTTAGCTACTTGAAGATGACTGAGGGCCGTATCGTCAGTCGATCTTACAATTGTAGGACTCATAGTTTTCTACTGTTGCGTGTCAGCACTCTATTTTGAGGTTGTGTTACAAACATCTATTTGCGTCAAATTGATCATGGTTTTGATTTATATGATCTGTTATATCAGCCTGAAATTTCCTACGATTCAAAAAGAAAACATAGCCCCACAATAGGAGATCGCTGACGCTGACACGCAATTTTTTGTAGGAACGAGTGACAATATGGCCATGACTAGATATTTCTATAAAAAAACTTACCACTATCAGAATCTTTGTTTGATGTAGGCGTACACATGTTGACTACAGCATGGAAAACGTTTCTATTGCCGTCACACCTCTCAGTTAAAAATGACAATGCTGCCAAGTTATGTGTTTCTGAAACAAAATATAGGTTTCAATATCTAAAAAAATCCGTCCAACTTTAAAGCGCAACCTTGGTGGACTAGTCTATCCTGATCTGAATATGGGAAAGTTTTTCAGAAAATGGTTAAGCATCTTGCCATTGACACCTCTAATGTCAACTTTCAAACTTGACATGACAAATTAATAAAACTTGTAAAAAAGACGTGTCTTGCTTGTATAATATAAAACGATATTATCAAATGTCGAGGGCAGTCTGATAAATACTCAGCATACATGAGAAAAACGATTTTTTTTTTGAAATGTGGCGATTTATTTCTCAACAAAGTTTCTTTTTAGCTCGACTCAACGATGCTCCAACTTCTTTAATCTGTTGAAGAATACGTTTTCTGGAGGTCTGAAGTGGGCCTCCGTGGCGAGATGCCTACTGACTCAACTATCTCCGCGGTCACGTTATCCACCGTGGTAGCCATTTTCGGGGCATCTGGACGTGGCTCATCAAAAACCGGCGAGCGACCACGTTGAAACACGTTAAACCAATTTTTGACGGTCGCCATCGAAGAAGAATCACCGTACATAGCATTCAAGCGCTCTTTGATTTCCCTTCCAAAAACAGGAATCGAATCACCGACCGATATTGCTTTTTTCCACTGTTCTAAAATCCGCGGACACGTCCGCTTCCACACGCGGTCAAAACAAAAGTACTAGTCCGATTCGGCTGAAATTTTGACAGCAGACAATGACCATACGATAGTAAATTTCCCTTGCGATAGTGGCGAGGATAAGTACTTATCGGACCGCCCTCGTACTATGAAAATTGAATGATCACTCACTTATGTCGCTATCAAGTTGCGCCAGCATTTGCCTGACACCTTCAACGTCACACCTGAGTATCCTAGGCATCAGCAACTGCTGTTCCAATGCGAACACTACAACAGCAGCTTGATTCTTGATATTAGGTCCGGTTGCGCCAAGCAGTGCTATAGACCCGGTGGCAATGCACTTGACAGGCGGCAAGTCCAAGGGTTGCGGGTCACGAATGGCGTCGGCACAGTCTCTGGCCAATGGGTAGATAGTGTTGTTGCCGTCACGGAGAATCAACACTGATTCAGAGCTCTGAAATAAAATAGAAACTTAGATGTTTGAACACTATTGAAAATTTCTAACAGTTTTTCGTATCTGCGATCTCAAAAATGTTTAAGACGATACCGCTTTGCTGTCTAGACCTGACCAAAACGTGGGTGTCTGGACAAGCCAGCAGGTTTTTATCTAACAAGTTCCTCTGACAGATGGGGAGATGGGTTGTGACATCTGCACCGGTAAAACTTCTAGGAATAGTACTTGCTGTCAGACTAAAATGGACATCCCATAATGATCATTCACATTCTAGACTGTCTACACAATTATTTGTTCTTAGGTAGCTAAGCAGATGCCTTGATAATCGTACTTTGCGTGTTGTGTACTTCAGCATGTTTCATAGCCACGTTACATACATACATTACGTACATAATGCTCGGTAGCATCTAGCAAAATGTTCGTTTTACAAAAAACGGCTTTGAGGATAGTAACAAATTCCAGAAATGGATCAACGTGCAGAACAATCTACAAGTATCACCACTTCCATCAATTTACATTTTTGAAGTCCTACAATTAAAATTATTAGAGTCCATAGTGCATGACCAATTAATGCAGTTTATAGAAGAAAACAAAATTTTAGTGGAGGCGCAAGCAGGCTTTCGAAAAAAATATTCCACAGAAACAGCTTTCCAGTTGGTAACTGAGAATTGGAGAAGAGCCATAGACTCAGAAGAAGTTGTCATAGCAGTATTTTTGGATTTGAAGAGGGCATTTGAAACGATTGATAGAGATATTTTGTTAGGTAAATTGAAGGCATATGGTATAACAGGAAGTGTTTTAGATTGGTTTAGAAATTATTTGTCTAAAAGGATGCAAGTTACAAAAGTTAATGACACTATTTCATCAAAAATTGAAAATACGTTGGGTGTTCCACAGGGCAGTATCCTGGAACCACTTCTTTTTATTTTATACATAAATGATTTACCTGCCATAGTCAAAAAATGCAAAATTCAAATTTTCGCCGATGACACTATGATTTATATAAGTACTAAAAATATTCAGTCTGGTATCTCTTATATAAATGAAGACTTGAAGCTTGTCTCAAAATGGTTAGCATCTAACAGACTAAAATTAAATGCAAGTAAAACGAAAGCCTTGTTAATCGGAAAAAAACAATGTACAAATGTTCAACTGAATATTGATGGTGAAGATATTGAATTCGCAGAAAATTTTAAATACCTGGGGGTTTTTGTTGACTCTCGATTAATTTTGATATTCATTATGAAAAAGTTATAAATAAGATTAGTAGTAAAGTGGGATATTTATCGAGAGTTTCTGGATGTCTGAGTTCATATAGCAGAAAAATTATCTATAATACCATCATTCTTCCAAATTTCTTGTACTGTTCGACTATTCTATATTTAGCAAATAATTCCATTTTTGAAAGACTGCAAATTTTACAAAATAAGTGCATGAGAATAATACTAAATAAAGATAAATATACTCCAATTAGGCAAATTAAAATGGCTCAATGTAAAAAATTTTATCAAATATCTTGTAATGATATTCATTTATAAAGTAAAAAATAATATATTTCCATCAAGTCTAACTAATTTAACATCATCAAATGTCGACCATCATTTACATAACACCAGAAATAAAGATGACTTCCATTTAATGACCAAAAAGTATAACATATGTTACAAATCTGTATTCCATCAAGGGTTGATTGAATATAATAAATTATACTCGGTGATAAAAGACCAGAAAACTTTGACAAAATTTAAAGTAAAATTGAGAAATCACTTGTTAAATCTACAATTATAGGTTGCCCAGCATTTACATCATACACCATATGGCTTGAATTTACTAGTTCTAAGTTGTTTACAATTGTTCTGTTTATGTAGCCAAATGTGCTAAATAAATCTTTCTACTACTACTACTAATAGCGGACAAAAGTTTGGAAACAAATAACAACATTTTTATGAACTATTTCATATACCTAAATTAAAATTGTGAAGGAACATGAATATCAAAGTCTACCTTTGGCTTCCGTACTAATTACAAGGTTTGTCTTATCAATGTTCAAATTGTTTGAAAATAAAAACACACTTTTTTTAAATACCACAGATTTTGTAACGACAAAAGTATGGAAACATTTCAGTTGTGCCGTATTTATTCGTTCTACATATTCTGATATTGCGTGAGGTAAATATTAACATCAGTGAGAATGGCAAAAGTAAAAGAATTTTCAAAGAGACAAAGTAATTGAATTATTTAGAAGTGGTGTCAGAAATGTTGCAATTTATCAAAGACTGAAAATGAACCAAGGGACAATTTCGAAAATTATTAGTAAATATCAAGAATACAGATCAAGAGCAAAGCGGTCCAGGTACGAAGACCGAAAAAACACTGATTATGTTTTGGATCGCTACATTAAACGTTTGTACCATGAAGATCCTCGAATGCCAGCGACACAAATTTTCAAAAGAATCGTAGATGAGTGTGCCGAGAATCTTTCTGTCATAACAGTACAGACGCTTTGTGGATTTTGGACTTTTTGGTAAGCGTCCAGTACAAAAGCCTCTCATTTTAAAAAAATCGTATTGCTCGGCTTGTATTTACTAAAACTCATCTAAGTTGGATAGAACAGAATACAGTTTTATGGAGTGATGAAAGCAACTTTAACTTGTTTGGATCTGACGGTACGGCATATGTGAGACGTCCAATGCGACAAAGATTCGACAAAAAGTATCAGCGGGCAGCAGCGGTGGCCGCAGTAGTTGACTCTAGACTCTTCGGTCTCCTGATCAGTCGCCGTGCGCTGTGCGGGTTCGAATCCCGTCCCAGGAGAAATTTTTCTCTTGGCTATAGATGTTGTGATTGTCTGTAGGTGGTAGACGGTCTGTGACTGTCGAACGCGGAGGTACCACCCGGCGGATCACGTAGGCGGAGTCAGAATGTGTGCATGCACACGTGTTCCCTCGCCAGAGTCCGTGTGGCGTTCCCCCTTTCGCCTGTATCCCCCTATAGCCCCACGGTGCCCAATGGGTGTTTAGGCCTCAGGCCTTCGTGGTAGTTCGAGTATAAAAAAAAAAGTTGCCAACAGTTAAGCAGTTAAGCACAGTGGAGGCTACATCTCGGTTTGGGGCTGTTTTTCTAGTTCTGGAGCGGGTCTTATTGTTAAAATTGTTGAGAAAATGGATCAAAAACTTTACAAACATATTCTTAGTGAACACATGCTCCCTTTTGCTGAAGAAGAAATACCTTTACGATGGACATTCCAGCAAGACGATGACCCCACGCATACCTCAAGATTCGTAAAGGAGTGAGACTTAAAAATGTTAATGATCTTACACGGTCTTCGCAATCCTCGGAAATAAACCCTATAGAACATCTTTGGGAGTATGTTAAAAGACAACTGACAATAAAAACTTAAAAAAATAGGAACGATTTATTTGATTATGTGAAAAATATTTGACAAAATATCTCAACATCCACATCTGGGAAAAATTGGTATCTTCTATAAGCAGCAGGTGTCAGGCAGTATTGAATATTAAAGGCTATGCTACCAAATATTAGCTAAACAGTGTTTTTTAAAACTTTTTGTAGAGTTATTGTAGTTAATTTTGTAATAAAAATATGTTTCCATACTTTTGTCATTTCATTTTTGGTCATAAAATAATATGAAGGTATTTTAATGCTAGTGTTGTAGTACCACAGCAATCCTCAAGACTGTAAGCCAACTATACGTATATGAGAAAAAAGAAATAGTCAATAATAGAGAATAAAAAATTAGCGCTTTTTAAAAACTACTAAGAATGTTTCCAAGCTTTTGTCCGCTACTGTATATTGCGTGCACAGAAATCTAAACAAGTATGTAACTTCTGCAGAAATACACACCCATTCACCGTGTAATGTTAACTACATAAGGAATCCATTCTCGCGACGGAATATGACTAAAAATGACAGACCTAACGTTAGATTATATAATTTGTCATTGCAAATAAGGAACATAGTTTTGAAAATATGTCTAATCGCTATTTCTCAAAGTTTGCTGAAAAAACATCGGTTTCTGTGTCAATATATATACATAATGAAGTCAATAAATGGTATGGTAAGGTATTAGAAAAACCATTCGTGAAAAGTATGTTGTCAAAATCAATCAAAACACACATACCTCCCCTGCACACGTCAGTTCGACATTCCCAGCCCCAGCGCCCATGAACGCCATGAAATTGCCCGGAAGCTGATTGTCTCTCTCCACTCTACCGCTGCTCACATTGTACAGCACATAGTTAAGCTTGTCCCCGTTGCGCACAATTGTGTGCACGCCTCTGGTGTCCACGGCCAACGTCAGGATCTTGGCCGAGCCGCCGTAATGGCCGTTGCCGCCGGATGATGGCGAGGCTACTTCCGGGATCTGGACGCGGCGCGGTGTGCGTTGGAAACAGTCTGGTGTGCGAGACGTTGAAGAGGATTTTATCACCTGGAAAAGAAAAATTACATAGAAGAGACACCATTTCACACGGCAGATAGTTTAAAATGTTAAAAATTATTGCCAACGCTTTCGTGGGACTTGTTTTCCATGAAGTAATTAGAAAGTCTCAGTATACAATTAGACCGACCAATTGATTGTAAAAAATTGAAACCAGAATCCATCATACAATATGTTTAGTCCATAAGATTTTATTGTATAAAAAAACAGTACCATCTCAATAACTACAGAAATTTGAAGTCGTCAACAATTTAGCAACGACAAATAGTCAACCCCCCACCACTTTACATACAAGAAGAGCTTCAATCTTGATACTCTAGGGACAAAGGGGTCATACTGTCCAGTTCTGAATTCTATATAGGATGAGAGGCCGAGCTCAGGCGGGTCTTTCAAAATATACTTTTTGGAAGCTAAATAGTGGTATTTCGTCGTAATATTTTTTTCTGGAAATAACCTATTATAAATACAAAGATAACCTGTGCTAGCTAATGAACAATATTTTAATCTACTTCCACTATTCAAATTAATTGAACTGAAGTGTTCTGTAGCACTTATTCATTTATATATTTCTCAACAGATACAAAGATGCAATTACCAAGAAACACTATACAATATTCTAGTTTGATTTTCTAAAATCGAATATAACTAACCAGAAAATATTTCAGTCTGTAAAATAGAATAATCTACTAACCTGTAGGTCATCCTTTCTCATCAACCTACAATCTAGCAGGACGCAAATGTCATCTTCCTTGCCTTCTCGATCTCTGTTCTGCGATGTGGAGGGGAACTTGACTGCCGCATAAGCGCCATCTACTTTGAGTACCCTGCCGACTGGAGCGCCTTTGGCGTCCTCCACAAACACCACGTCCCTCAACAACCATTCTTCTTCGTCTTTACGCTGGTCCAGTGAGGAAGATGATGCGTCGTTAGCTGACAACGACGCGGTCAGACGTTTTTGACGTTCTGGAATGAGAATTGCGCGTTAACCAATTATCAAGATCATCCAAGCTCCCAAGAGAAAAACAAATATCGCAGCACGAAACTTCAGATATGTTGGTTAGTAAATATAACAATTCAAGAAATAAAACCAAGGAGTCATGGAAAGTCATAAATGAAGTATGAGGCGAACCTCCTACGTTTATTAACATACCATCTATAGATGCCGACGTACTAAATGATTATTAATGTACAATAGCAGAAAAAATAAAAAACACTATCCTACAAACATTAGTATTAAGAACTATCAAAAACAAAAAATCATCAAGTATTGATATGATAAAAAACATAAAAATTTCTCTTAATACAGGTGTTTACCCGGAATTTTCATAAACATCAACAGTTATACCCATTCATAAAGGAGGCGAATTAATATGCCAAAAGATTAGAGAACAATAAGTTTAATCACAATTATAGCAAAAATAATAGAATACTAAAGTTCAGATTAAATTAAGAGACGTTCTAAAAATCAACAAAATTATAACTGTCAACCAATTAGGCTCTTAAAAACAAAAAGTAGAATGGATGCAGTTTTCTCTTGACTCCAATGAACAAATGAACAAAAATGGTCTATGAGGCGTTTTTACATCATGACAGAGTTAATTGTTATGGGTAACAAAAAAAAACGCGAGACAAATAGACATTGCAAATACTTACTGTGACTATTGGTGATGCTGCCTGTATCACTGCATGTACTAGATGCAGGAGATGGTGGTGGTGGCATATCAAGTCTGTCAGTATTTTCTTTTGACGAGTTTTTGGTACTTAGATTTGCTGAGAAACAAACAAATATAAATGATAGGGATTACAGGACATTATGGACGTCACTTTTCCATGAATAAAACAAATCAGAAAGACTAATCGATAACTTATCATGGTAGATATCATTTGGGGTTGTTTTCATCATGGTATTATATTATTATTATGATTGATGAGTATATTCATTCCGTGAAAATATGAACAAAAATAATCCTCCATGTTTGGCCACTGCATGAAACCACATACGTTTCAATTACATTTTACTGACACGACGTTTCGGCCACCATGGCGGACTTTATCAAGTACAAATCGCAATTCTGATGAAAGTATATTTTGTTTATCAGTCTTCCAGAGGACAGTTCAGTACAGTGTAATTGCAAGTTTAGGATGACATCGCGTAAAACCAGCAAATACTGTCCTGTCTTGGGTAGGCATTTCGGCTCTCAAAAGGACGTCCAGCCCCCAAAGCGACACGCTATCATAATATTAGATGTAGTTTTTTTAATGTACCTGACACTTCGTCCATCGTTCTATAAATGGTGCATCTGCATTATCATTGAGCTTGAAAAAGGCCACCGTGGTGACCGAAACGTTAGTAAATCCTTCACTCTGTGGTTTTATTTGGCGGCCATGAAATGTAAACATTCAATGCAATGACAGTCTGGTTGAGCAGTTGATATACTTTTTGAATCTCGTACTCATTAATTACAAGAACTTGTTTTATTTAAATTACACAACCGATTTTCCCTCCAAAAAATTCCTTTCCCAAATAAACTCACCTGTCAAATTTTCTGTCTTTTTCTCCGCCTTCTCGCCCCCAGTTGCCCCATTAGTACTACTTCCACCGTTCACATTCAGCACCTTGAACGTGCAGGTGTCACTCAGCGTCCATGCTGCGTTCATCAGCTGGCCCACTTTGGGTACGCTACCCACGATTGTGATCCCAATGGCGCCCGTCTGGTACATGGGGCTGTTCTTCATGCACACTTGGGACCCAGTGACGATCTCAGATTGGGAAGCGTTCGTGCTTGGGCGTTGTTTGCGGCATTTGGCGCGGTACTTCTCCCATAGGCGTTTGCGTTGGGTGAATGGTAGGACACCCCTGGGAAAGGAAATCAAGATTAGACAAACACATAAAAAATCTTGAGGTCCGCAGAAAAAAGTTAATTATTGTCTTTTTAGTAAGGTTAAGGGCCCATTTTCTACTCCAAATAAACACAACACTTTAGGAGTTCTTGATAGCATTGATGGTTGATTGTATATTCCAAATCAGTGTCACAAATTAGTCCCAATGTACGTTAGCGTGTAGGAACGGTCCGTTTTTTTTTGGGTAAACTGCCTGCATAAATCACTTATTTGGTATGTTTTTCGCTAAGATCGACTAAATCTCCCCAAAGACCTGTTTTCCTACACTAAAAAGAGCTTCGCTAAAGTTTAGTAATAGTCTAATCATATTAGCAAATTTCTCCGAAATAATTGTAAAGTCTGGTTTTATTTGTGTAAGTTGTTCAACATGGACGCATAAAATGGGTACACCAATTTTTGTGGGAAAACTTGTTATTTGACAGCAAATAATGAGAAAACGCGTTTTTTTGGGATTCAATCGAAAGTGTTGACAGGAACGAAAAAAACTTTTCATATAAGATTTTTAGGTATTTATGAGAACTACAAAATGAGACCACATGTAAAAAGATCCGAGTAATAGCAAATATGTTATGGTCGAAAACGAGGCAAAATGCAAGTTTGGCACTTGTTGGTAATGCGACGATAATTTCAGGCAATTACTTGAAATTCTTCAAATCTGTAGAATTCATTCTTCTAAATAACAACAACACAATTGGATTATATTGGTCAAGTAGTTTTTTGAGTATTTCTAATTTTTTATACCAAAACACCTGTTTTCCTGCCATCATTAATAGTTTGTTGAGCAATTTACAGGGTTCCTTTAAAGAGCATTTTATAGCAAAATGCACGTGTTTACCTTGCCGATATGAATCACAAACCATTCCCGAAGATAAATGTTATTTTTAGGCGAAAAACAAAAGTTACGTTTTTTTATTCTAAACAAATTCAAACATTTCGTATTTGTGAGGAATTGAACAAATGCGCTACGATATTCGAAAAAACATATGTTCCTATACACAATTTAAAACAAACCGGATGTGTCTATCATGTTTTGTTGCGAATTACTCACAAATAAGTAATGGTTGAATTTGTTTAGAAGAAAAAACGTAACCCATCATTTTTTTCATAAAAATAACATATTCCGTAATTGTTTGCGATTCATATCGGCAACGTAGATTAGTGTATTCTGCTATAAAATGCCCTTTGAACTAACCCTGTATATTGCTTAATAAGCTAGTAGTGATGGCCGGAAAACAGGTGTTTTGAGATAAAAAAACTACTTGACCAATCTACTCGAATTTTGTTTTGGTTATTTAGAAGTACGAATCCTACGAATTTGAACAATTTCAAATATCTGTGAGTAACCATCGTCGCATTACCAGCAAGTGCCAACACCTGTAGTTTTCATCAGTTTTCGGCTATAACTTTTTTGCTTTTTTGTTTCTGTCAACACTTTCGATTGAATCCCAAAAAACCCGTTTTCTCATTCTTGGTTGTCAAATAAAAAGTTTTCCCACAAAAATTGGTGTACCCATTTTATGTGTCCGTGTTTTGAATACTTCTTTGAACAACTTGCAGCAATAAACCAAACTTTGCAAATACTTCGCAAACCAGGGGTATTTTCGTCTAAGGCCATATTTGTCAAGCAAATTATGGGATGAAGATGAATATCAGCAACTTGGCAAATCAAAGGTAAGTGAATATTGTCAAATTTCTCAGCTACTTCGTCACACATTGGGCCCAAAACACTTCAGACTTTAAGCACTTAAAAGACTACTATTTTCTTCTACTGACATTTTATTTTATTGCCCATTTTTGTTGGTTAAAAATTTTAAAATAGTTTTAAAAGCAAAACTGGATTATAAGAAATATCTAGAGAGGCGCTATTTGAATCTACTAATATAAAAACGGCGTCAGGGGTGTAGCCAAAGATGACACTTGTATCATATTTGCGCAGGTGTGGCTTCAGTTTCATTAGTAGCAACTAAGTAATTAAATAGACTTAATTTGGTCCTGCAATATACTGATCTGTAAAACATTCAGTCTAACGATTTTTGGTATCCACAGTAAACCTACTACAGCACATCATCAGGCCGCAAGACACAATGAGAAATAGTGCACAAACAAGAAATATTCAAATATAAAATTGTACAAAAATGATAAACACACGCACAAGTTTGCGTGATAAAACTCTTGGCCTGTCCACGTGACCATATCCCCTAGCAAGTTCGTTTCAATGAATGAATACTCACCACCAATATAGACTTCCACTGTCCAATCTGGCAACAGTGTACAAGGGACAAGTGTACAACTGAACGATCTTGTCCGTCTGGAACTCAGTATATGCCTGCGCGGGTTGTTCTAATTTCCCAGCAACCATAGTCAGACCCTCATCTATAAACGTTGCCACTTTCCCGGTTTCTGATGCAACAGAGCAGCGTGTACAACATGCTGAAAGTTGGGTAATCTTCTCGTTTGCTAAACCCAGTGGGATCTACAAAGAAAAAACACCGAAATTAGCAATTGAAAAACAATAAAAGAAAACTGAATAATGAGAAAAAAATATATTGTCTATAACTAGTAACTAAAGATTGTGACCAATAAGCATTTTAGATAATTTCTCGTGTTATAAAACTGAGTTAGCACTTACTGTTTTTGGATGATGGACATTGGGGTTCTCAGGATGTTTGTAAGGTTCATGTTCACTCCATTTCCACTGATACAGTTGACCAGTTGAAGAAAGGGCGATCAATTCACTGTACAAAGTTGCTATTTGTATGAACTTAGGCGCTGGCTCTGGCCAAAATTCCAAATCATCCGAAATCCACAGTGGACAAGCGCTGTCTTTCTTCTTATGATCTGGAGAATGAAAGATTTTCAGTAGAACGTGGAAATAGCCTAAGGACTATTCTCACCAAGAGCAACTTGGCTTTCTATTTTGACTTTCGGTTGCGATATTTTTGCGCTCCCATTGAAGCAACTGCTACGTAAATGACAGTCTATTTTTAAGATTATGAGCAAAGCCACTGACTATATACTTGCTAATAAGGAGACGAAATATGAATTAACTATTTTGTTTCTCAAAGGAATATCAATAGGTAATGTATTTCTCAAATAAAATGTATGTGCAATAAAGGTTGTGGAGAAAGTGACTTTGTACACAAACATTGGAATTTCATAAAAGCAAGCATTCAACCGTTTATAAAAATTATGAATATGATACTTGAAAAAAAAAATGGAACAAACAATTATTTTAACACCAAAAAGAAAAAAATAATTTTGGAATATTTATATACTTAGGTACAAAATTATAGCATAAACCACCAACAAATATAAAAAACACTCTGCACTTCCAGCACAACACGATTATCAGTTCATAAAGGATAATGTTAAGCATAAAATAAACTCCCACCCAAATATTTTTATCTCTAAACCAGTAGGCGTGGGACGTAAAATGTAATTTATGGATACTATGACAAATTAATATCTATCTTTGCCATATTACATATCAACAATACAAAATTACTCTATTATATTAATTTACTCTGTAACGATTTTTCTAAAATCCTTGTCAATTTCCATAGACCACTTATTCTTATTACTGTATTATGACTTGTAAAGAGAACCACACAAAAAGAATATTTTCCTTTGTGTTATATTAATCTATTCCCAGCTTTGTAATTAGTAATTATTATTATTTCTTGAGTCTAATGGTCACTCATACACTACCAACTTGCTTATTACACTTTATGTATCACCCATATTTTTCCTGGGAAGTTTTCAATGCTGCTGCTCCAACTGAATCACTCCAAAAACACAAAACTGCAATTGAGAAGTACTTTTACCCGATTTTCAATGTCACGTTGCCATCTCGTTTTGGTGTGAGTACTTGCATTTGAATGTATATGTCAAGTCAGATCGCCATAAGGTTGCAGTTGCCAGTCACTTTCAATGAAAACAGTCCCTAACAGAACTTCCACGAAACCAGGTAATATTTCACTAACTTACCTGAATCTTTCTCGTATGGGTCTCTAAGAGCCGTCTCCAACCATCTTCTGGGTCCTAAGTATTGTCTGTCTCTCCATCTTGAGAAATTTTCCCTTTCTCTATCGGAACTAGTAATGGGTGCATCTCTATCAGCCATGCTACGACGTCCGCTGCCACTGGGGCCACTACCACTTTGACTGCTGCGTCTGAAAAAACACCATTAATGTAAAACCTTCTAAAGTACTTTACTATAATTTTCTTGAAGATATGGCACTTACCCTCTCATTCCAGAATATCCAAACATATCTTCTGAAAACATAGCGTCAGCATCAATGATGACTGAATGGTCTGTGTGAAAGCCACCATCTAAAAGCGAGATTAGATCTTCAGGAACGTAAGAATCGGCTGCATCGTCTCCTTCCTCGCCTTCTTCGTCATCTCGGGATAGAAGATTGTTCACTGCCAGGTTCACATCTAAGTTGGTTCTCTGGAAGGATTAGATTGTTGAAAAATTGTTAGCATTTCCAAGAATCGATCTATTGAGGTATCAAGTCTGTGTAACCTGTCAGGATCGTATGATCAGGAACTCAGTAGAAACAAAGACAAGAAGAAAGTGTGAAGCAAGATTGACTCACCTGCAATTCCCTAATTATCAAGTTTCTGCTTTTGCCTTGAAGCACCACCTGTGCTTGTGAAACCAGTTCTTCAGGGACATATGGAGCTGGAACTGTTACCATCGGTCGTCCACTACTCGATGTGCTTGTTCCTATGATCACGGGGGCACCACGACTGCCTATTTAATGAAAGAAATGCATTCAAAAATGTCTGCTCTGGACTTAAAAATTTCACACAAAGACATACTGCCACACTTAGGTATAAGACAGTGAAGGTTATTTCCTGCCCTTTTTAATTTTGACGCTGACACATTTCTTGCATTGCAATTACCAAACATATCATTGATCACGAAATTTTACAAAAATAGTTAGTTTTTCAAAAATCAGAATTTTGCATTTATAAGCTTAGTTTCAAATGTATACACAATTATCAAAAATTCTTATGCGTTTGCAGTCTCGATCAAAACCAGTTTGTTGGGTAAACTGGGTGTATAGACGCTGCATATGTTGTCAGTTTTTCAATTTTATTCACGGGAGGCCTCAAAACACCTTTTTACCCACTCCAAATAGGATTCTATGATCTTTTAGGATTGCTTAATGTTACATTCAAATTCAGCTCTCTTAATCATCATTTTTCATGAGATAACAGACAATTTGCGCTATAGTCTTCTAATATTTTCAGGTATTCTATGGAAAATTATTCAAAAACTTGTGATCTGGAAACTGGTCTCATGGATACATCAGGAGCACAGATTCCGAATCCGACATCAATTGGCTCTAAGCCCACGAGGGGTTTCCTAGGGCCCCATAAATCCATGCGCAGAAAAGGCAAGAGGTATTGATACCATGGATTTGAATTTCGTGCTTATCTCATAGCAGGACCAGAGTTCCATTTGCATACCTCATCGGGTTTCTGTAATCCTCAGCAACTCGTCGTCCACCAATTTTGGACGACAATCCGATCTTCAGAAACGTATAGATTTGTATCAGGATCGCAAGAAACGGCAAGAGGCATCGACGCCTTGGATTTGAATATCGGTCTTATCTCATAGCAAAAGCAGATTACCATTTTCATAACTCCTCGCGTTTCTGTGAACCTGATAAGTCTCCAATCTATCAGTTTTACTATGAAGCTGTGGCGATTTTCATAAACTTATAGGGTCTGTATCAGAAACGACGAGGAGCATAGATGCCAATATGCACGATCAATATATAGTAAAGCTTTACGGAATTTCTTGACATGTCAAAGTAATGAATGAAAAAACATTCATTAAACTGCTAAATCAACTTTCGGTGCCTCGCGATCGCATGAAAGTGCATTCTGATAGGCCTAGATTGGCCTTGGTATGTTTATTGGGAAACAGCACCAGCACTCAGTATCTTTTTTAACTTTTTATGGAAACACAAATAAGCAAATAAATCTTACCACTATTGCTCCCACCTCTAATGGCTGTGTTGGAGCGCATGATTCTGGCTCTGGTGCGAATCTGGCGGCCGCCCCCTGCCGGTTTTCCGCCTCCCCCGCCGCCTCCACCGCCACCGGATCCGCCGCCCCCACTGCCTCCTGAACTGCGTAATGTCCATGATCTGGAACAAAATATATGAATGCATGACATTTCTGAGTTGCCCAGCTTTGTCTGGAATCTGGAGATCTCTAGGACCCCTATTCTTGAATGATGGGATAGAATCACTAATGGCCGTTGGCACCGGCTGTCGTAAATACACCACTTAGCAAAGTGAAGCGTATCTTTGAGGTACACCTTAGATTCAATTTATGTTGCACCATCGCATTTTGGGCCGTGCTTAGTTAAGCGTACTATTAACTTGGCCACCAAGTATATTCTTTTCTACTTCTGAACTAATGAGCGCTCCCACTTGTGTGCTGTTATGTCATCGTGTCAAAAATCCTGATATTTGACGGGTGTGAAATATAATAAAATTTATTACAGATTTATTTTTCATGATGAGTTCTGCTGTAGAAAAAAAGAGCCGGCAATTTTTCCCTGGAAGAGAATTCTTTATTTGTAAACATTATATCCGAATATAAAAATATAACAAAAAACAAACAAATGGGAGAGAAAAGACCAAGACCCGGGAAATGATTACAACTTTCTTCAATTCCTGATCACTCGAAAATTATCCTAGGATCAAGGAGTGTTTAAGGAAATGTTACAGTAACATTAAAAAAACTATTAGGAAACAAGTCGCTGATGAAAAATTGTCGTTGTCGGAATTCTATATAATAATGAGGTTAATTTCATCTAATTTTAAAGTTCCATGATATTCCCCTAACAAATTGCTTCACAACCTTTAGAACTTGATTGAAAATCAAAACAAAACTATTTCCCTGTATTTTCAGGACATGTGCAAGTTAAGGTCTACAAATCTTGATCTTTTTGACATTTGACATTCACTTAAAGTTAAAAACAATAGCAATGCGTCAGAAGTTTGTGGGAGGATAATGGCCACCTTATATTAAGCTTCAGTTAAACAAGGAGGTGCAAATGGCTATAAGAGAAAGTGGGCGTGGTTTTCTTCTATAGAGAATGATCCCTAATGCCTGACAACTGCTTACCACAAATTTGTGAATTCATCCAGCAATAATATATGGTTCTTCATACCATTAAATGTTTCATGTCACAGAACCACGCCCACTATCTCTGTTATTATACTGCCTCATTTCAAAAATAAAGGTCCTGCTGAGGAAAATAAATGTCCAGCCAGCTACTAGTATATTGTAAATAGATAGATAACTGGAAAAAATTGTAATAGTGCCTTGGTGAATGGCGTATAGCTGACAATTTTGCTCAGCATTGTAATGCATATTAACATATGTTGAGAAAATAGACTACAAATCTGTTGGCAACTTGAAAGATTTTTACTTCTCCTATGAAAAATATGGCGTGAAGTAGCCATAAAATATTATATTCAACACAAATTAGACCATCTGAGAAAAAGTTAATTATGAACACGCATGACAGAGAAATTAAACAAATCAAGTCAGTGAAACAGGCCTAAATGAATAGTGAATAAACATTCTTCCTCAGCCCTACCAGAAGTCCATCTGGCAAAGTGGCCTCTCCCCAATACATAACCCGGCCAGATGCGGCAGTAATGCCAGAACACTTACCGAGACAGTCACGCCGCCGACAGCAGGAGCATACGCAAATCGAAGTTTTATTTATACTTACAACAAAAAGTTGATATACAGACTGCCCCCTCCTACAACCCCCCACCACCAAATTTCTTGGCCCTAAAAATTTATTTAAAAATGACCATGATCCTCTGAAACGTTAAAAAACGAAGTTTAAGCTATTTTTATTTTTACCGTTTTTGGCCTTGTTCTCCTTCGCCACTGAACCGATATAAAAAACTACTAAGCTTTTCTATCCTTGGCACAGTAGTAACCTTGTGTAGAAATTTTAATAAAATCCGAGCAGTACTTCCCATGTTATAGAGGGGCCAAGAATTGGCGGATAGACAGACAGACCAACGGAAATAAGTGACATGGATTTTCGTGATGTCATATAAAATCCAAAATACGTAAGTCATTTTTGAAATTACAATACTTCATCGCTAGTAGGCGTGGGAAGTAAAAGACTAAAACGATCTCAATAAGCTTTTGTATACTAGGTTTTATAAATGCATTCAAAAACTAATAAATAATAATTACTATTATAGAATATACACTGCATCCAAAACAAGGATGAGATAAAATATGTAGCATCCTAATTTGTGTAATTTTCACACTGCGTTTTGTTGCTACACACGAATGTTTTTATATTCATATTTATTCTGGATAATGTATGCAAAACAGAGTTGTTTGTTCTTAAATACTGATATGGTGCAATTCAAAATATAAAGAAACAAAAATTTCCTGTTTTGGTATTAAGATAATATGCTTCTTTGAACTTACGCGATTGATACTTCGACTAGACCAGTAATTCTCTAACATTATGGTCCACCAAATTTTTGAACAGCTTAAAACTGTGCTAAAGCCTATGGTCCAGGAAGTATCTTCACATCCATTTGGAAAAATATTCTAAATCAGCAAAACAATATGTAGAAAATTTAAATGTTAAATTTTTCTAAATATTTTCCAAGCATACTAACAAACTCCCAAAGCAGTTTAAGGGGCACAGTTATTGTAATACCTTTGGTTTTTAATTGTTAACCATCTGCTCAATGCATATTCTGCATGAGTGGGAGAAACATGCAGCATGGGGGTGGCTGCCAGTTGCATTACTTTAAAGTACACCATTTTTAGAATTTCTTTAGAAAAATGTATCAACAATTTTTGATGCAATTTTGGATCTGGCAGAAGGCAGATTCATTAAATAAAATTGTGCAAAAAAACTGATTCAAAGTATTTTTCAATCAGATGCAAATACTTCCTGGACTATCAGGCCTTCCAAAACTATAAAAATGTGAGTGGAATCTACAAAGGACAGTAAATTTTTCAGTCGTACATATACAGATTGTCTTATTTTTATAAGACAGTTCTGATAAAGTAGATTCCCAGATATTGTATTTTGAAGTGTTATAGATTTCCTGAAATAAACCTGAGAACTAATTCAAATCTCAAGTGCGAGACAATACAATTTTTTTATTAGTAGTAGTATCCTAAAATGGAATATTTTAAAATATTACATTGTTCAAAGGTGATCTAGATAAAATTTATATTAAAAAGATGATTGTTAAATGTTGAAAGTTTACATGGAAAATTAAAAAATACTATCATAAAACTACTATAGACTTGTTTAATCAATATAAAAATACTATCATAAAACTACTATAGGCCTACCTGTTTAATCAATATAAAATTTTGATATCAAAACAATTGTTTTTTGAACATATTATAGATCTAAATATTATTTCCTTCAGAATGTATGTGTTGATTTCAAAACAACGAAAACTGTCATAGGTAGACTGCAGATGATCTTGATCATTATGCGGAAAATTATATTTTTTGTAAATAACTTTTATAGGATATACTTAGTCTAAATTGTTCAGTTATGTCTTATGTTCAAAAAAGAGCAGTACATCTGCTAAAGGGACTAAATTTCAATGAAACTTGCTGGGGGGTGTTTAAAAACTGAAAAAATCATGTCTGTGTATGCCATCTATGTGTATGTGTGTCTTATATTTTTTTTCAAAAATAAAATTCATTTGAGCTTGAGGTGCAAACTGTTTATGATACTCGAACAGTCAATGTTACTTATCCAATGCACAGATTATCCTCCACAGAAAAAAAGCCCTATTTACATGTGTTTAAAATTTTTTAACAATCTACCAAATGAAATTAAAACATAAACAGTTTACATAAATTTAAAAAGACTATTAAGCAATTTCTAGTACAGTCAGAGCCTTATACGATAGATGAGTTCTATGGGAGTTGTAATAGTATAAGATAGTAGCTGTTTTAAGATAAATAACCATGTAACACAAAAAAAAGGTCTCAGGTAAACTACTATAGTTATGGTGACAGTGACGCAACATTTCATTTTGTAGTGGCTATACAATTTTTGTAATATCATTGTACAATTTGGAATATAGATTATTATTATTGTCACTCTTTATTTTACTATTGATGTAGGATGTGAATACTACAAAAAAAAGAGAATGATCTGATCATTCTAGGAAATTATTTAGAATTTAGGCCATATATGTAATAAAGAAACTAAATGAGGAGACATTAACCTTAGGTCTAATTTTATCATGCTTTGAAACCTTAAGACACAGCTCAAACTTGAATCCCTTTGATATCTTAGGGATATAAGAGAGCAAAAGTCCATAAGCACTCAAATACAACATATGAAAAACTGCAGTCAATGCTACATAATAAGTTTTGTATTAAAAAAGGTAGTGGTAATTTACTGTGAGAGATACTGCAATACAGTATAACAAACATTGGTTAAAACCTCATGATTTGGTAGTTATCAGTTTTGTAGGAGAGTGAAAAAACAGAATATGTTCTCTGGCCTTGTTGTTTTGTCTTGTGTTGTTTGTTAAATTTTGATTAATTGACAAGCTCACCAGATCAAAAAATGAAGCCAATTGTTGTCAAGAAGCTATACAAGAAAAAATAAAATTTTATATTTTTTTATAGTTATGCACTGTTGATTATGCAGTATTGCAGTGACATTCACAATATGGCAAAATCAATATTTTGAAAATATTCAACACTATCAAACAATTGCAAAAAAATGTTTACACACAACTACAAAGTGTTAAAAGTAGGGGCCCTCCTTAACACTGTATGAAACCTATAAAATGGGTAAATATATTGTGAAAGCGATATGATAACCAAGATGTTAATTTCAAGTCTAGTTCACTACTTTTAGCAAATGATAAAAGCCACTTTACTCAATCCAATAAAATGAACAATGTTTATCCTTGAAGAAGGGAGCATGTAAACATTTAAATTGTAACAATAAATTGATGAATAAATTGCCAGATTAGAGCTTGTTCTAGTTTTGCATGAATTTTTTGTGGAATTCTACTTTAGGTTGTTTTTCCTTGGTACCAGCCTTTGTTATTTGATGCTTTGACATTTTTGATTTGTGATTAAAATTATAATCTTTACAATTTGGCTTGGGGCTTCAGTTTTAATTTAGGAACTAATATTTCAGCAAAAACAATCAGTATGGTTTTTTCATGAGTATCCATTATGGTTTATGGTAGAATAACAGCTGATTATCTAGAAATATTTTAAAATTCTCTATATCGATAGGTGACCCATAGTTCTGATGGATCCATCAACACTCGAGTGGAAATATACATATTTTGTTGTGGTTGTTTGTATGCTACAGATTTATTTTGTACTTGCTAACAACTCTTTTATGTAGAAAAGTTCCTTTGCATGTGAAAAAATGCTACAAACAAAATGGTTACACTTGGTTCATTGTTGTCAACATTACAGACTAATACAAGATGTCACTTTTGTGATCAGCTGTTTAACTCAGTAGACATCAAAAAATAATGGATACTCATTATGTTTTGGTATTTTTCCCTAAGGCTGGTATCATAAGAGGTCACTATACCCTATTTCACGAGTATCCATCACAGTAGAATGACAGCTAGTTATCTCAAAATAAGAGTACATTTTTCTCTCCTACCATTTCATGTGGTTCCAAAATATGTTGAATATACAGTCTCGGTTTTCCTGAGTCAATTTTCTACACTCAATTCCACTAGATTTGGTTGTAATCTTACAGTCTCAAACATTAAATAACATTTCCTTGTTTCGAGGAATGTCATATATTTCCATTTTCCATCAACCTTCATTTTGCTATTATACGCTAAACCCTTTTCTCGGTTCGCTTGATTTATATTTTTTAACCACATTGATTGGTCAACATTGCTTAGACCTTTTTCTCTTCTGATTTATCTTCCATTTCATATCCAGCATTCTCTTCTTCTTCTTCCATCAAATCAACTATTTAAAGACCCGATGCGATTATCTACATTACATCTTGACTATCAATCATATATTTTTTTCAACTTAATTACCTGGTTTCTTAATTTGAAATTCAATTCCTATTTTCATTGATGTACCTTCTGTGACAGCAGAAATGTCAGTACAGTATTTTATACAGGTTTGATAAAAAACAAAAAGCAAATAGCTCCCTCAAATGGCATCTATAGACAAATATGCAATTTTATAGAACACTATGTATCACCAGAAGCATACACAATGGCTTTCATAAAGATTATTATTGAATGTCGAATACTGAAATCACTGATAGGAAGATATTTAGAATATTCACCATCCACCTTGCACCGAACAGCTTTCCAAAAAGTTGATTAGACATGTTAAAAACAACAAAATTTGCAGAGCAACAAGTACTGACACATAAACTGCAGTATTTACATAGGGTCTGGATACTAAACATCATCAGGAGATACGTATATTGCATTGGCGGTTTTTAACGTGTAAATAGTGATTTTGGGACTTGGATATTTTGTGCACCAAGAGGTTACCTTTATAGCTAGAAGATGGCATAAAAATCTCATTTTCATCAAAATGTGGAGTTACGTGATTTTCTCCGGAAGGCGACGATATATGTGATGTATATTATGAAGTAATTTCTCTACCTGTGACCTTAAATTCATCAACTTTTCTGACAATTTATTCATGAATTTATTTGACTCTGTAGTCATAATGTTAATAGTATATAATATTTTTGTATTTTGGACAAAATGATAACATTTTGTTTGATCTTTTGTTGTTTTTTTGCTACAACAGCATGAGTAAGTCATTAGAGTAAATTATTAAAAAATATTGCACAATACTTACTTTTTCTCATTTTTACTCAAATCCAGTCTGTCAGACAGAACATTGTAGGAAACTCTGCATACTCTTCATCCTCAAGTAATAATGCTATGTAATTTGAGGATAGGCAAATGCGTTTGATTCCAGTTCTCAAGCTAGATAGTCCAGGGTGGGTATTTTGTCCTAATCGGTTGATTCTATCTGCTACTTCTCTTAACCTATAACAATACATCAATACAGCTCACAGTACCCAGAATAAAGCTCATGCAATCACATTTCCAACATTACTACCCAATCCACAACATTATGATCTGACTGTACTACCCATTTAAGTAACATAAAGCTTTTAGTTTTGATATAGCTTTTGCTAAAAAAACTGTAAGTGGACTCTGTGAATCCATGTATATGCTTGCATTTATTGTAATAATAAAATTAGGGCATCATACACTAAAATATGTATGCACTGGACTATGTATTGAGGCATATTTTGGATGACCCACCTCTGTTCAATATTGATAAAACAAAAGGATTACTCAGTTTTATAGTTAGCAAATTCACGAATGTGGAATGCAAAGGATGATACTGAAATGGGGCACCTTTATTATCAATAAGTCGATTTGTCACGAGAAGATGGAAGATGTCAGCCTCAGCGAATGGAAAAATTAGCTTGGGTCATTTCTGCACGATTATATAAAAATTACAGATCATCCTAAAACATGCTCATAAATGCTGACAAAACGTGCAACATCAACATGTTCGAATTTGTATACAAAATTTTGCAGAATACAAAGGCGAATCTTCGATCGTCCATCAAGTTCTCCATATTTAATATACAAAACGTTAAAGTAGAAAATGGAGGAACCTTGCGAATGGCGATCCTAATACGTTTCGAAGCTTACCTGTCGTTAAACTGTTCCTCGCTGCCCGGTAAGGGATGCACTACGTATTGTAAAGAAGTCATTGCTCACTAAATCACTTATTAACACCTAAATAAAGGAAAATATAATCAAATAACTACTTTTCAGCACATTTTCGGTGCTTCCTGATAAACGTTCGCCATACTGAATCGTTGAACAACACGAAAATTGGGTTTGAGTGGGGAGCAGCCAGCAGGGAAATGACGTTTCTTTGACATACGAGACCACGATCTAGAAAACAAGTGACGGAAACTGCAACGGAAAAACCAAAATATTCACAAAAAATATAATGACACGACAAAGTTATTCTGGTGTTTGATAAATTCTTAGTAAATCAATAATCTTAGAATAACCTATGTTAAATTTGCTAAACAACTGCAAATGTCAAAAATGTTTGCCCTTGTTACTGCGCCATCTAATGAGCGCAATGATAAATATTTTGCGATTGGAATTTATTTCAATCACGAGCGTGCTATATATATTTTTTACGGGATATTAATCCAAGAAAAGGGTCTTTATGGCCTATCCACACTCAGGCAAGAATTCACGAGAAATGGGAAATGTGAATGTGGAACCTATTTTCATAATCTTCGCAGGTTCTTGTTAGCCGATTTTGTCGGTTTTTGGCGCGAGACAAAGGAGCTGAGAACAGGCGAGAACTTCTATTTACTCCACATCCACACTCGCATGTTTCTCAGTGGCAGGTGACTCGCCGATTAGAACGGCTGTGCGTGATATTTACTACTGAGCAAGTGAGCCGGATTTGGACGAACGAACTAGAATTGGCATTCCTAGAATATTTTCAAGCTTAACTGATTTTGTGGAATACAAATTTGAAAAATATAAAAATAAACTAAAAGCCCATGATGCGTGGAAACGTATTTGTACCTTGATGGAATTACCCAATCGAGAATTAAAAAGCAAAAAAATTCTACATTAGCCAGCTACAGAGGGTATAAAAATAAAGTCAAGAAACCGGAAAAGTCTGGTGCTGGTGTCGACGACATTTAATTCTGCGTCCTTAATTATCGAGCACGAGAACTGTATTGAAAACCTTGCGACTGGCGAGTGTGGACCCAAAGAAGTTCTTGCCGAGATTTTTGCTGAGATTCTCGCGTGAGTGTGAGCGGCTTTGAGACTTTTAAAATGAAACAGTGTGACGCAATAAGTAGATGACTATAGCTGTTTACCAGCTTCTCTAAAATAGAAGCTTAACTGATAGGTAAATAATAAGTGCTATCATTGCCAAATGCCTGCGTTTGGTGGTTTGCGACCTATAAGAACATCCTTTCTCTTGATAGAAATAACTTGATCTATAACCACATCACATACCAAATGCCGGTTGTTAAAATTTTACAACATTCACTTTAATGTAAATTTTATTTTCGCAGTTAATCGTGTTCTTTTTCGAGAACCTAGACCTGAATGTCGAATTACAAATATACTGCATCAACTTCAAATAAAATTCTACTGTAGGATATTTAAGTACTTTAAGTATTTTTTTGGACCTCCACATTTTCACGACTAGTCGAAATTTTTAGCTGCCCAGCCTTTAGATACGCTTATGCTGCAGCTCTAACTGTGCCTTGCATGGTTGCATATCAGGCGAGTTGGTTAGTCGGAAGGTGAAGAGCTTACCGCATTCTGATTCAGTGTTGTCAGACTTTAGTCTATTTCTGTAAATCTCATGCGTTGTTGGGTTTTTTTGTTCTTTCAATGCTGGTTTCATTCGTTTGTAATATTGAGAGAGATAGATGAGTAATAGGATTAATGCAAATCCAAAGATATGCTTTGGAATCACTCGAAAATAACGGTATTAGGGGAAATACCTTTCAACTAATAACTAGCTATCTATCAGAACGTAAATAGTGTGTTAGAATCAGCGATCCAACAAGTGATTATGGGGTAGTACAATATGGCGTCCCCCAAGGGACTGTTTTAGGACCGGTACTGTTCAATACCTACATAAATGACCTTTTTCATTGGACAGTAAAGGAACAATTTTGAAATTTGCGGATGATACGGTAGTTATATATGAAGGTGCTAACTGGGCAGAACTAAAAATACTCATTGAGGATGATCTTAAAACTATTCTTGAATTTTATAACAGTAAACTTTTGACCGTGAATATCGCAAAAACCAACTTTGTCCCCTTTGCTTCCTACAAAAATCACTTGCCAGAGTACGACACGCTAAACATTAATCTAAGTTCTAATAACACAATAACCATCAAACGGACCAGTGACATAAAATATCTAGGCATTATCCTCGATGAAAACTTGAAATGGACGAAGCATATAGAATACACCGTGAAAAAAATTAGAATGCTGTTACCAAAATTTAAACATCTCACAGGATTACGACTGAGAAATCTTTAAAAACATTATATTTTGAACTTGTTCAGTCTCATTTAAACTATGGTATCATTGGATGGGGAGCTGTGGCCTCAAGTCACCTCAGAAATCTCGAACGCGTACAAAATTACATACTTAAACTGATATACAAAAAAAGAAAGACATATGCTTCCAACGAGTTGTTTGCCGAGGCTAATGTTTTTGACGTCAGACAGTTATATATGTACAATCTCATTACTTTTCAGTACAAAAATCGCTCCTCATTGAAGCAAATTGAACACTGCTATGGCACCCGTCAGAAAATGCTGTCTCAGAATGTAGTCCCAAAGCCGGAGAAAACACTCATCGTCCTGGATTTTTCTCTGTCCAATAATTTTCAATACCATCCCAGTGTCCTACAAAGAAGTAAATAATTTAAACTCATTTAAAAAACAAATAAAAGCCTGGCTGCACGTGGTCCCAAGAGTTAAAATCCATATGTACATGGGCACGAGCTATACATTGTAACTTGTAGGTCATTCTCAGATTAAATTTTCCATTTCCTAATCAGTACTTTTAAGCCTTCATATATTATACTTAGTGTAGATCTATTTAGCCTTAGCGGTCCGTGAAGCCGCTAGTTTAGTTAAGTCATTAAGCCTTAGCGGCCTATTTTAAATTATCTGTTATGTTGTATTTTAAAATCCTTAAGTTTAGTTTTGGTCCAGTTGGATGTAATGGCCACGCACAGGTTATCCTTTAGTGGTTAGTACTTCTTCTGATATACCATATTCTATGAGTACAATCGATACTTCACTTACATATATGGAATTTTACTCAAATCCATATACTTCACTCATTTGTTAATTAGAATAAAAAAAAAGGATTTTATTGTGTCACGTCATCGTTAGTATATAACTATTTTCTGCGGGCTCTTTATTTATTTGTTCTCTATAAAATTCTCTGTGTAATGGTTGTGTATTTTGGAGACAAATAAATATTACTACTATTACTACTAATAGTATTCAGATTTTCGACATTACTGTTTCAATGTTCTGCATCATCAGACGTATCTTATTTACTCAAAAACCACTATTATACCATATCATTTTGGGTTTTAATGAATTGTTGTTTGAATTTTGAAGGCAGTGTGGAAGATTGAAGTGTTGTTCCTCGGTTTTCCATTGTCTATATTCTATAAGGTTTCTTATTTATGGCGTCTCGATTAATACGTAATCCTCAATCATTATCGGGTGAGCTATTGAGTTCAGTCTTCAATCATCATTAGATGAACCGTTTAGTTCACAAACGGAGAACCAAGCAGCTCACCTGATGAATATTGAAGATTACGTATCAATTGAAACGTGCAGCGTAAGCGTACTATTGTAGCATTGGGGTTAGGGACCAGTAAATAAATAATAATTGCCATCATACATAGAGCTTATTGTGCACCTCCAGGTTCCCACATTAAGCATTTTAAGTTCTTGATGAACTTAACAACCCAAAAACTAATATGCTTAGTGCGAACAGTTAATGCAGATTTAAACGTGCAACACCATTTCAGGTAGTGCGTCCACATTATCTTCAACGATCGGATTGTCTTTGCGGCGGCCATTTGCAATCGGGTTGTCAGCATTATACGGATTTTGCTCGTATATACAGGCTAACTGACAAAATGCAAATGAAACCCCCTCACGCAGAGCACGTGCTGTCGATAATGGTAAAGTTCTTTCTAATCGTCAAATTCTGTATGACGTCAGCAATCAGATTGCCGCCGCGGTGGTCATTCAAAATCTCACTTTCAGTGTAGCATTTGGATTTTCATCTATCATCAGCTGAGCTGATGTAGTGAGAATAATGACCTTAGGAGGGTAATATTATTGTCAATGGTAGTGTGTTCACTGATATGCAATACGTATAATGCCAAGTCATTAGTACACATCGGAGAGGACGCCATTTTGTGAAATCCTACTCACCCTTTTAATTAGTTCCTGGGAGTGCATCCACTTTATCTGCAGCAGTCGGATTGCCGTCTCAGTGATCACTGCATTCTTAATTTCGGTGTACCATTCGGATTTTCGTCCATGATGATCACAGCTCTCAAAAAAGTGGATCACGCGATCGGTAGCGACGCAATGTTGGTGCGTCCACTGTTCATTAAAACCGTATGACGTCATTGGAGAAATCCTATCCGCCAATGCGGACTGGTGGACGCACTTGTCTTCCATTCTACATATAGAATTACAAATCTGTGTAGAATGTACAGTTCAATTCATGTGATGTGAAACCATGTGGGCGAACGAGTAGCTTAAAGGCACGTATCCATATGTTTGCGTCGTGCGCATTGGATTGTTCACATCAAAAAGAATGTTTTTTGGTAATGCGTCCACTGTATCTAAAAATCCGTATAATGTGAACACTGTGATACATACGATGCCGACCCGTGGACGCCGGACGAGTAGCTTAAAGACAGGTATCCCTATATCTACATCGCATTGGATTGTTCATTCCAAATGGAATAATTTATGGTAGTGCGTCCACTGTACCTAAAATCCGTATAGTGGGAACAGTCTGATGTGCGCGATGCAGATCCGTGGACGCCGGACGCGTAGGTCAGAGGTACGTATCCATATGTCTGCGTCGGTGCTTTGGATTATTCACACCATATGGGATAAAGGTAGTTCGTCCACTGTATCGAAAATTAGTACATTGTGAACAGTTCGATAAGCGTGAATGGACATGTAAATGCAGTACGCATAGGTTAAAGATACGCGTTTGCATAGTACTAATTCGATCATTCAAATTTAACCGAACAATTATTGATAGTGCTTCCACTGTATCTAACTTCAGATTTTAAACTACTAATGTAATGCAAGGAAAATGGGTCCGGTGGCAGCGGAGCTGCGTTTTACAATATAAAAAACTGACGAATTTTGTTTTAAGCATTATCTGGAACCTTTGACCAGTTCCGAATTAACTTGTGAAGCGATAAAAAATTGAGGGGATACGACATTCCATATAAAAGTTTATTCGAGTTTGGGAAGTACTGACTGAATGATTACGCCATAATTAAGCAATATTGTTGGGAAATTTTGAATGGAGTATCTGGCAACATAGCTCCGCCCTTCGACTCCGCCCCCGTCCCCCGCCTCAACAACACTCGTCCAGTCAAACGAGCGACGTCCGACGTGCGGTGACAGTTGATAGTTGGGTGTGTGTTTATGTTGATGGAAATACTATATTCTTCGATTTTGCCTGCACCTGAACATTTACTGGAACATGCATGTAAGTTCTCTACTCTATGGCTTTGTTTAAATGCTTCATATCTCTGGGAAAACTCGGAAAAACGCTAAAACAAGAGATCAATGACCATGGGTGGGTTGATGGCACAGATTTTCCGTGTTAGCTACGACATACGCTACGCGTACCTGTTCTTTCTAGCCCATAATAAAAGATGGCACTAGGTCAGGCAGGTATGACGATGATTGACCATACGGATCACATCTAGTGGGCTTACTTTTTGGTTTCATGTTCCATTGAAATGCTTCTCGGAGATAATTATCAATTAAGACTGATTTTGGAATGCTTGATTAGTGCAACCTACGCTTTTTTACACATTAATGCCGCGGATTAATTCCATACGTGTTGCACAATAAATATGGGATGCCGCAACGGTATAATTTATGAATTATGTAGCTTTTGCTGAACCTACAGGTAAGAAGCAGGCATTACTTTTTATTGCATGGTAATGCTTACTAATATGCAAATTTTATATTAGATATATTATTAAATATTAGCATTAGGTTTGCTTTGCAAGTGTCTTTTTGGAAGCTCATTTCTATGTGCGAAATTTGGACATAATCTCGGATTATCAGGAGCTTAAAAGCTCCTTAGGAGAAGAAACTAAAATCCAGAAAAATAACAGAAAGAAAGCACCTGTGTCTGATTTACCTCGTATTGTTCAATATTTCACACTCAACATTTAGTACTTTTTTCCTTGTATAATAAATAATTATTTGTCTACTTCATAGGTTGAGTCATTAAAGTACGGATATCACGAAAAAAACGTAATTCGAGATGTTTTGAGTTGTATCATTGTTGTAGTTAGTAGGTGTAATTTGACTGTATTATTTTTGAAAATGATATTGGAACCTTTCAAAACTTTACTGTTCATGATGGGCGCTCGCAGGGGGAGGGGTCAGCGTTGACCGTACCCCTCCCCAAGGGTTCAAAATTTGCATATTTTTTTGTGCAATTTTAAAAATGCGTGGAAACTAGAAAGTTCATCAAATCAAACTGAACAGGTGTTGTCTGTGTGATCTACATGATGAAAGCATTAGTCATGAGAGTGAAATAATCCTCATCACAAGTATCAGTACTACATAATTTATTTTTATAACATGAACGCGTTGTATCAAACATATTGTGTATTGGCCTTGTGCGTGGTATAGTTTGAAAACTTGTTAGGTACCTTTACAAAAGCAAGGTCAGGGGTATCAGAAAGCACAAAATACAAAGATCACATGAGACCAGGTATAAAATATTCTGCCGGCTTATCGTTACGCTTGGCATGCATAACTTTGATTCTCATGAGATAAATATTTGTTCAACTGACTTTATTAGGTATACATCTTTACAATTTTTATGACTACAGTCAGATATCTCGCGGATGGTTTCGGTAGTAGTAAATCATGTCAGTGGCGTCATGGTGTAAACCTCTCAAGTATTGTCACGGGATTTATGATAAGATTCTTGCTTGAATCTTGAAATAACGAGTTATATTATACATAGCATACAAAAATATCGTTGAATTTTATGAATTATCATGGGTCATTTCTTTTTTAAAAATAAGTTGTCTTCCGCAGGCATTATATCAGAAAATATTTGTAACAGAAATTCTTATTTGTAGATGGTTTACAATTAAGATCAGCATGGTATTTGCGTCTTTTATAGGTTTTATTCAAAACATTCGTTATCGTATTCTCCTTATACTATATTCGGGCTTCCAAATACGATATGTAAGATACTAACTCTATCTTGGAGACAGTACCAGAAAACATAAATAAATCTAGTAAGCTACTTTGGAAAGGGTTAGAGTTTAGTTTTGGCACAGTCTCATAGATGGCGCTATAACCAACTATATGCTCGAATGGTATTTTACAGCGCCATCTATGAGACACTAACATTAACCTTTTCAAAGTAGTTGTTTAATTCTAGAGGAGGGGGGAAACACAGCTTTGATAAAATCTCATTACCATAGGGTTTCTTCATATGGAACTCATTAATGCTAATTAAAATAGGCATTAGAAAGGTCCAAAACGGATTGAATATCATAGCGCCATCTATGAAACTGTAGCAGAACCAAGCACTGACTAACTTAAAAGTATAGTCTTAAATTCATGGTTGTGTTCTTCTACTGCCACATAGATGGCGCAATTATCTTTCAGACCCCTTTTTGAACACCGTTAAACAGTATGTGGGTTGGCTTGTTGGTTATAGAGAGGTGTGACCTAAAAGTATTGAGACTGGCATCACTGGGTGCGCTTTTGCGATGCTGAGTTGTTGTCCTTCGTAGGGTAGGTAGGTACGTGGCTATCTTCCGCTACTCGTTACTTATTGCAATGTTGCCGAACTTATCGATTTTTCGGTATTTCTACAGAAATGAGTCATTTACCGATATACCAAAAACGTCCTCATATATCCAGATTTTTTACCGGAAAAGAGCTGGAACCCAAAATAAACTAAAAGAATTGATTCAATGTAGTCTGTGTAGTCTTATGTCCCATATCAGTCATACATAAGCGTACACTTAGGCTGTCGGTCACACGAGGGACATAGATTTGGGTTGCCTACAATTATGTACGCACACATTCCTTTCCGCTTTTTTAATATTGGTTTTTGTGAAAAATGGAACAGCGGAACTTCGAGCAACGTTGTGCCATTAAGTTTTGTGTTGAAACAGACCCATTTTTGGAAGATAGAGAACACGTTGAAGACAAAGCCTGGTCTTCAACTTTTAAAACCGACAAAAACACTCGTGAGCAGTTTTGTGAGATCAGACCTTCGTTTAACATTAAGAATGCTGAGTGACCAGTTAAAATTGAACGTTTAACAAATTTTGTTAACAAATTTTGACCGAAATTTGCACATGTGAAAGCAAAAGGTCTGTACCAAAATGCTGCATAACCTCACAATTGAACAGGACATTTGAAAGAGCAATTGTCTTGATCTTTTTGCCAGAATCGCGTATTTTAGTCGTGTGATCACTTGTGACGAATCCCCGATTTGCGGAGTGCCACACTGTGAGGTCCCCTCGACCAAAGAAAACTCGAATGAGCAAACCCAATATCGAATCAATGCTGATTTGTTTTTGGAAGGAGGGGAATCGTTCCCAAAGAATTTTTCCTCAGGTCACACTGTCAAGTTTTTTTTGTTTAAAAAAGCGTCATTGAAAGGCAAAAGGATCATTCATGAGAGATCAGACATTGCAAACATGCTCGCCCCATGACACTGTCATCTTTGTCACAGAATTTTTGACCTCAAAATGCATTCATTTGGTTCCCCAGCCTACATATTCACCTGATCTCACTTCATGTGATTTTTTCGTTCTAAGAAACTGAAAAAAGGCCTGGAAGGATGTAATTTGGGGAGATTAGACAACATTTAAAAGAGGACATATTGATGGCTATACTGATTGAAGTCTTCCAGTGCTGTTACTAAGAATGGGAACGTCTCCATCGGTAAGTAGCGGCCCAAGGAAACTACTTTGAAGGGAATAATGTTGATGTTTAAGGAAATTAAAACTTTGCTAAAAAACAGACTTTTCTGTCCTACCTTATGTCCAACCAATCCCAAAAAAGGATCTAAGACCGACCCATACAACTACTGGCCTATAGCTCGTTTTTCTGTTATAAGTAGACAGACATACCCGCCTGCCTTCTTTCTCGAGATTGTGGAATAACCTAGACGAGGAACCTTTTCCCAGTTCTACTAACCTTAGGCAGTTATAAAATTGTATTAAACAACTTTCTTCAAGCTGCTCATAGCCGCGAAGCCCTGGCATTTAGACTTTTGCCTGCGCGGCTGCTTCGGTGAAAAAGAAATTATTTTCTTGTATTTTATATGAATAGCCTGTAGAGTGAAGAAGAGGTGACGTACAGACAAGGGGGTAAACAACCCTGAAAAAACACGTGCCCTAATCTTCCTGCTTGTCATGCGGCGCACAACCGCACGTGAAGTGAAAATAACCCTCCAACAAAACGTGACTAACGTTCATGGAATAAGTGTACAATTATTATGGAACATTGAACGTAGAAAACAATAACGCGTTTTGCACTTAAAACTGGAATGATGGACGACAAAAATAAATTGTTTTCTGTTGGTTAATGTGATACCGAGAAAACAGTCCTTGCCGACATGTGACATGGGCGTTCCTAAAGAGTTTTCAAAGGGGTAAAAAGATGGAAACATAGTGTTAAGTTCACCCCTTGATTGAACCAGAAAAAAATAGTTTGACACTACGCTACCGATTGACAATGAAAACTTCCAAAACACAAAAAGATTTTAACTTACAGTATTTGTCTCACTTATACAAGAGAATTTTTTGTATGATTTTTATATGATATCTTAGAATATACAGTGTGTAAACGTTATGATAGTCATTGTTTAAATGGGTGATAGAGGAGGTTAAAAGGAGCAAAAGCAAAAAGTTTCATATAACATGGGGGTCAAAACGGCATTGTTTTAGAGAAAAGCGACCTTAACGTAAAATAAAATTTGACAACGACGCAATGCCAGACGCAAATTACGACGAAACGCAGTGTAAATAAAGATTGAGTTTATTATTTTTGGCTCTTAGGTATTATTTCATTATTTGATAATGTACTCGTAGAATGCAAGCAATTAAAAAAACGGACTTGCACTAACTGTCTCAGCGCTTCACCTGGTGTGTGAAAGTTTATTGAACGTATTAAAAAAATCCACTTATAAATAGGGAACACAATTTTTATACATACATTGTTTTTCTTTTTAAAACCCACACTGCACTTTTTTTGTATTTAAAGAAGGTGTTCAGAATGCCGTCCATCACTTTCCACACAAGTCATTACGACCTTCACGAATGGTATCAGGATTTTCTTGGGCCCACGTGTGGGTATTATGGAAATTTAATATCCCGTCTCGCGTAAAAGTACATTCGTCCGTCGCTAGAATGTTTTTAAAAAAATCCGGATTTCCAATGTTTTTGTGCAAAAACCACTAACAGAATGTTAGTCTGCGAGGATAGTCTTCTGGTAACAAGGCCTGCACTCGTTGTACATGGTAGGGATAAAGCAAATTTTCCCGTAGGATTCTATGGACTATGGTATGCGATAGTCCCACGCGGCGGCCTAATTCCCGAGTGCTGATATCTGCATTGATTTCCATGATATTTAAAATTTGTTCCTCCTGCTCTACAGTAACCTGTCTTTCACGAGTGCGGATATTAGGGGGCTAAACACTTCCCGTATATCGAAGTCTTTGGTACACTTGCACAAATGTCCTTCTGTCTGGGTGTACCCGTTGGCGAATTGTGTCGCGATAAATTTGAGCTGCAAGATTTGAATTCTGTAAATCAAGACGACGACGTCCGCGAACAACATACTAACCTCTGTTACCGTTTGAGATCGATTGCTGGTTCGATAAGAGTGATGATGACCGACGTGCTGTTGTCATGT